GACAAACCTAAAAACATAATCGGGGCGAACCGGTATTCGAACCCACAATCATAGGTTTCTGGCGTGCCCACGGGACGCAACTCTGCACAGCGAATCGCGGCGCCTTAGACGACTGGGCCACCCGTGCCCCCGGTATAATAATGAAATTAAAACTGATGGTAATTATTTTCCACAATGGCACCAAAAGGGTATAGCATATTTAAATGACTTCATTCATGAGACATAGAAATAACATGATTTTGATGAATTTGTACAAAAATACAGTTTATAGACAGACTTGTTAACCTAATAAGGAGTAAAACTAGCAATACATTGTGCTAAAGTTTGCCAAAGGCCTATACTGCCATATTATGTATCAAAAATAAACAATGAAAAAGGAGGCAAGGTATTTTATGAAGCCATATTAAACCATACATTTATAAAACATAAGTGTTACAGTAACAGTGTACAGTGTACAGTTATGCTGTAATGGAAAGATTTGTTGTACATCTTGAAAAAAGTATTCAGATACAGAGTGGACAAACTTTAACCTTGTGGCAAAAAGATGTACACAAGGTTATGAATTAAGATGGTTTCAGTTAAAAGTTATACATAATATTTTAAGTACTAAATGTTATTTATTTAAAATTGGATTTGTTAAATCATCAGTTTGTTCATTATGTAATGAACCATCTGAAACAATTACTCATGTGTTATGTAATTGTCACTATGCTGCTTATATATGGATGCAACTTTCAGATTTGGTTTTGAAACTATACAGAAGGCAGAGTTAATTTTAGTAATGAACACATACTGTTTGGATTTAAAGAGAAGAATAACAATTCACACAATGCAGTAATTATGGCAACAAAATCTATGCTGTACACATTTAACAGAAAACAAGTGAAACCATTTTTTTTACTAATTCAAAAAGAAATACTTCGATATTATGAAATTACAAAATGTATTGCATATTTAAATTGTAATTTATGCAAGTTTTCATCACTTCTGGTCTTCTCTACATGTATACATGTATACTCTGTATAACTATGATATCTGATCTGTCCATGCTACAAACATGCCAACAATGTCACAATAAATGTATGATATTGAAATGCAAAATATGATGGTAAATGAAAATAAAAAAATGTATAAATTATTTAAAAAAATAAAAAACAGATATAAGTATCTGACCAATGTACACAAATTATCATTGTAATGTATTTAGCAGTAATCACAACAATCCTGTATATAATTCAAACTTAGTATGCAGCACCCCCTGGTGGTGATGAAAGTCCAAGATGGCCGCCAACGTGATTGAAATGTCTTCTGACTTTAATCTATACACATTATATCATAATTATCTGGCCAATTCATACTATTTATCACAGTATCTTTTTCGGGATCAATTGCAGCAAAGCTTTATAAAATTCTGGTGATGACGAAAATCCATAATGGCCTCCAATATGTGTTAGTTTTCAGAAATTGTCTATTTCTACATCAGATATAGATATCATTTGATATCTTTGGACTTAGGATAAGATGATAAGTTTTGATATGATGAAACATTTTTAAATGACATTGTTATCAATCTATATGAATTGTGTATGATCTATTCGTATGATGGCTCGGCATATAATTTTATAAATGGTCCACTGAGAAATATTCTACCTTGTTTTGTTTTAAAAATGTCGTGTTCTAGAGAACAATTCAAAGAAGGCATCTTTTCCTGAATAAAGTGAACTGTATCCATTGTCTCAGATCACCCAAAATTCACTCATAATCGTCTGGGAATGGATTCATATATTAAAAACAGGAATGTATGTATTATTGACATTATTGACATGAACCCATGACATGAACTTACTTCCTACTTAAGTGTGACAAGGAATATCGGTACGATGTATGTGTTTACAGTTCTATAATTTAGTTAAAATGAACACTTTCCTTCAAAGCATCACATAACTCTGTACTCAAGACCGGCAGTGTAAAGTTTTCAAAGGCTTGCAAGACTTCTTACAGGTGTAGTATTAGTTTATACCATTATTTTGTGCCTATTACTGCATGTCCTCTCCCAACCCCTGACTACAAGATTCTGTCGTGTAGGACGTTTGTCAAGTACCTGTTCCCATATATGCATTGGTGCTGTCTTTGGGTTGAAATGTTGTCAATTGTCTGAGATCTTAATGAACAGAGATTTTGCCTTTCATTCACCTTCATCTACCTTTCACATAAACCAGAGAGAACGACAAACCGCTCAAGAATCTGCATTGTCAGAGATATCTGATGATGATGGGAAAGCACTCGTTACTTCAGGAAACACTTGACACGTAGCCCAAGCATATGACCGGTAAAGGCATGAATTAGTGACAATGTCTTTGAATTCCATGTGCATCTAGAAGAAACCTCTCGGCTGTTTCAGTCAATCCAACTGCACCTCCATCTCCTTCATACGGCTATTGAATTGTTCATATGTCTGATCTTGTGCCAACCAGAGAATGTCCGTTTTGTCTTGTGTGTCACTAATCCACCGGAACAATATTCGTGTGCTCTACAGTAAGAGGGACATATCTGTGAAATGCAAGCCACTGACAATTGATGCTGCAAACTTTGGGAAATCTGTTTTTGAATTGCACCCACCAGGCACAATATGCAAAGTTCTCGTTCAAGAACAAGGGGCCAGTAGTGAAACAGGGGCAGGGCAGCTTACTTCAGTGCACACCAGTTTCTGAAAGGATCTTCTGTGTTGGCTTCTGTTTCTTTATATTGCACATATGCCTGATGTTGTAGCAAGGTGGGTACACATGTTGAAGGAATCAGAAAATCTGCCTGAGGCAATTCAAGGAGCAGTTTTCCATCTACTTCCTTCGGGACAGTTTCTGAGAATCCTGAAAGCAACTATTCAATATGCAAATCTATCAAGCGTGATAAGGAATTTCATCATATAACTCAGGAGAGTTCCACAGTTTGTTTTAGCAATTGTGTATAGTGCATGGTTCATCCAAGGCAAGCACGTCCAAATGCTCAATGCATGTACCATGTTGTAGAGCAGGGATTATGATAGACACACACACATACGTGAATGCATGTTATAAGTGCAATAATCTTAAGCTTGAACGCGAAGTGCTACCCTATTTCCTCTCACCTCGTTTCACTCTGATAAATAGGAAGGCCTGTCTTTGCTATTTGCTTTCTTTTCACGTGAAATCGACCCCCGACACAGTAAAACCTCTTGGGGCCTAACTTAATACTTACACGATACAGCTTTCGCTAGCATATTTTCAATAAGTGCTAAATGAGGTTTTTAAAATTGTATTTTCTGGAAGATACGCGTGGTATACGCAACAACTGACCTATATTTACATTACCTTAAAACGTTGTTTTTGGACGTTTGTTCACGCGAGCTTGTCACGTGACATCCCCGCGTATCTTTTTTCTGGACGTTAAATCGGAACAGAAAATGGCGGACACCTGCGAAAGTGGAGCGCAGGCAGGATTTCTAATACATGTAGGTCATGAATTACGAGAGTCTAATGGTGCCACTTTCATTGCATTAATTTTTTAAAATCGAAATTTCTCGTTATTTCAATTACTTTCGATATTTCGAGTACTTTCCTATTACTTTGAGTATTTTCTCGAATTAACGAGTTTGTTCTCACCATTTCGATTATTTTCTCGTTATTTCAATTTTATTTCAAAAACTCAAAATTTCGATTTTTGTTTTCGTCATCTCCATCATTTCCTCGAAATTTTGAAATTACGAGAAAAACTCGTAATTTCGAGAAAATAATTAAAATAACGAGAGGAAAAAAGGAAATTTCGAGTTTTTGTAATAACGATACAATAATCGAAATTGCGAGTTTCGAGAGAGAAACTCGAAGCAACGGAAAAATATATAATGAAGGAATAATTAATGAAGTAACGATTACAAAATCGAAATTACGAGTAAATATACAAGGAATTGAAATGACGAGAAATTTCGATATAAAAATAAATATAATATATGCAACCAAGTGTCACCTAAGGTTTTTGTAATAGATATAGAATAACGAACATATCTTCGAAACTTTAACAACGGTTGTATTGCATATTTTCTTCAATTCGTAGATAGGAAGAATTGCGCAACATTCACAGTAGACCTGATCGAAACATTGACATGTCTGTCGGAATTAAAAAATAAACAAATTGCAGACACATTTTGTCACTGCGTTGTTTGATTAGAAAGTTATAAAATGTGAACACAATTATAGGATGTGAAGTCATCCGCGGAGGAACTCACGCACAGCTGCATGCGTTAATGAGATTTTGTTTGTAGTTTGACGCCGCACCAAGCAATATTCCTGCTATATGACGGCTGTCTGTAAATAATCGAGTCTGATCCGGACTAAACAATCTTTAACTTATCAATTAATTCTCTTCTTGTTTCAAGGTTAATATGACCTCAGTGTCAGAAATGAAGGGCCAGGCCACTTGAGGTTAATTCAATATGTCGTTGATTTGACCTATAATATTGTTTTTGTTGTTGTTATTTTGTTGTTTAACGTCGCACTCAGACAATATTGCACCTATATGACGGCGGTCTGTAAATGATCGAGCCTGGACCAGACAATCCAGTGATTGACATCATGAGCATCGATCCACGCAATTGGGATCGATGACATGCATCAACCAAGTCAGCGAGACCACCCGATCCCGTTAGTCGCTTCTTACGCAAGCATAGTCGCCGTTTACAGCAAGCATGGGTTCCTGAAGACCTATTTTAACCCGGATCTTTACGGACGAAACAGACGTGACCTGGTATAGATCAATCTAATACATATAGAATAAATTCTGGTGTAATGAAGTGATATTGTCCACTTCCTTGAAAAAAGTCATGTATTTTCCCAAAGAAAACACTGGTTTCAAACATAATTAAAGTATAGTAATTTGTTCAAACAATATATTTGTTTATATTTATACTATATTTATTAAACATTCAGGGGCGAATAACTCTTTTAACGTTCATTGTTTCACCACAGGTGGCGCTCTTGCCTGTGCGGCAGACGTGTATTTTGTCTGAGAGAGTTATTTTCAAAACTTTCAAGAAGTGTTTGAAGTTTTGCTTTCGTGTCAGAGACATCCCACATTGGTCACGCTTGTACCACAAGAAAGATACACGGGTTAGTTTATCTTGATTTACAAGCATCTGCATCAGTGAAACGTGAATTTCCGCAACAATGCTGCGATAGATGGCCTACAACCGCCGTGGAAGTTAGTTCCGTAACAATGTAAATGCATATGCAATATCCGTATCAAATTACAGCCACAAGAGTGTAGGTATAAGGATATTCGACATTATCAATTATTTTTCATTCGTTGTCACTTTTGTCTTTAGTTTTTGCGTTAGTCTTGTACACACGACGCTTATGCGCGTAGCGATATCAACACACGTCGTACGTGAACGCTGTTAGACGTCAGACACTGACAGTGATTGAATGCGGCTTTCACTATTTTGTGCTAACGTTAGCATGAAAATGTCACATCGGTGATAAAAGGTAATTTTACATTGTGTTAATTCGTTATTTTATATCTGACTGTGGGGAGGGGGTCATGACAGCATGATTGATAAGACTGCAGTATAATAATTTGGTGCCATCTTGTTTATCCGGCCATTTTCAATCGACCATTATCAGATGATCATTCATTCTTGTCTAAAAATATTCCAAACAACTATGGTGGATATTCTTCCAAACCATTAACCTTGTAGATTCCTCGTTAAACTGAACAAGGTTGAAGAAAACCAGCATTTTGACTGACAGGCAATCAGATCTGGTCAATCATGTAAACTAGAATCTGACAATTTATTGTAAGTTTCTTCAGGTAAATGTATTTTTCCGTCACAAACTGAGTTGTTATGGATGGTTTTTTTAAGAGTTTAGTTTTTGACAATACCTCTTGCAGGGATTTATCTAGATTTGTTCAGAGCCGATAGCCTGCCCTAAGTCTGCAGCAAATGTCTTTAAAAATTCCCAAATTGAAATTACAAATGTCCCAATTCATGTTAATATAACAAATCATAGCTTTGTAGAGATACCCTTTATTTCCCTCATAACAGGACCAATAAAGAGATAGAAGGTTTTATGCTTAGTTTTTATATTATTGCATTAAAAGCTATCTCAAAATACATCTGAATTTAAGCAAATCAACCAAACTTGCAAAGTAACAATTTCCTCCCCAATTTGCCTGTCAGGGGCACTTACTTAGTTGGAAGCCTGGATATATCCCTGCTCTTGAATTTGCTAGCCTAAATGAGCGTTGTTATTACATGCCTTCATATCTTTAATAAATATTAAAAATCTTCTGAAGCCAACAATTTCATATTAAGAGTTTTTTGTCTTCAATATGAAACTCTTCTGTTGGCTTCAGACAGACAAATAAATATTTTTTATAATATTGACAACATTCTGAAGCCTACAGAAGAGTTTCATATTGAAGATTAGATCTTTTGGTCTTGTTGACTTTGCTTATGAAAGTCCATACATTATCACTGTTATCTACTGAAAATAACAGTAACTGAGCTCACTAGACCGAACAGAACTTTAAGAAACCCAGGCTTCGGACAAGTGGTTAAATTCACGAATGCTGTTACTGTAAATCATGAAATTAATTTATCCAAATTTAGACGCCATAAATGAGTCATGAAATGAATGCGAGTTGCCCTGCCTTTTAACTATAAATGCTAATCGGCGAAAGATGACACCAAGACTGTAGACAGCGTTAGAAACTAACAGTTTTAGTCGACTAGTCCTTAAAATGATAACATATAGCAAGACCCTTAAAAAGGGCTAATTTCTTCTGGTCCTTATGATACCTTTACTTTTGGGCACTTTGGCAAGGACTATAGGACTAGTGCCAATTTCTAACACTGTGTGGACTTGATATAATTTGGGGTGATAGCAGTTTGATTGAATAATATCATTTGCCATCTTCACAAACTGAACTTCAACTGCTTGACATGAAGTCAAAAGTAGGAGATTCCAATATGGCATACTAGTATTCAAATGAGATAGGTCAGGTCACCAACCAAACTTGTACAGGTTTCAAGTGATGTCCCACAAGTTAACACAATGCTTTGAACTAAATGAGAAGGTTATGTAATCACCATAACTGCTTTTGCTTTACCGGATATGTTCAAAGTGTGAGTAGTGTTTTGCTTTTTATTATTAATGAGAACAAGGGACAGTCACACTCACATTTTTTGCATTGATTTTATGTTCGCAATAATTTCATGACTTTTATTGTCTGATAATAGCAAAGCCTAAATTCTTTATGAATATGTTTTCAGATACTATGCCAGAGTAGTGTTGGTGTGATAACAAGATGTCGTTCCTGAAAGAGCCCACCAGAGGGGACTTACAGTCCTCCACCCAAGACTTCCTTCAGGAACGGAGTCACAGTACAGCTGTTTTAAGACAGCGAAGACGGAGTACTGTTGGACAGGTCCTACCAGCGGAAACAATGAAAGAGAAACAGGTAACAGGGTTTTCTCTGCTCTTGAGAAGATACATCAATTTACGTCACCTGTATCCCGATACATTTCATTACAAGTTATATTGGTGTGGAAACATGTGTATAATAATAACAGAAACTGTTCAGCCACCAGCTCACACAGATTCTCTTGTATTTCCTGGTTGGCTATAAATAGCATAACATTCACAGTGCCCTCTAGCCTATATGTTTCTGCCCTACAATATCCCATCCTTGATCTCTGAAATTTAATAACAAATGATTCATGGTTGTGATTCACCTGGAAAAAGAAAGTAAATCAACAAATGAAATTAAAGTATTGTATTGGGATACAAATCATATCATGTCATATCGCACCCTTAGTATTGGGATATGTGTCGTATCATGACCCCTACCGTATCCTTACACCTCTAGTGTTTCTTGTTGTAACCTTAATATTAATCATATGCCATCTCATTAAAATCAGATCTTAGTTCTCGCTGTCGCTAAACAAAGATATGAGGACGTCCCATTACAGGTCACATCAGAACGACCTTTCATCCGTCCAATCAAAGTGTCGCTTACCAGATCATGAAAGTGACAGTCGGAATGTGTTTTCTAATCATGCAACCTCGAAAACATTAACACAGGATATTCTGAACGACAGTTATGGCCCTTATGACTAATTCCATAAAAATTATCATCTATCTCTCGCTTCCGTGGGATATACATTTGAATGGAGGAGGCGTTGCACAGTACATGGGAAGCACTGCCGTACAATCGCAAATATATATTAGACATTCCGGAATGTCCGTTTGTTCAGTTTTCAAAATTTTAATCGAGAACTCTGTCAACATATTTTTCAAGCATAGTATGAAATGGAAATCATGTTAAAACAAGTGCCGTTAACCTCGAGAAAGCTGCTTTCTAATTGGCTGATGTCGACTTCTAGTTGGTCGTTTCAGTGGTCGGTCAAAGTTCGCGAAAGGTCATTCTGATGTAGTCCATAATGGGATGTCCTCAGATCTTCGTTTAGCGGCAGCGAGAACTTAGATCTGATTTTAATGAGATTGAATCATATGCAGACCTGGGGTGAGGTGCAGGAGTCTGCACCTCCCTTTTTGAACATGTTGAAGCATACCGTCATGTTTCCGTACAGTCGAACCTTGTGTCAAACTTGGATGTGTCAAATTCACGGTTGCCTCGAACTCACCTTCAGGTCCCTGCTAATTCCTTCTATATTTATCATTATATATACTCGAATCTGTCGAACTGGATGTGTCGAATCTTACATATTATCGATTCATAAAAAAATGTCTGCCGATCGATCACCCCGTTATGAACTGTAAAACGTATCTATATTTCCTCTAATACATGCTGGGTCTCTAATACCAGCCAGACCTCTTTATTTTAATTTGGAACCTTGCACTAAAGCACTCTGTTCAAATTGAAAGAAAGAGGTAACTACTCTTCAGTGGGACTACATCAAATTTCAAAACACAGTAGGTTTATCTCCTATGTAACAAGCACGCCTTACATCAAGCTGATTAAGTGTATACACATTGGCAGCAAGTGTTCTCACGTGACTGCCAATGTGACAATTGAGAAATGGGTAAAACGAATTAAGATTATGTTAGTGAATCTATTATTCGAGATATGACTTGAACAATGACGCCAATCGAGATGGAGACATTAGGATCAATGATATGCCGCCCACTTCATTAACAGCAGTGTTATGTCCTGACCAGGTAATAATTTCTAGTAACATGATGTTTGGTTTTCAAATTCACTCTGTTGGTTATCTTGAACCCCTGATAACTTGAACTTTTTTCCCCGTCACCACAGGTTCGAGACAACGAGGTTCAACTGTATTTATGAAAAAAACCCGTAGTTAAATAATTTGGTGGCAGGTTTTCAACCAAAAGAATAAATTAATTGACCGATTCTTTACTAATAAAATGCAGATTGTTTCCTGAATTATGCACATATTTGGGGTGTAAGTGCCCCCCCATGTATAGTATCCATGGCAAAATGCAACATGGTATCTCAATGGGCTGTCTCTATTTATTCTTAGATAATTACCATTCCTATTCTCAAGTATAGTATACTCAACCGCAAAGGAAACGCGAGATTGTAAAATATAAATTTTATATGGTAAAATGCGGAAAATATATGTCAAGACTGTAGGTGATAATATTCCGTGACGTCCTGATGCGTTTGTGAGACATCGAACGGTACAACGAGGCCTGAAATTAGTCGCCACAACGCAGCCTTGTCCAAGGCCGTGGGTGACAGTTACCATGCTTTGCCGTGGACACCAACATGCACGTGTAACTCATGGAGGCTATGGGTATAAAAAGCAACTTGAACTGCCTTTTTGGCACTCGTAATTTTGATGTGGCAGGTATGCCTTGATTATCCACACAACAGAGAGAACAAGCGATTGGTTGATTACAAGCTGGACAACGGTCCCAGGTTGTGGCCAACACTTTCAATGTTCACGTCAGCACCATCCACCGTCTGCAGCAGCGCTACAACATCACAAACAGTACTGCAGAGTGACCACGCCCAGGCAGGAACGGTTCATCCACCGCCAACACCTACGGGATCGCTTCAGACCAGCCAGTGTGACAGCTCGAAACACCATTGGCACTAGAAGGCGACCGATCAGTGACGATACAGTACGACGTCGGCTGAGTACCAACAACTTGTATTGCCGTCGGCCCGCTCGAGTGCCCATCCTCACCGCCCGCCACCGCCAGGCACGGCTGCAATGGGCTACACAACACCGACATTGGCGGCATCAACAATGGAGGACAATTGTCTTCTCTGACGACAGCCAGTATTGTGGATCCACGTCTGTTCGGAGAGTGAGGGTGTGGCGAAGGAGGGGTGAACGTTATATGGACCATTGAGTCATGGAAAGAGACCCGTGGGGTGGTCAGAGCATCATGGTTTGGGGTTCTATAGGCCTGAACCAGAGAATTGGCCCTCATGTGTTTCACAATATTGGCGCTGGCAGGGGGAATGACATCACACCGCAACGCTACATTGACCAGATCCTGAGACCTTACATCGTTCCCTACTTCGCACGTCACTAGAACCATGTGTTCCAGCAGGACAACACGCGTCCCCACACGGCCAGGCTCACCAGGAACTTCCTGCACCAGCACAACATCCAAACCATGCCATGGCCGGCTATGAGCCCGGATTTAAACCCGATCGAGCACCTGTGGGATGAAATACAGAGACGGCTGAACCAGGTGGTACCAACACCAAGAACTCGTGCTGATCTGGAGGCAGCTTTCATCAGGGTGTGGGCACAGGTGCCTATGGCCTTCGTGAACCGCCTGCTACACTCCATGTACCATGGGTGTATGGCTGTGTTGAACACCCAGGGAGGGCATACAAGGTACTGACATTTTCCACCTCAGCATTTCCATGTGTGTGATCGGCCCAAAGCAAGAACTTGCAAGAACGTTCCATGGACTGTGGTCAATGTGCATGCAAAACATGAACTGTCTCAGACTTATCATAATTGACCTCTCTGTCGCTTTGTGAATAAACCATATTTCACAGTCACACAGTACTCGCGTTTCTTTTGCGGTTCAGTATACTTTGGCATTTGTATTTTTACAATTCATTCCATTCTGATATTTATGTATTTTTTTATATTTGACTACCAGGCCAGGGCCAAAGAAAACAGGGAATCACGACGGCAGCGCTTCGATAAAGCTCACAAACATGTTCTGACAATTGTAGCCAATTACCTGAAGCTGGACACATCAGTCGTAGAGGAGTTTGTGTTGGACTCAGACAGGGTAGGATGTTGTAATATCATGAATTAATTAATTGTATGACACTGCTCCAATAACGAATTTTTAGCCATTGAATATATATATGGTGTTATACTCACATGTAATCAATCTCCTTGAATATTGCAATTTGTCTTTGGGTCAATCTCATAAATCAGATATTTTACTCTGATATCATGCTTCTCTGTACCTGAGGACACCTCCTTAGAAGATTGCATCAGATGAAATTTCTGATCTAATTGTTTCTCTTTTTGTGGATATATACGGCTACGTCATTATATTGTTGCGGACATATTATAGTGGTGGCATCATTGGATCGTGATTTTTCACTTCTTGATACAAGTCGCACACTGAGTAAATTATATCAATTCTGGGCTTAAATTTTTTTCTTTAATAACTGTTCCACTAAACACTAATCAGTAGTGCAAGTTAATAGTGAAAACATAATTTTTTTCATTTCTTGTGCCAAACTTGACACTGCCAACTGTAAATCGATCGTCAGTGTGCCAGGTGTTTGGCCATCCTGTCTATGAAAAAGATGGCTTCGCACCACAGATAAGAGTATATATACGGTATGCAAGTATCGTGATACATATCGGATCTTGAGTAAGGTATCATGATATGTATCGGATCTCACAGTTGGTGTATTGTCCCAGCCCTAATTTATTATGTACCTGTCAAATCTGAGCCCAGGGGCATCTAATCCCAAAAGGGAGTATCACACAAGGAATTTTTGTATTCTTTCCCAATCAAGGTGGACAAGAAATGAAGCTGAATTATGTTAGAAAGCTAACACCTGATTGGCTCAAAAACCATGAATACTGGGTGGTCAAAGTCTTCTTACTGTTCACTAGACGCGACCTATGGAGGAGAGTGAGTATGGTTTTACGCCGCTTTTAGCAATATTCCAGCAATATCACGGCGGGGGAAACCAGAAATGGGCTTCACACATTGTACCCATGTCAGGAATCAAACCCTGGTCTTCGGCGTGACGAGTAAACGCTTTAACCACTAGGCTACCCGACCACCCCTGGTGTAGAAGATTTTAGGGGATGAAAGCTGCATTTGTTTTGGCATGTAATGCAAACACATAACTAGTAATAAGTTATACACTGTTTTGTTGTGTTATAGTTTCATAAATTTTGTCAGAGGTATTTGTCCTCAAGTCAATAATTAATTGGGTAGTGATCTTATTTGCGCAATTTATGCAGAGGCGTAGCTTATCGGTAGCACTGATGGCCTAATTCCTGTTCAAATTATCCCAGACAGCCAGACCGTTGAGTCATTTGGCCCTGACTGTGGTTGTTGGTTTGTCAGCATCTTACCCGTACTGGTTGCTTTCACCAGAGGTGCAGGAGACCTGCATCTCTAGGGTTCACTTTGAACTTTCTTCCTACATCATGGTTGCAGTTATATATGCAGTTTTCATGCCTTATCCTTATCCTGATTGATTTTTTCAGCACATGACCCTTTTTGATCGATTCCTCATGAAAAATGGCTCCAAGAGTATCAAGTTCTATTACCAGGAAATGGATGTGCCCACTTTGGAAGGTATAGTAACAATACCTGATATCTCCATTTAATCACTTGGGATAAGGCAAGACTTGAAATGGAGCCAAATAATAACAGTAAACTATGAATTATAATGGACATGCTTATAACAAACTGATGGATATAAATAACTGTTATTTTGCCTTGTCCGTTTGGTGTATATATGCTGTATATTTGCTTATAATGAACTATGGTTATTACAAACTAAATTTAGTGGTCCCTTTATGTTTGTTATAACAGTAGTTTACTGTATGATCATTGTCTGTCGCTTTTATTTTGGTCTCCAAACAATACATACATGGCAAAATTTAGGAGATCATTAAAAACAACTTGATTTCTGTCATCAGAACAACTACAACTTGGAAGAAATTTAGAGTGCAATTACACTCTTGCAGTGTTAGAAATTGACACTAGTCCTGTAGTCCTTGCCAAACTGCCCAATAGTTGAGGTATCATAAGTAGAAATTTGCAATTTTTAAGGGTTTTGCTATATATTATCATAATAAGGACTAGTTGACTGAAACTGTTAGTTTCTAATGCTGTCATGAACATTGAAATGCTCTAACCCTGTGGTGATGCGGGTTAGAATTGGTCCCAAGAAAGCTGTGCTGGTCATGAGAAGCGACTTATGGATCAAGTGGTCAGGCTAGTGACTCTGTGACTCGGACAGTCGGTGTGCTCACAATATCGTTCACTGGATTGACAGGTCCAGACTCGATGAGTTAATGGCTGCTGTCATAAAACTGGAGTAATCTCAGTGCGGCATTAAACAGCAGATATACACACGCTAAAATGCTGTAACAATCTCATTAAAATCAGATCTTAGTTCTCGCTATGCTAAACAAAGATCTAAGGACATCCCATTAAGGTTCACGTCAGAACGACCTTTCATCCAACCAATCAGAGCGTCGCTTACCAGATCATGAAAGTGACAGTCGGAATGTGTTTTCTAATCATGCAACCATCGAAATATTTGACACGGGGTATTCCGAACGACAGTTATGGATTTTATGATTATATCCATACATTCTAGGCCATCTGTAAGCAATTCAAGAATGTTCTTCTTGTCAGTTTTAAGTTTTTTAATCGAAAATACGTCAAAATATGTTTCAAAGCGTAGTTGCCAGTTTGAAACTAGTGTCATAAAGCTCGAGAAAACTGCCTTCAGATTGGCTCATTTGACTATGGAAGTTTTCTTAACATCACAGTTTATTCTTTTCAAACTCATACATAATTTTCTATAAACATCACAGTTTATTGTCTATAAACTCAATTGCCCTTTTCCCTGTAAACATCACATTATACTAAAACCATCAAAACCTTCCCACTCAATTTTGTGGCCCCTTCCTATGTAGGTGCACCCATCAGTCTATGTCTACATCACGACTTTATTCAAAGTCGGCTACCTTATTCTGTGTAAACATCACAAATCGCTCAAACCCACTCCATTCTGTAGAAACAATACAAATGCCAGTAGTCTTCCTTTGTATGTGTTAAACAGTCTTAAACACAATGAGCCACAACCAACCCTTAGTTTTTGTACAAATAATAATTCTCTCTATTCACAATTCATTTTTAACCTCAGTTTGCAAATCTAACCACTAGTCTGTTTGTAGTTTTGTAAAATATCCTTCAATTATTATCTCCTTTTTAATGATAATCCACAAGCTGAGATTAATAAATTGAAAAAGGCTGCAGTATCACGATTTACCTCTGTATTTTTGTAAAAGGACAATGTATGATAAGGGGCTATACTGGCTCACAGGATCTGCATGATTTAAGAAATTAGCAAAACTTTTCAAATTTGTTATGAAAGTATTCATATATGTTCATATGAATGAGAACTAGACATTTAGTTCAACATATGCATGTTTTGTACCCCTTTCAACAATAATTGTATATTTAAGCCTAAAATAGGTAGAACAGGCTGATTTCAGAGGGTTGGTTTAAGCATCAAGTGAAGTCTTTGGCCAAAGCAGATTTTGTTAGCAGTTGTTTAAAAGGGCAGTACTTGGGGTGAAAAATTGGGATTTTGGATCACAGACTTGCTTATAGATTTTCTCTTGAAGTTAGAAAAATTATCCCTTTTTTTGCTCATTTTAGCCATTCTTTTGTACTCGAAAAAACTTTAAAAAAGCCTTCCAGGTGTAAGAAAGGAAGTTATACCATAAATACAAATTATTCCTGAACTTTGAGACTTGACATATCCAGTGGACAAAACAGGGCCCTTTCAACCTTTCAAGTATTCCAGTATTATAGCGGGATTTTCTTTACAGAGTGTGGACGTGTGTATCCCGGTGTTCCTAAAGGGGGTCGCACAAACAGACTTATTGTCACAAGTGGAAAAGGCGAAAGTTTGTTTGGAGTTTGTGTGTACTTTCTGAAGTCCAGAACTGAGATTGAACTTTCTGTCAAAAATATTCATGAGGTGAGTGCTAAAGAACAACAAACTCCTAAAAATGTTATGTTTGAAATAGCTGTTTTTGTACATGTCTAGCTTCACTGTATTTATAAAGTTCTTATATACATTTTCACTCCGTGGAGATTCCCAGGTTAGAATAGATTAGAAGAGGAGACAATGGATTAGGTGGTCAGACTCAGTGACTTGGTTGACTGTGTGTCATCGTATCGTACCTGACATTGTGGATTGTTGCTCATTATAGGATTGTCTGGTACAGGCTTGAGGCTTGATCCTGAAATATAAGTCGCATTCTCTTCTTGGCTGTTTACCTCTATATACCAAGACCCAATGGTGATTAGGTGTTAGAGTTGGTCCCCAAGCAAGCTATGCTGGTCATAATAGGTTACCAAATGGATCGCGACGCCAGGCCATTGACATGGTTGATTGCACGTCATTGTACCCGACGTCATTGATCGTTGCTCATACTATAAACTACTGGTCTGGTCCAGACCTGAATTTTTATAGGCCCCATTATACAGCTGGAATATTGTTGAGTGAGGCGTTAAGCTACAAACAAAACAAAAACAAAACAATGACTCCTTGACATTCATTCTTCATTTTGAAAGTTGGTACTGTATTGGTGACCTCCTTTTCAGGAAATCACATCTGGTGTGTTGGATCCAAGCAAAGAAGGCTTACTGGGAGCTTTTGAAATGGTGATGAACAACATCTACCAGCCTGCCTTGAAGAGACTTAAAGACTGGGGGGACATGACAGAGTCCAATCATGGCAGGAAGATAAAGAAACAGTTCCTGGATAACTGTGACAACTTTCTGGCATATCTAAGAAGTAGGCAGTGTTTCCTAGATTTTCTATGTACAGTAGAAGCCAGGGGTGTTCAGTAAGGGTGTGAGGTATTACCGGTATATCAGTAAATTGATGTTCATTCTTTCCACGATATGTATCACAATATCATTTGTTCATGCTCGATATATCGGGTGATTTCAAATTTTATCATCTGTTTAATGTTATATACTTGCCAAATGCCTTCGCTGTCAAGGAGCGAGCATCCGGGGCCCCAAGATGGCTGCATATTTATTGACTGAGTAAACATTGTGTTGTACCAGCATCTTGTTTTGTTCCATTTTGCCCTTGGGTTTCTACTTACCGGACATGGACCACACTTGACAATGTTTGTTTGCAATTCATCTAGCAGTCAAAATCAAAGAGGCGGGTATCATGTGATCACTCTGTTAATTAGTTACATGTCTCCATTGTGAGTTGGGCAGTCATTGTCGTTTGACACTGAGGTGATGTTTGAGATGATACCATCAATTAACATGCAAGAAAATGAAGATGTTGTACATTATATAATGGAGTTTTTCATGCCTCAGTCCAATTTGGGTTGGGTGTAGAACTAACAAGGAATTCAGATACCCGTAAACACGTTAATCTGGACAATTTTGAGAAAATGCAAGTGTCTGGATAAGCAAGGTTCTACTGTACATGTATATAGATCAGGTAGTCATATGAGCATTCAGTCCTTTTAGTTCTGACAGATATTATTCAATCCCTGTAAATGGAATATAATGAAAATCATGATAATAAACAAGATAATACTTAGTTTGATCTTTATCTGAAGCAGGAATACTTATGAAGGCATATTTTTTTATTACTAGTATTTTTAACAATTTCGTATGCACCTTGGGGGGTTCTGGGTTAGGATAAGTCATCCTTAGCTTGCAGGGATAGAAATTAGCACTAGCCCCGACCAGTTTCACTAGTGTTGAAGGTATCCCCAGGGATTAGTAGATTTTCAAACATTTTGATGGGTATTGCTGTTTGGTATAGAGGGGGCATGGGTGGCCTACTCGTCTAAAGCCTCGTGATTCGCTGTGCAGAGTTGCGTCCCTTGGGCATGCCAGAAACCTATGATTGTGGGTTCGAACACCGGTTTGCCCCGATCATGTTTCTAGGTTTGTCAGCACCATACCCGTGCTCGTAGGTTTCACCGAAGTGGTCAACGTCTGAGACCTGCATCACTTCGGGCTTTTCTCCCATTTTAAGCTGACACGCCGTGATATAACTGGAATACTGTTAAAAGCGACATTAAACCTCACTCACTCACTGTATGGTATAGCAGTTCGGGTCAGTAGACTTTTTTTGTGATTTTCTGTCCCTGTGCTTGTCCTATTAGGCAACTATATGAATCGGGTTGTCAGACTCGGTGACTTGGTTGATTGCATGTCATCATACCCTATCAGCGTGGGATGTTGCTCGTGATATTAATCACTGGATTGTCTGAGTTGATAATTTACAGGCAGCCGTTATGTTGTGGCGTTAAACATCAAACAAAGTAAACTGTTCAGTTTATCATTGTGAAGCTTTGGAAGCGGATCAGGACGGGGGGTAGGGATGCTGTGCATATCGCTGACGGGGTGCTGTTGAACGACTTGGAACTACCTACCCCAGCAAGTACAACAATCAACCAAAGGTGGAAGGTTGGCAAAATTGTGACATCCTTGACGACCTCTTCATATCGATCATTTTCAAGAAGGGTTATAGTCCAACCGTTATGCAAGGAACTGCCGATTGTACAATATCAGGAAACACAGCAACCAAATTTAACAGAAAGGATCGACACACTTCTGATCAAGGGAGCAGTTGAGATAGTACATCCAGATGTCCTAACCCCAGGATTTTATTCACTGATCTTCCTTGTCCCCCAAAAGAACTCCAAACAAAAAAGTTGTATTTGATCTACAACATGAAGGAATGTTCAGAATGACCCATCTACCACAAGTAAATCACATGATAAAACAGGACAATTATCTGCATTGACCAAGATGCTTACCTTATCCCCATTCATCCAGCCTACACAAAATACCTATGTTTCTTTACATTATCAATGGTCAGTCCTGGCCTTTAGAATTTTTAGAGCCCCGTCATGTCATCAATCCCAATTGCATGGATCTATGCTCATGATATTAATCACTGGATAGTCTGGTCCAGACTCGATTATTTACAGACCGCTATCATATAGCTGGAATATTTCTGAGTGCGGCGTTAAACAACAAACCAACCAAGCAACCAACAATTGGAAAATTGGGAAATTTGTACAATCCCACAGGAATTGGTACTAGCCCCGAGCTAGCGGGCTAGTGTTAAGTTCTAACCCTGCCAAGATCTCAAGTTCCAAGGGATCAGATTTCTAACTAGAAGCATTCCAACTGATGACAAGGGAAGAAGGTGACCCATCAGTGGACCTGTTCTCAACCAGATTCAACAGATAGCAACCTTCGTTTCCCCAGTAGACCCACTAGCTTGGTCCAATTATGCGCTTGGCAATATCTTCGGAGGGACTCCATGCGTATGCATTTCCTCCACCAGCACTGATGACCCTGATATTACAGAAGATCATGCATATGAAGAACCTGCAACTGCTTTTGTTAGCAGACCTTGTTGCAGTGGCAGGAAGACCAATGCTAAAGCCCCCGCACTGGCCAAATCTTCTACGACCTCACTCAAAACAATGTCATCTATGACCGGATCTTTGCGAGCTTCACGTATTGAGCATATTAGGCCATACTTTTTTAAATTAATGTTTCACGGATTCATTCAAGCTTTTCCACACAAGGTCGGTTGAAATAAAAATAAAAATAAATAGCGATGTCAATCATTTACGCCATTGTGCCATGGATTTAAATTGCAGCTTGCTTCTTTAATCGCTAATGGTATTGTAGACATGGAATTCATATATAACATTTTTATTGTATAAGAGGGACTATTACTGGCGGGAGACAACAAAAATAAATATTGATGTGCTTTTCTTTCTTTTTTTTCCAGCTGCTTTTTAGTTGGGGGGCAGGCCCGTGAAATGAGAAATAAAAAATGTGTGGCCTTAGGAACAAGCACAAGACAAGGATACTCCGTCAGAGCAGTGAAGGCAGTCTGCTTAGCTCTTCAAAGATCAACAAGGAATTTATATGATGATAAATGGAAGAGTTTTGACCATTTCGCGAGATCTAAAGGATTTACAGCAGCAAAATGTCCTTCACCACAGGTAGCAGAATAAGTGTGTCATTTAAGATGCAGAAGGAATGTCAAGGGTTCTACTCTATGCACTTGCCTGGCTGCTATCAGCTCTGTTCTAAAATGTCAAACTTACAAAAGTCCCTGAACTGATAGCCTTTTTGAGATCTTTCAGATTTGAGGATCAACAGAAGTTTAGAGCTAAGTGATGCTTATGAACCCTTAGAACATGCTGACTTTGAACGTCTTACTCAGTAAACATTATTCCTTTTGGCACTAGCCACAGCGGCCAGAATGTCAGAGATACATGCGATCGACTTCAGTTGTACCAGGTTCGACAGCGGTAAACATACATCAGCCCATCTCGTCCATTCTAGGAGCAGAAGACATCAAAGATTTGTTTGTCCAGTTAGGGCTTCACTTATATATCTGCAAAAGAGACAAGGAAGAAGGAGATAATTTATCCCATTATAACAGAATGCTTCATCAGAATTACCTCCTTCTGGATGAGAGCAGTTATACACAAGAGCTGACAGGACAGCAGGGCTGGACCTACCTTCAGCGTTCAACCCACAAGAAGTCAAAGCTATAGCATCGACCTAGGCCCTTCATTGTAACTGTTCAGTCCCGACCTTCATGGAGGGTTGTTTCTGGAGATCTGACACCCTCTTTGCGAATCATTATCTCAGAGCTTTTGCCACAGAAGATGTTGCAGACATTCATCAATTTGTACCTCTAGTAGTTGCACAGCAACTAACAGTACCCAGCAGAAGATGGAATAAAGCTACACTCACCCACAATCAGGTAGACCTATTGATGTCAGGTTACTGTTCCATAACCACTGACCGAGAATCCATGTTCCCCTGTATTACTTACGTAATTCCGAGCATGAGTGATAACTATTGTGTCAAGATAATGTTCTTCTCTTAACACTATAATCATTTAAAGAAAGCTGGAATATCTTTCTAAGCATGCTTTATCAAATCCACGTAATTATAAAATTTGCTCCTTTTTACCAAAAAGTGGTACCCACATAGACACTAAACACATAGACAAGCCAACACAATGTCTAACCGCGTTCCCATGGGGTTTACTTCAGAACAGATCACACATGCAGGTGAGACCAACCATCTTCTGTGAGATTCAAGCAATTAGTATGAGTCAGGATAAGGTAAAATATGTATTTTTGTAGTGTAAAAATATCACTTATACTTATCCTGACTCATAAGTACCCTCCCTAGTGTTCCCGCTCTACCTGATGTGGTTTCAGCCATTAAGTAGGAAAATCTAGAGCGTGATGAGTCAGCCTGATTGGTCACATGGTTCCAGTGTGTCTGCGCAGGACTGATGTGCATTCAGGTTAGATGTTTTTTTCTGTTCACTGGGAACACAGCACAGGAAGTTTCCACTATCTTTCTGAAAGGAGAAGAGATAAGCAATTAGTATGAGTCAGGATAAGTGTAAATGATATTTTTACCCTAAAAATACATTTACTTACAGTAAATAGATCTAAGATGGACAGATGGAAGTACCAATCCCATTTACCCATCTTTAACTTCCAGGTGCTCAGATGCATGTTGAAGAAGTGGTGCAACTGGTTGATTGTGACAAAGTGGACATACAAGGAATCAAGTCTGTCAGTGACTGTGTGCAGGCTGCAGCTAACCCTGATATTGTATCAGTTCTAGAAGATCTAGCCCTTGCCTGGTGCAAACAGATTGAACAGGTACATGATTACTAGGTTTGTTAGGCAAAGGTTTTCAACCTTACCCAGTATTAGAAATCTAGTAATTTTCACAAGTCCCAAAATATGACCTACCATCTTGCCATCTACCTTATGGTAACAGTGGTGGTGCACAAGGAAATGTCATTAGTCCTTAATGAATTTCTCTGACTAGATTAATTTCGAACTCTGTCTCCTCTTCGAGAGGTATTTTATGTCATTACATCCATGATTTAAACACTGTATTGTTTATGTGTAAGAAATATTTCTCCTGTTGTCATCTATTTATTTGAAAATAATCCCTTTGATGACAAGTTAATGAATAGAAAAAGAAACATAGATAAAAATCATGATATTTGTTAGACACATGGTAATAATGATAATGATGTGTAGTTTTGGAGTCAATATGTCCTTTCGTAATGAACATAACTTCAATCTGAAAAGTAAGCATGAAATTAAAGTACAAAGATTAAATCATTTCATCTCATTAATCTCAACATATTTATATATGTGATACCACGGTTATCAAAGTTGAAATTTCATTTTAAAGGGTTAGAACTAAACTCAAAACTTTACGAGCCCAGATAACATAAAATGCCTTTGTTATGTTAAAACAATGGATACATTTTGAAATTTGTACTAGCCTGCAGGAATTTGTACTAGCCCCGGGTTAACAGTCTAGTGTTAATTTCTAACCCTGTTTTATCAAGCAGTGCAGTTCAATACACAACATTTTGAAACATACAATCAATGTTCATGCGAGAGCATGTCATTGCCATCTGGATTTTCACTTATGGCAGAAGTCATGGTTTTCAGTACAATAGAATCTCATATCGCAGGCTTTGTGTCCATTTGTGAACATTCTCCACTTGCAGGTTTGTTTACATCAGATATAAGCAGTATGCATACACCTTTTATGGCTTGTTTTGAAGCACCTTCTGTCACATTCGTTAACAGCGCAAGGAATAAAATATCACTCGGTAGAGCGTTGTTGTAGTTTCCCTGACTCATGAAACAGGCTGTTTGATTGGCCTTTAGCATTTATGAATATTGTTACCAACCTAAGTGAAGTTTACTCTTATAATGAGAATAACAATGGACTTATTTTGTTCACTTTTGATTTTTAACTCACCTAACTGAAAGTCAAGTAAGCTTATGTCATGGTTTGGTCACAAAATCGGTGTTTGCAAAACACCTCCTGAGAGACCAATGGACCAATGAAGTTGAGGGACACAAGTGATAAGAAATGAATTTATTTAAGAGGTTTAAATCCGTTATTTTAATATAGCCTCCACGGCAGTCCTTTTGTAAAAGCTAATTATGGCAATCAGTTGTTCCAAATATAATGAAATGTGGTATATATGTGTAGTTAGTAGTGGGTCTCAACATAATGTATGTCTCCCTTATGATGGCAATTTTGTGTTCAAATTATTAGATTTAAGTGTCACTTTTTCCTCTTTGATGATATTTAACTCTACTACATTTCCAAGTGAGCAACAGTGCTGTGGCACTATATTTTTCAAGTTTGAGATATGTTTGTTTAAACATAAATTTGTTGAGAGCCACAGTGAGATCAAGTGAAAAGAGACAAATGAAGGGCTGACTAGAAAAGTCTTGGCGTTTTGGCTTCTTCAAAATAATGGCCACTACCGTATTCGACGCAATAAGTGCCCCGCTCTAATTAGCGCCCACAGCGATATTTGCTAATTTGTTGACTAGTGAACAATCCCAATTAGCACCCCTTCCAATTGATCAATGTACACAAGACTTTTTTATTTGTGTACAATATGCACTCGTGTGCTATATGCACCTTTAATTATGGGAAATTAAATTCTGGAAAATATATCTGTCGTGTATACATAATACGCACAGATTTTTCTTTTGTATCATTTCAGGCTGTCAGCATAAACCACGAAACTTACAATCTTTCAACTCTGTTTTTTCTCTCACTAAGATTATATTCCAATAAGGGCCCCCTATTTCTAATTTTGAGAGCCCCCTGGGCACTTATTATGTTGAATACGGTATTTTTTTTACAGGAAAGCCATAAAGCCCCTACCTTTGCAACTGGAATGAACACCTGATATTAAAAACTCACACCGGTAGTCATCAATAAAAGAAAATCATTCATACTTGTCAAATACATTTACAACTAGATCAATTTAATGCCTCTATTTTGATGTTCAGATTTTGGCTGAGAGTGATCAGATGAGAAAGGAAGCTGATGATACTGGCCCTCTAGCTGAGTTGGAACACTGGCGGCAAATGATGGCTCGCTTCAATGCCCTCCTGGAGCAGATCAAGAGTCACAAGTGTCGTATGGTCATCAACATCATCCACATTGCAAAGTCAAAGGTCCTCAAGAAATGGAAGGATTTGGACAAGAGAATCACAGACAATGCCAATGAGGCAAAGGATAACGTCAAGTACCTTTACACATTAGAAAAATACTGTGAGCCTCTGTACAGATGTGACCCTGTAAGTAAAGGCATGGTTTTGTTATGGTTGAAGGCTCATCATTTTCAGCAGGGATAGAAATTTTCCTGGAAAATCTCAAGCCTGAATAGTGATAGCATATAGGAACAACACCCTCTTCCCCCCTCAAATTCTACCACCCCATAGGATACCTTTAATGTAAACGAAACTGGCTCGGTCTGCTAAGGGCTCAGTGCTAATTTCTATCCTAGTCTAGTCATTATGTGTCTTGCCTCATCAAGGCATCATTTGAAGAGGTAAGAATATGTCCCCAGTTACCTTTGCTTGATGTAAGGGGACTCAATACATCGACATCGGATTGTCGAACTTGGTGACTTGGTTGATAGTGTGTCATCCATCATACCCAGACGGAGTGGGACATTGCTGACAACATCAGTCACTGGTTTGTCTTGTTTAGACAGCAAACAGCTGTGAAATATTTCACAGCAAAAAAATTTAATTTGTGTTAACCATGAAACATGTTAATGTCCTAATGTATTGCATTACAATTTCAGTTGTCTCTGCATATGTAAATATATAATATTTTTCCAGGTTTCAATGATTGACTATCTGCCTGGGCTGATCAATGCCATCCGAATGATACATAACATTTCCCGATACTACAATACGTCAGAGAGGATGACTTCACTCTTTATAAAGGTAGCAAAACTGACTTCAATCTGAACACTTTCATTTGTCAAAAGTAGTCCTGCTAACGAGTTTTGTCTACATTTAGTAGTTGCTTTACAGATTATGTTTTTCATAGAACCTTTGGTTGGTGGTGGAAATAAAACTAAAATGATGAAATGAAAGATAATTCAGTTCTCTATTTTCCTTTCGGCATTTTTGTGAAGTGTGACTGGAATGTTAACAATTTGTAGTTTTTCCACAGGAACAAAGTCACACACAGTGAAGATATGAATAGTACTTAGTATTTGGGCAACCATGGATTTGGTTCCAATTTGAGGCAAAGGTGTCTCATGGGTGTTTGCAGACCCTAGTTCATAACAGTTACATTGACCGTCTTTTCAAGGTCATGGCCAATTTGACCAATTTGCTGTTTGTAAGCGACAGATGAACAAAACCTCTTCTTTGTTCCATAAATGGAGATAAATCGACATTCATTAAGAAATAAACGACTTGTGGTCGTTGTTTATCGTACAATAAAACACTGCCAGGAAAATAAACCATGAGAGACACTTCCCTATCAAAAGTAACGTTGTGCAATATATAACATCATCAAGCTGCAAGTGTATGTTCGATTAATCAGAAATGATGCCATTTGATAGAACATTGTTTTATCATGGAATAAACCATGCTTTGTTCTTCATTGTTCTTTGCGATTTATCGCATAGCTATCTTATATTACTTATTACAAACTGGAAAGGTTTGTGTCCCGAGAGATTCCAGACTCACATCCTGTGTTTAAGCAGTCTAAGTTCAACTAATAATAATCCACATAATAACACTAAATTCTACTGAAAATAGTCAGGTTACATCAAAATATCTTTCATAAACATTACTAGTAAAGCATAGTAGTACAGATAAAATACACGTCAGGCTCACTGACTTGATGCATGCGTAGCAGGGGGCGTGGAGTCATCCTACAAATGACATCCTTACCTTGTCAGCTTGATGACGGGGTTAACCTCTTTGGTCATGTGGACAAGGCATCAGAGGATGTCATCTGTGGGATCACTCCACGCCCCCTGCTACACATGGTACCGTATCCCAATTGCGTGGATCGATGCTCATGATGTCAATCGCTGGATTGTCTGGTCCAGACTTGATTATTTAGAGACCGCCATCATATAGCTGGAATATTGCTTACTGCTGTGTTAAACAACAAACAAGCAAACAAATAAAATACTGTCCAACCTTGCAAATTATCCTGTCCAGTTTGCCGCAGGGCACTTGGCTACTTTAGTTGGAAATACTTGTGTGGAGCTATAGCAAACATTATTACTTATCAGTGTTCAAAATAAAGCACGAAAGCCACACTCTTGTGCTTATACATTGGGTATACAAGTGCAAAAATCTTGAATGTGACATTAAACCCCATTTCACCTCGCTCACCCATTTTATGTCCTTTTCAGGTGACCAATCAAATGGTGAATGCTTGTAAGACATTCATCACTGATGATGGCATGTACAGGATCTGGGAGCAGCCTCGTCAGGAGTTGTTCATGAGGCTAGAAAGCTGTGTGAAGCTGTACAAGACCTACCAGTCAGCTTTCCAGCGTACCAAACAGAAGATAGAAGACACACCAGGAGAGAAGCCCTTTGAATTCTCAGAGATGTACATCTTTGGAAAGTTTAACACTTTCTGTAAGAGATTGGAAAAGGTGATTGAAAATGAAAAGTGTAATTACAGTCTGCAACTTAAGCCACTAGAGAAAAGCCTGAATCCTGTAAACATTATGTTTGGCCTAGTACAATAAGATAACACAAGACCATGTTATCACATTGCTATCTCCTGAAAATGATGCTAATAGCCAAGTCCGGACTAGCACACTCAAAACTTTTGGAACAGATTGTAATTGTAGTGAGAGAGTGTTTGTTTGTTGTTTAACGTCACACTCAGGGATATTCAAGCAGCTGGTTAATATTCATGACTGGACCAGACAAACCTGTGACTGATATTTGTGATCAGTGTCACCGCCATCGGAGTATGCTATCAACCAAGTGACCTGGCCTGACCCTTCATCCATTTGATCAGTTAAGGTCATTTCAGGGAACACAGAAAACTTCAAATAACAACATATTCTAACATGAGTTCGTTCAGGAGAGAGACAGATGTAGTTTTGAATGATATGAATGGAATCTTACTCAACAACTGAAAATGAGTTCATCGAATAGAGTTTTTGTTTCAGATCATTACACTACTGAGGCACACAGATGCTTTCTCAACTCTATCCGAGTCAAAGATTGAAGGAATAGAGCCTTTTGCTGCTCGTTTCCAGCAAATACTTGGTACTATCAAGAAGAAACCTTATGATATTCTCGACCAAAGAAAAGTTGATTTTGACAATGACTTTGAAGACTTCTGCAGACTGGTAGGAGAGCTAGAGGTAGGGACATACTGATATTGATTTCACAAGAGCCATCCATGCAGGTATTTTCTGTATAATTTCACGCCTGTTTTAACATCATTTCTGAAATATTACAGCGAGGGATTGGAGCAATGGGCTTCACTCACTGTACACTTATATGGGGAATTAAGTATGGGTCTTCAGCATGATGAGCGAATGTTTGAACCAGAGTACACCACCGTGCCTGTTACGTATATATTTATACTGTACATACCTTTGCATACTTTGGAGGGGGCACCACTGGCCCAGTCCAAAGGCATCTCAATTCACTGTGCAGAGTTGCGTCCAATCCCTTGGACATTCCAGGTAAACTTATGACTGTGGGTTCAGATCCAAGTTCGTTCGTTCTGACATTTGACAGCCGCATACGTGGGCTCGTGGGTTTCACCTAAGGTGGTAAACGTCCGAGATAATTTTGCATCATTTTGCTCTTTCCTCCCACATTCAGATGACATGCCGTGATATGACTGGAATCTTTTTCAAATAAGCATCACATTTTACCACTGCTACTTGCTTGCATGTTGCATTAGACTGAATTTGGAAGATTGAAGTTTTATTGGAGTAAGGGTACTTTGGAGATTGAAAATTGAAGTCTTCTGAAACACTTTGCCCTTCTCAGATAATAACCCCTTGCACCACTGTTTCTTTATAATCACAGGGCTGAGAGAAAATTTTAGCATATTACAATTTAGATAGTCCACTTTAACCATGGAACTGAAAGTTATTCATTTGTTAATTAGAATCAACAAAGTCATCTGTTCTATGCCTACAGATAAATATCCAAACATTCATGGATGGCTGTTTCAAAAGAGTGAGCTCTACCATCATGGCTCTGGAACTCCTCACAAGGTAAAGTCACAATCTCACTAAATTCAGTTCTTTTACTTCCATATGAAATCACTCTGCATGAAGATCTGACAACACTTCCATAGAAGGTCGTAACCTTTGACGCCCAGTCTAAATGAAGGATGCATGGATTTCTGAACCAATCAATTATTAGCTTTCTAAAACAATTTTGCTTCATTTCCTTACCACCTCGATTTGAACAAATCAATTTTCTCTTCGCTGGAACTCCTGTTTGTGTGTAGATGCCATGGAACTCATAAATGACAGGGTATATAAATATCCACAATGATATCATTACTTACTGACGGAACTGGTCAGAAACAGAAGTCAGATATAATGGTCTAAATGCTCTGTTCACTCATATTGTGAAGTTAGAAGCCTTATTGCCGATTTACAGTTTAGAAAGTTAACCTGATTCAACCTCATTGGATCTTCACATAGAGAGGCTTCATATCAGACTAAAAGATCTGACTGGAATTAGATTGCATACAGCCATTGTATAATAAAACCCTGAAAGGAGAGATTCACACAAAAAATGCTGCAACTTAGACTTGCTTTCCTCCCACTAGTCCTTTGTCCCCTAACACTAGTCCTGTTGTTCTCTAACACTAGTTCGGATGTCTCCTAACAATAGTCTTGTTGTCCTCAAACACAAGTCCTGTTGTCCCCTAACACTAGTCTTGTTGTCCCCTAACACTAGTCATGTTGTCCCCTAACACTAACCCTTTTGTCCCCTAATATTAGTCCTATTGTCCCCCTAACACTAGTCCTCTTGTCACCTAACACTAGTCCTGTTGTTCCCTAACACTGGTCCTGTTTTCACCTAATACTATCTCCTAACACTGGTCTTCTTCTCATCAAACACAAGTCCTGTTGTCCCCTAACAATAGTCCTGTTGTTCCCCAACAATGTACCTGATGTCCCCTAACACTAGTCCTCTTGTCACCTGGCACTAGTCCTGTTGTCACCTAACACTAGTCATGTTGTTCCCTAACACTGGTCCTGTTTTCACCTAATACTAGTCCTCTTGTCACCTAGCACTAGTCCTGTTGTCACCTAACACTAGTCCGGTTGTCCCTTCATACTCCTCGTATTGTCCCCTAACACTAGTCATGTTGTTCCCCAACACTAAAGCTGTTGTCCCCTAACACCGGTCCTAGCACTTATTCAGTTGTCCCCTAACACTAGTCTTGTTGTCCCCTAACACTAGTCCTGTTGTCCCCTAACACTAACCCTTTTGTCCCCTAATATTAGTCCTATTGTTCCCCTAACACTAGTCCTCTTGTCACCTAACACTAGTCGTGTTGTTCCCTAACACTGGTCCTGTTTTCACCTAATACTAGTCCTCTTGTCACCTAACACTAGTCCTCTTGTCACCTAGCACTAGTCCTCTTGTCACCTGGCACTAGTCCTCTTGTCACCTAGCACTAGTCCTCTTGTCACCTAACACTAGTCCGGTTGTCCCTTCATACTCCCCGTATTGTCCCCTAACACTAGTAATGTTGTTCCCTAACACTAAAGCTGTTGTCCCCTAACACCGGTCCTAACACTAATTCAGTTGTCTCCTAACACTTGTCCTGTTGTCCCCTAACACTAGTCCTTTTGTCCTTAGCACTAGTTCGTTTTTCTCCTAACGCTGGTCTTGTTCTCCTCAAACACAAGTCCTGTTGTCCCCTAACAATAGTCCTGTTGTTCCCCAACACTATACCTGATGTCCCCTAACACTAGTCCTCTTGTCACCTAACACTAGTCCTCTTGTCACCTGGCACTAGTCCTGTTGTCACTTACACTAGTCGTGTTGTTCCCTAACACTGGTCCTGTTTTCACCTAATACTAGTCCTCTTGTCACTTAACACTAGTCCTCTTGTCACCTAACACTAGTCCTCTTGTCACCTAGCACTAGTCCTCTTGTCACCTAACACTAGTCCGGTTGTCCCTTCATACTCCTCGTATTGTCCCCTAACACTCGTCATGTTGTTCCCCAACACTAAAGCTGTTGTCCCCTAACACCGGTCCTAACACTAATTCAGTTGTCTCCTAACACTTGTCCTGTTGTCCCCTACACTAGTCCTGTTGTTCCTTAGCACTAGTTCGTTTGTCACCTAACACTTGTCCCGTTGTCCTCAAACGCAAGTCCTGTTGTCCCCTTACAATAGTCCTGTTGTTCCCCAAAACTATACCTGATGTCCCCTAACACAAGTCCTGTTGTCTCCTAACACTAATTCAGTTGTCTCCTAATTCTAGTCCTGTTGTCCCCTAACACTAGTCCTTGGTCCCATAACACTAGTCTTGTTCATTTCAATCAGTACCCAGTGGGGATTCCAGGTTAGAATAGGTGCCAAGAGGTCGATCAGGTGGTCAAGACTGCATGTCATTGCTTCAGGCTGCTGTCATATAGCTGGAATATTGCTGAATGTCAGGTTTTAAACAACGAACAAACAGACAAATCAGTTGATCAGTAAGATTCCTTTATCAGAATTTTTCAGAAAAAGTGTATACATTTCATACCGACCAGCTGACATCCTTAGAATCTATATTGGTAATCATATCGATGGCAATTTCAACAACTTTAGCTCTTATTCCAGCTTTGAGAAACTGAACATTGCAAAGCTGAATATTGAAGAGAAATATTCATCAATACTGGCAAAGTATGGAGAAGAGATTGAAGATATACGCAAGGTGAGATTTCAACTCACACAAAATTACATCAAAACAAATCAAACTGAATAATGTCAGTGGCAAAGCTGAAACTGTGAAACAATAAAGAATCAGGTCAGAATGAAGCATATCACATATACTGCTCAGGTTATCATTGAACCTATACACAGTGTTAAAAGTTAAGCTTGCAAATCAAAGCATTCCTGTCATAACCCAAATGTTGACTATTAGACCAGATTCAAATATTGAAGCTGAAATCGGAATGACCCCAGGACCCCTTAGTTTCAAACACCACATTCATATCACAGGGAGTCGTTGCAACTCTGATTTTCTTTAACACTAGTCCAGAGTGTCAACCTTATTTCACTAGTCTTCAGAGCAATGTTTGAAATAAGAAACAATACCAGGCTGCCATCAGGACCCAAAGACTTTAGAAGCTGCAGGTCCTGACTAAACTCTTCAGGCCCTCATTTAAAAAAAACTACAGCTTATTGTGACAAATAAATCAATCAACACACAAGGACCCATACAAATTTGAAACTATGGGCCTACGGGCTATTTTGAACACTGCTTCAGAGTTTGTAGCTGGTCCTGTTTGAATAAGACAAAAGTTTACAAAGGTGTTATATTTTACTTTTTTATTAAATTCCATTTTGTAGAAAAATTGAAGCGTTAAAAACTGGTTCAGAATTATGGCCCTAAAATGCTGCCAGTCAATGAGGACTAAATTACAAAGGCTGTTGTATTACAATGTCAATGGAACAGTTAAAATTGTAATGGTATGATTGAAATAAGTTCCATGATTAAATGGACAATATAACTCCCAAAATAATCCTGTGAATTCAGGAACTGAAAAGGGTATTATCAATTTCAATGAAAAAGAGGGTCAAATTACTTGTGGTAAAATTCTCAGATGAATTGTCCTAGTTGGCACACTTCCGTTCCAACAGGCACAACTAAACATTGTTATGAGTGGCCTGTGGTACACTTGAAAGAAAATACATTTCTGTCCCTGTTAAGACATTTTGTCTGATCTTTATGGTATTGGCAAATGGAAATGATATGATCATATCTGCTGGGGAGTAGCCGATTAGATCAAATGGGTTCTAATCATGCTAATGTTTGATGTGATGAGATATGGTGGCACACTTGGTTGTTAAAGTGGTCAGGGGTCCAATTTTAATTTCACATTTTGCAGCCAACGTCACTAATATCGGGTAGTTCCACTCATCAGTGAGAGCAACACCGAGTTCATTGAGAGTGGTGGGTGGATTTTGACGTTGATGTACATGTCTGCCAGTGACGCCCCAGGAGTGTTCAATGGGGAAAAGGTCAGGACTGAGTGCTGGCCATGGCATGACATTGATGTTTTGTTGTTGGACCAGGAGGAATTATTTCACAATCCTGGCACGATGCTCACATGCATTATCTGCTTGAAAGATGAAACGTAGCCTGCCCATCACAAAGAAATGTGCACTGATGTTGAACTGTGACTCTGCCATGGACAATATGGAGTTCAGTTCGGCCAGTCATCGTGATACCACCCCATACCATTATGGACCCATCCCCAAAACGATCATGCTGTATGATGTTAACATCCATAAAACTCACATTAGGACATTGCCAAACTTGATTCCTTGGGTCATGGAAGTTGAGAGTGAACCTTGGTTCATTAGAAATCATGGCATCAGCCCAACGTTGATTATCCCAGTGCTGTCGTTCCCTACAGCACTTATGCAGCAGTATGTTTTTGGATGACACTTGGGCATTGTGCATGCAAATGCAATCTGTGCAGACAATTTTGCACTATCTAGGCATGTCCCTTATCCTAGTGGAAGTTTGCAACCGATTTCTTAATGCCAAAATTCTGACTAATCTGTCCAGGGTTGGAGTTGTTGCCCTTGGGCGTCCAGAGTGCCGATGTATTTAATATAGTGTCTTTGAGCATTTGGTTCCAAGAAAACAATATGTGTCTGAGTGACAATGGTAAATCTGGCATAACAACCCATGCGCATTCTGTCTGAGGTCACATGCTTCGACTGTCACAATGTTGTGTTTCAGAGCTTGATGTCTTCAGAAATGTTCTTGCCACATAAATCACTTACTTTCATTGCCAGACCTTGGTGTATTTTCCTTTAGTTTCACCTCAAAACAAAAATCCCCTACTCTTTTCCATAGTATATTTTCACTGTTGTGATTGTATTGCAATAGTACCCTACACTATAGGGGAAACAACTGTGATACATGGAGAGTTTGATATATCGTTTCACTCTTATTATTTTACACAAACCACTTGCCAGAAATGAGCTGAAGACTAGTAAGATACATATTGTGTTGAATCATTTCGGTTTAGTGTGGTATGTAAAACAGCTCTTGCAGATATATTGTAGAAATTGGTTGCATTTAATCTTTTTATTTCTGTGAAAATCCATCTTGTTTACAGCTGTATCAGAAATATCGGGATGACCCCCCAGTCCCCAGAAACATGCCACCTGTAGCAGGGAGAATCGTCTGGATCCGCCAGCTGTTTCAGCGCATAAATGATCCCATGAACATTTTCAGGGTAGGAAAGCATTCAAATGTTGATGGTGATATTTTCATTAGATGGTATTCAAGTACATGTAATATCTATGTCAAAGGCACTGCCCATCATCTAACAGACAACAGATAGTGCTGTTCATTGTCACATGAACCAGGCCCCTCGGTAAGAACAAGCGCAATGTTTCAGCGGCACAAACTATCAGTTTCAGTCCACTAGTCCTTATAACGATAACATATAGCAAAACCCTTAAAAATGGCAAATTTATACTAGTCCTTATGATACCTTAACTATTGGGCAGTTTGACAAGGACTACAGGACTAGTGCCAATTTCTAACACTGAGTTATTTCAACAGTGATAAAGCTGCAAGATCAGTATTAATACTTTTGAAATAAATAATGTCTGTTGATGGCCAAAGAAATGATCAAAGGTTTTTTAAATTGGTCAAGGTCAGTGTAGTTTGTAGCACTAGTCAACAACAGCTGTTGATCTGCCAACTTCTGTCCTTCTCTCCGTGTGTCAACTAGTAGGAGAGACTTGATGTTTCTAGCAATTTCCAAGGTGTCTACACTTTTTGTTATCAGGGCTACATGTGCTATAAAAAGGCTGCTATTTCTGGAAGTGACATTAACTTCCTAATTCATCTCAATAATGTCAGTAGTGAGTGAGAAAACTCGCATTGTGACTCCGACCATGCCTCTAAAATTTGTTGTTTAATAAAAAATTATCGCAATACAATGTTTAAATGCTTAGTGCAGAATAGCGGTATAGCGGTAATACCGTGCAGTCCTATTCCAATCCCTTCATCTTTCTGTTTGGTATTGGATTCAATAAGTATTACCTATCTGTTTTCATTACTTGTTTTAAACTTTTGATTTTCAATCAGTGGTAAAAATAAAAATAAACACCAAATTGTAAAAGCATTTCTTCTTTAATTAAATGATGCATTGAAAGACTTGTTATTGGGATAAATAAAGAAAATATTAAAGGAAAATATTTGGTAAGGACTAGAGAAAGAGTAATTTCTCTTCTATTGGTCTAAGTGTTTTTGTCTTCAAAATTTATACACCATTCCAAATTTTGGAAATATTTGGTCCATGATATTCGTAAACCCAAAAATCATATATGAAGGTAAACTTAAAAGTACTGACAAATGGACTGTTTTATGAATACCTCAGGCTCACTCGTGTGGGAATTCCAGGTTAGAATCAGTCCCCAGCAACCTATGCTTGTTGTAAGAATCGACTGAGTGTATTGGGTGGTCAGATTCTGTGACTTGCTTGATTGTGTGTCATACCTGACAGGATGGATCGTTGCTCATTTGGTTTGTGTGGTCCCGACTTGGTTATATACAGGCCACTATCATATAGCTGGAATATTGCTGAGTGTGGCATTAAACCGCTGGATGCCAAGTTTTTTATTTGACGCACATTTTCCTAAGATCTGAAAAGTGAACGTTGTGCGAGAATTGTGCTCACATGGCACTGGATCTACCTCCGGCAATAATATTAGGCAGATATGTAGAATATTAAATTTCCAATCTGATGGTGTAAATTTTTACAGCAAATATTAAACCAGTTTGAAAAAAGACACTGCTAAATGCTGTCATAGAATTTATTCTGCATTGAAAAACAGCAAATTTCTCTGCATTTTATCGTACACCGATAAAAGTACTCAGAGCTCAAGATAAGCGTGATATCTGCGTGAAATACGCATCAGAAATGCAGAAATACACAGTAAAATATAATCCAAGAGTATCAAATACGCAACGAACATTACAGATACGCTACAAAAATAAAACTTGTGCGTATCATGAAAATATTGTGAAGTAACCCTGCGTATTCGATTAGCAAATCAGCAACTTATTTTGAAATTATAAACGGGCATTCCGTCAACCTTGCCAAACTCCACGATGACAGTTACATCATGATCATTTGCCATCACACTTTCTTGTGGAAGTATCGTGGTATTTTGGAGTCCTATAAAGCTCTCGAACCCACACGACACCAGTTTGCAGGGACTAGATGAATAGTGTTTTGAAATATTTAACTTAAATACCCACATGTGTAAAAACTAGTGGGTAACAGAAATTTGAATAAGCAGATAGAATTACTGATACCCAACGATTTTAAAATGCATGGGTAAAATACCCACAACACCAAAAGCTTATCTGGAGCTCTGAGTACTGTGTGACAAATTTGTTTCATTTAGCAGCTTTACAGAAACTGTGAGCGAACAAAATACTGCCTAATATCAGAACAACATTAATGTATATAAAATAGATTTATATGCTTATGTATAATGTTATACATTCAATACAAAAAATAGCCTGCCGTAAATGACGAAAACTGATTTTCCTCTATGACGTCGAAAGACGACAGAGAGGTTACTCGCATACAAAGAAAAGGGGGCATAATGCTGCAATGCTTAGCACTAGTTTATTGTAACTCAGGTCACTTGGTGAGAATTAGCTGTGGATAAGGATAACATATTTTCTTGGTGTTTTGTTCACGAGGAACCAAACTATTCCAATACAAATATTGATATTGAAACTGTATAAAATGAGAATTTTATGAAATTTGCGTCAGTCATGCCGTGACGAAATTTTTTACAATTTCTGTTGAATTTACCAAATACCTTTTTTGAATTTCCTTACTTTTGCTACGATTCGCTTCCCATGCATATTCTGAAAATGTTGAGCCAATGTATGCAACGGATAGACGAATGGAGAGCTCAAAATATAAGAAATTGCTACACAGTATAAAATCTGAATTTTGCTGTTTTCATTCCAAACAAGTGCATTTTTCCAACCTCAGCGTTCGTTTTCACACCTAATTTATTTTGCTTGATTTCATCTAGATACTGGTCACAAAGACCATTTGTCATTTGAATCTGAAATATATGAGGAATTCAAGGATGTATGTATCGCTGATGAGTTTGAAATATATTTCTAACGCTGGTAAATATCCGAAATTTATATTTTGAAACATGCTGTAAATAACGCTGTGAATGGTGATTTAGTAAAGTGTGAAAAATGGCGACATTTACGATGTACCAAATTTCAAGAGGTCATTTTCTGTAATTTTGCTTTGCCTAAAATGACAGTGGCTGTTATCACATAACAAAGAGTTTCCCACAGAATTCAAAACTCTGAAGTTTATTTGTGTGCATGATGTATGTTGAATTTTATTAGACTTAAAAGTGAGGGTTGAAGAGGAGCCACATGTCCCAAGCATCCAAACAACATCCAAACAATATGAATTCAATAGTAGTGTTCAAGATTAGGCATGGAAATTAAGAGATTCTTTTCAAAACTCTAATGTTAAAAGTTAATGAATAAAGTCTCTCTAGATTCAAATACCATAGAAGATCTCAAGGAGTGAGTGAGTATGGTTTTATGCTGCTTTTAGCAATATTCCAGCAACATCACACCAGAAATGGGCTTCACACATTGTACCCATGTCAGGAATTGAACCTGGGTCTTCGGCGTGACGAGCGAACGCTTTAACCACTAGGCTACCCGACCGCCCCAAGCACAGGACACCCTGAAGCACTGCTATAATGTGTGACTTGAATATGTTGCAACAGGTACATCCAACTTGCTTGGCTTCAGAGGATGCCAGGAAAATCATTAGGAACTACAACAGAGTGGCCAAGGTACTGGTGGAGTATGAAATACTCTACCATTCTGCTTGGGTGAAGTCTGTGGAACTAGCTAATGGATGTGAGTACACATGCAGCCTGCCACTTCAGCACTTCATAGATTCAGAAATATTGCTTCCTACACCCATAACAATTAAGACTGGATGCAAATAACATCCACTGCAAAGCTCTTTGGACTAAAAAGAGTATGGAATGAATAAATTGAAACATATAAATTTGATTTATCTTATATATTTCTGTTCTCATAAGAAATACAATCAATGTCAGTCATTTCAGATTTTCTCTACTTTCATTTAGTTTTCATTCAAACAAGAACATCACTTTCTGAAAGAAGCTTGAGGCATCACACATTGTTTAATACCCGGCTCCCAAAAAATGAAATTCCAGAACATGCAAATATATAGACTCTGATTTGGTCTAGCATGCTCATCTAGAAATTGGTCCATGTTGTAACACAAAAATCTGCTGAAAATAATGCCAAGAAACAATTTTGGTTCAGCAGACAAGTTTTTGGCACAGACTGACATGACTTGTTTTAGTTTATGTCTAGGTTTATTTAAATCTTTCTGTTTTGCTTATCTTGTGTCATCATTGTTTGAGCCAATTAAAATGCTGATCATATATACCTTGTAATAGAAAACATGTCAGACCAGAAGTGTTACGTAATGCCTCAAAGTGCCAGGCATTGAGTTAGGATTTACACTAATGCCAGTGGCGGACAAATTGGAAAAAAGTTTGTTTTTTTTGTGCCAAATTTTGTATGGTGTGTATCATGCTTATATTTTCATTTTGAGAGGTCCAAAGCAGTAATCAGCATTAGAAACTAGCGGTTTTAGTCCACTAATGCTTATGATGATGACATGTAGCAAAACCCTCAATAAGGGCAAATTTCTGCTGGTCCTTATGATACCTTTACCATTGGGCAGTTTGGCAAGGACTATAGGACTAGTGCCAGTTTCTAAGACTGGTAATGTTGATCTATGTGACATATGCAAAGCTATAACAGAGTTCAAATATATTTAAGACCTGAATTGAGATATCTTTAACTTGTATTTGGGAGTTTTTACCAACAGAATTGCTGACTGTCAACCTCTGATTTATATTGACTTACATTCCGAGTGTCTTAAGTTTTAAAACAAATAAAGTTGATGAAAAATGAAATTAATTGTGGGTTTCTGGCAGTTATTTGGTACTTTGATTATATACAATCTAACGCTCATTTTGACTTTTTACTCAACTCAAATATATATATATATATATATGACTTAGCTCAGTGGTCAAAAGATTACCAATGCATTTCTGTTATACAACAAACCTCAGTATTGATGCTTTTGTCATCCTTAATTGTATTTTTTGTCTTTCTTCAGATTTACAAGTTCCTCTGCTAGTCCGCAACCCCACAACAGACACTTTTTTGACCAACTTTGATCCATATATCTTTGAGGTGATCAAGGAAGCTGAATATATGCTAAAACTTGACTTGGACGTTCCTGATGCTGCCAAGTTGCTCATTCACTCTACAGAGCAGCTCCGTACAAATCTCACCCAGATACAGGTACATTGCTCAATCCCCGTTCACTAAGCGATCGTAGAGATAGGACTATCTTGACAAAGTACCTCAGCATATTCATACTCCAGTCTTATAGCATTGAGGTGGCAATTTGAACATAGGCCCTGCTATTTGCTTCTTCTTGTTTCTCACGACTGATAGACAAACAAGACACTCAGGCCTCAAAGTAAACTTTTTACGCAAAAAGCCAGCTGGAAGTTTTATTTCGATTATTAACCCCACCACAAAGTCTGATGCTTTTCAAAGAGGATAAACTTTCTCAAAAACTATATAACTTAGAGAAATTAAATTTTATTATTGGATGTGATCTTATATGAGTTCGAAAATTGGTGTCTTAAATTTATTTTTTACAGAGTTATTGCCTTTGCTACATGTTTTTATCCCCTGCCCCAACGAAGTTGGCGGGGGATATAGAAATGGGTTCCGTCCGGAGCGTAACTCAAAAACTGTTAAATAATTTCTTACAAAACTTTGCATGTTTACCAGACACATACTGAACTGGTGCCTTTTGCTATTTAGGAGTTTTATAAATTTTTATTTTTTACGTTTCCATTCCAACAAGTTGGACTTAGGTTCTATAAGGGTGCTGTTCGTTTCCGGAGCGTAACTCAAAATCCATTAGATACTTTCTTACAAAACTTTGCATATCTACTAGGCACATACTGAACTGGTGCCTTTTGCTATTAAGGAGTTTTATAAATGTTTATTTTAGAATTTCCATTGCAGCTATTTTGACATGGCCTAAGAGAAATGTTGGGTCAGTTACCTGGTTTGGGACCATAACGTGTTAAAATGGCGGGGGATATAGATGACTTCGTCGACTATACGCTTGTGAGATTTTGAGCATACACAGTTATATAACCTTTGATCCATGTTAATTTACAAAGTGCAGTCTCAGAAACTACTGAAGTAAGCTTTTCTAAGCGATAATGATCAAGACTAAGTTTTTTTCCAGAGAAGGGGCCTTTTGTGTGTATAAATTTCACATTTAATATTTTTCTCCTGATGACATAATGATAAAGCGACTCGAGTTCCTATCTCTTCTTCAGGCTTTTTTTTAAAGTTAATATTCACAACTAATATATAAACGAACAGAATTCTAATGTGCCCCGTTGCAGGGGATAAGGACAACAATATGTTCTTGTTAAACTCAGTGACATCATTCACAGCACTAATGTATGAGCGTTAGAAACTGGCACTAGTCCTGTAGTCCTTTCCAAACTGCCCAATAGTAAAGGTATCCTAAGGACTAGTAGAAATTGGCCCATTTTAAGGGTTTTGCTTTATGTTATCATTATAAGGACTAGTGGACAAAAACTGTTAGTTTCTAACCCTGTGTATCCCAAGCTCTGCCCATTCTATTGTCTGATTGTTGGTGTAGCCTATTTGTTTTCGATTTTGGGAAATATAGACGCAAAGAACAATTGCTTGGTTACAATCAAGTGCCCCAGAGTCACTTACAATTCATAAATTGGAACTGGGATATGTTAAACATTATCTTCTCAGAATCAAAAGGAAGACCCCCAGGAGCTGAGACTTTGAAGGGATAAGTAGCAAAACAATGTGAATTGTGAATTTGGTTCTATTTCAAAGAATAAAAATCAAAGGTTAGAAAATGGTTAAGAATATCCTTCTCAGAAGACACAAATGACAGTGAGCTGGAATCCTATGTAGAGGAACATGAGACCATTGCAATTTCGAATCCTGCTTTGTGTATAAAAATATGATTTTCAAGTGTGCTCTTCAGGCACTGGGGACCTTTCTTAAACCTGTCATTATGATTTTCATCCTGCCATTTACTCTGTATTATGATGAATATTGAACCCTGGAAGTATTATTATATTTGTTAGCATCACAATTGGCTCTAAGCTTTGGCCATTGTTAATCATTTTGTAAAAACAATTTTTGTCAGGTTCCATCCTAAACGACATACGACAGAGGTGGCGAGACACCAAAGTGTATTGCTTTTTTATTCAACTCGATTTGTCATTACATGATCAGCAAACAAGATCATGTTTTCAAAAAAGCTATAAGTATTATTAGAAGTGCCTTGTGTTACGGCCACTGTTAAACTTGTACAAAACGTTAATTAATACTGTAATCAAATACAATAGTTATATCCCATGAAACACTGAGTAACAGTGCCTTGATGCTATTTTTATGATTCCATGTCCTTTTACTTCTTGAAATAAAAACAGAACACTAATGAAGGTGAAAACTAAAAAAACAACTGATTTATACTGTTTTTGGATAATATGAAATCAGCACATTGATATCTAAATATTTGTTGTGTCCATGGGAATCTCATCATTTTCTAGAGTGGTTAACTTGCCTTAACTTAGTGAGATATTTATGAATTGCGGTACATGACTCAGCAAGCTGGTGAGATTATTTGTGTCTCTCTGATGAAAATTCTGACCATTAAGTTATAAAACTGAGTCTTCACTTTCAAATTATAGGCAGTTTGTTATTTGCTGGTGATATGTTAGAGTAGATGTGTAAGTCAAATTTACAAACTTGATTTTTAATGAGCATCACTTATATAAGCCACTTAGATCGGGAAGATTATCTTGTTTTGTGAGGAACCATATTCAGGAATGCAGTACTTCTATCTAAAGTCGTAATTCCGACTTTTTGATCTCTATGTTCTCCCCCATCAGGGCTCCATCATGACCTGGACGGAGGCTTACAGCCCCTAAATCCCTGGCTTTTCAGTTTTTTTGTACATCCTTTTGTACATACAATTAGATTCATTGCTTTGGCCCAAATGGAATATATAGAGGTCTTATTTTGATTTTCCCACATGGCAATATCAGATAATACATGTCATGAGTAGATATTACTGAAAATGTTTTGACAGTTTTCTTCTTGTTTGTCCATTTTCAAGATGCTGCTTGATGAAAATACATCCTTGAGATCCCAAATACCCAGCATTTTCCTTGTCTTGTTGGGCCCGTCGCTGAAAAAGGTAAAATGATGAAAACAGAATCTCATAAGTGTGTCTTTTGATATTAACTGTATGAACCAGAGTTGATTCCAGAAGTCACAACCTCCTTACTGTTATCCAGGCCCACTGAGTGTGAATGTTGTTCTACCTTCAGGTTGATAGAGCCATGCAGCCAGGACTTGTGTCACACTGTTGGACCTCACTCAGTCTACCTCAGTTCACTGCTCAAGCCTATTCTGCCTTGAAAGATTTATGCCTGGTTGTCAAAGAGGTACTGCATCAATGTATGCCCATCACTAAATAGATAGGTACAACAAAATTAGTGTTTTGGTTGTTTGAGTAATGTGTTTTACCATATTTTTTTTGTTTATACTCATGTTGTTGACAAGGGGCTAAAGGTAGAAGTAGAAGTAAGGTTTGTTTCCATATCTGTGTTATTGGTTTGCACTGAGGCTTGAAAGGTTTGAAAAAAATGTTGAAATCTGTTTTCAAACTTTGAACAAATGAATTTGTAAACAATCCATTCATAGTGTATAACCATAGAGTTATCTCCCTTTCATTGATCAGCTGCAAGCTCCTCACAGCGATAGTCCGTTCGCAGAGCTCTCTATACTATCACTGCCACCAGTCAAAACTCCCCACTGTGATAGGTGGCCCCAACTATGCTTGGAGTTGAACTCACAACCGAATGACCGTTATGTTTACAAATAAGTGACGACTGTTGTGACTCCTAATACACTTACCGCTGCTAAATTACTTTCTTTGTTTGTCAATTTGAATTTCTCTTTCATTCAGAACTATCATGTAATTGATAAAGTGAGAATGTAACAGAGAAGTTGGTTGATTTTCCGTTAGTCTGCAGTCTCGAACTAATCTGATTATACAAACAACAAAGTAAATTCATCTGGAAAACATGGTCAGTCGTAAACCTTTTCAAAATAAAATATGATGACATTCCCAAACACATAAACAAAAGTATGAACGTTACTACATTTGGGGTTAGAGGGCAAATTTCAAGATTCTTGTAATGGCCGCGCCCACACTGGTGGCAACGATGTTACCGAGAGTGTAACGAAGGTGTCACGCGCTGGGAAGGAGCTTGGATCAGCTGCTTCCATGATGAGTCCGATATTTCTAAATCCCTAACAGAAAGGCATGAGTGATGGGTACAGCTTTGCTTGTCAAGTTATTTGATTTTGGTAGATCATTATAAGGAAATTTGCATGGCCTTGAATTTTGTACATTTTTTGTATATTCCTGATTTTTAACAAGGGCAGATAACTCTAACCATCTTTCACCCAAATTAACATACTAACTGCACAACACATGTCTATGCAGGTTGCGTGTGGGGGGAGGTTAGATGTGCATATTGGGCTTAGACATCACTTTACTTAACATCTGTATATCACTCTACAGAACTTTTGTGAATCAGTCTTCTGAAGTTTTGAGAATCACGTATGCTACTGAAGTTTTTTAATCACTCCACTGAACTTTGTGAATTGCTGTAAAGCCACGAACAATGGATGACATTATATTTAATTATTTATGACAATGTGTTCATATGACATCACATTGCCTATTGACTGCGTCGCAAATAATGAAAACCGTGGAACTATAGGCTTGAACTTGCAAACCTGCATAATGCAGAAATTATTATGCTCAGTGAGAATTAAAGAAGATTACTGCTCTTATGTCTGTAATATATCTGACATGGGTAATATCTCAAATGTAATCTACTAAAAAGAGTAATAAACAACATTTTATGGGAGAATTGAGAAATTGCAGCAGGGTTTCTGAAAGGTAACAGGTTCTCAATTTGGGTATGGCACCAATGGTTTTAATCCAGTGAAGAGAGGATACTTTTACAACAAAACTTCTTAGATGCCATCTTAATTTACCATGATTTTTGCCACTTCTTGCGCTATTTTGTGAGCACTATTATCCAGGTGAATGACATCAAAGTGACTCGAATTGACAAGATCCTGACAGATGTGTGTGAGAGTCTCCTGTGTGATCTCCCAGACAGAACCCCATGGGCATTGAAAGAGTTTCTACACATCATGGAGGTATGGTTAGCAATAGTCCAACATCACACAAACATTATCAGGGATAGACATTCTCTCTAGCCCGCTAGCCCAAGTCAGTTTCACTCATGTTAAAAGTATCCTAAGGGTAGTAGAATTTTGAATATATTGGATGGTGTTTCTATATGTTATCACTTTACAGGTTGGAAGAGTTTCTGTGCTAATTTCTATCCAAGGTAATATGTCTGTCATTGGTAATATGGAAATATCATATGTCCATGAAAAGCACAATATTTGTTAACAATAAATTTACATTAGCAAACGATCTGTAAACTTGTAATTTCAGAAATGAGAAAAAACCCAACTATATTAATCATAAATAAAGATGTCAGACTTGTTTATTTCAACACTTCAAATGCAAGTGTTGGATGTGTTACAACACTAAATATATATGTAAGGCTAAAATGTGTTTTTAGTTGGATTATTAAAGGTTTTTTGGAAGCATTTTTTATTGAACATGAGTAAGTCTTTGAAACAAGTTTATTTTGTAAGGAGATGTAGATAAAGATAATACAAACATATGGTGGAAAAATGATCTTCGGTCACAGACTGGCTCAGAGTACCTATTTTCCCTTGAAGTTGAAAAAGTTTGAACATGCCAAAAGTAAAAACTTGCAAATGGAACAAAGGCCAGTTGTCAATAATTTGAACATGTCTGATAATTTTCAAACCATGATTATTACAAAATTTAACATAACATAAAAGTTTGACATTTTCAGCAGACCCAAAAAATCCTCATAAGAGACGACCAAATGGATTGGGTGGTCAGACACAGTGACTTGGTTAATTATGGTGTGTCATCATGCCCCGCCAGTGTGTATTGTTGCTGTCACTGGATTGTCTGGTCCAGCTTCGATTATTTACTGGCCGCCGTCATACAGCTGGAATATTGCTGTATTGTGTTGTAGTTGTAATCAGAGAACCTTGTGGGGAACCAGGTTTGAATAACGGGGCTCTGCAATTCTTTTGACATCTGGGAGTACCTGTGGCTCATTAGTCATTGTATTTATTTTTTAGGTATCATAAGTTATGAAAATTGAAACTAAAAAATCTAAAACCAAATCTATAACATTTTGGTTTTGTCGTTTCTCATTTTCATATATCACCTGTGATTGGCTGGCTGCAGACTACTTTAATGGAGCCTATCTGTTTATTATTACAATTGGGACTCCAAAGATCTATTTTCAGTTTTGAAAGAAGTAGATGTCACTGAATACCTTCAAATTATTTCAGAAACGAAATAGGCGTAATTTATGGACCAGCCAGACTGTTATGTATTATACAAACTTTGTGATCAACAACCAGCATTTCTTTGGAATATTGCATCGATAATGTTGCATTATAAATAAAATTGAGAGTACTTTGTTGAAAATTGTGTGTCAAATAGGCAGAATTCCTGCATTATCAGCCTTCAAAATTCACGCTAGTCCGTTAGCCTGAGACTACTTAATGGACCTGGGCCTGGATCAGTTCTTGGCTGGAGGATGTGGTCGCTGTTGAACACGATGATACATGACAAGCCAGAGGTGTTCACTGGGGCACATGTCTGGGGAGTGTGCAGGCCACAGCAACATGTTCTTGGCTGCAAGGAAATTGTGTACGATTTGGGCTGTATGGGTTCTGGCTTTGTCCTGTTGATAAGGACACCACATGGCCGCTGGTAGGACAATCGGATGAAGAATGTCATCCATGTAACGCTGAGCTGTCAAATTTCTGTTAACGATGACTTGTGGTGTTCTCTCCTGCCGACAATTTCCTTCCCTCACCATTACACCCCTCCACCATATGGCACGACCTCCTGAATGCAACATGCCACTGTTCATTCTCCCTGTTCTTCCATCAGCTCTGAACAGACAGAACCGGCTTTCATGGACTCTTTCAACACTGTAGGCCAGTACCCCGGTATATCGGCCAAGAAGCATCAAGTCCCCAGACACCGCAGGCTGGTTTACCGGCCAAGCTGTAGTCACGTCAAAATAGTTTATATTTTTTTTAACCTAATGTCATATCATTCATTTATTAAATCTATCACATTTCACAATGTCTGAAATACGTATTCCATTTCAATTTATCATTTTTTATCGATAAATTAAAACATTATTTCGTCGATTTTTAATGCAAAAATATATGCATGAAAAATCTTTGTCACATCTCGTAACCTAGCACGATACATTTTCGAAGTGATTTCCTGCTTAAAAAGTTCAGAATAACACGATTTATCAAAGTACCATAGCTGTAATTTGATTGGCTGCCTTAGGTCACATGCTTAAATTTGACCAATCACGAGGCTTGTAGCAGATTTCGGCAAGCAAGCTTCATTAGAAACCAATTTTTATCCAATGAAATCACATGTTATAACTACAAAAAAAACTCCAGGCGATGTTACGAGCGCATAAATGACGGAATAAGCTTTCTAGCAATGTGTCATATGCTATAGTCTTTGACGAGCGTGTTATTCATACGAAGCCTCAAAAACAGGGGTATTTCTTCATGTTACTGAGTGAACAGCCACTGTTATCGGGAAATAGGTGATGACAGATACTATTTATAATTCTTTTTAAGATGCTTTTCCAATTACGTAAACAATGAAAATAAAACAGAAATAGGTAAGTGGATTTATTAAATCTAATATTTGCTGAAAATCATAAATTTTTCGCTTCCTTGCTCCTTAATCTGGATGTTATCAACATGTTAGCTTACATTTAGGAGATAAACATACTGTGTTTTCAATGTAGAGCTAGGTTAGCTGTAGATTTAACAAAATTCCAAGCTCGCTGTTGTCTCCAATACGTAAATACATTCCCTTTGTAGATTTATATCGTGTTTTCTGCATGAAATGTATTGCCACACATCTTTTGAATATTGTAGTAACCGCATCTGTGTATTTTGTAACCTGTAATTGTAGATATAATTATTTAAATATGCCTACCGACAATTACTGAAAATAGTACTGTTCTATGAATATAAGCTTCCGCGGTGATGCGGCCGTCAAACCAGCTGTTTCAATCAGAGGGGGTTTATTGTGATTTAATAGCTTCTGATTGACCAATCAGAATCGAGTAAATCTCAAATTCATGGTAGAATTTTTATTTACAACGAACTTAATTAAGTTGTAAATGCATTATTCAAATAATGTGATAAACATAACTTTCATATTTATTAACCATAGGATCAGACCTTTCAAATGGTGTATAACGTGTAGTAGCGAAAATAATTTACAAGCAGATATTTTCTTTGATAAATGTTGGCTTCATCTATCACACAAGAGTCCCTGGGAACTCAGTGTCCCAGCAGTAAACACTTCTGGTTGACTGGTGTTGAAAGAGTTAATGAAGACAACCCTCTGACAGTCATGTTGCTGCTAACAACGTACTACAGTCTGGGCCAATCTCAGTCTCTGACGACAATGTTGCACTGTCAATAACTGTCTTCTGTGAGATCTGTAAGTCCTAATTCCTTGAGCCCTGAGTCAAATGGCCACTGTCTGTCGACTAATCATATGCTCAATTGTCGCTGATGACGTCACTGTCAGGAATCTATTCCAGAGATGCAAAGTGTGCAAGTACCGGTCTTCATTTGGCGTAGTTAGTCTTGGTCTGCCTGTTCTTGGCCTTTCTGATGACTGCCCTGTTTGTCTGTAACATTGCATCAGGTTAGTTACAGCAACACAGGAGCAACCAAAAGTTCTAGCAATGTGGGCATGGTTGGCTCCCATCTGTTTCATAATTAGGGCCCGCTCGCATTGTTTGGGTGTCAGTTGTGGCGTTTCTTTGATTGTTTTTTGTCAGTGTGAGTGTCTGACACACTGTCAGTGTCATTTACATACCCTTATTGCACATGTAGTTTCGGCTGCCCAAGCTGCATGTGTTTTTCAATTGTTTGCATTTTCTCAAGAAAAAAATGGCCGTGGATGTGTATCACTTTCTGAATAGAGCATTGATGTATTTGGACCATGTGATGTGCATTTATTTAAACTAGTGTTTCTAAATTTTATTATAAAGTGGTATAGTTTCTTTTGGCTGTCAGTTTAGTGAACATTTTTGTCTTGTTCAAACAGGACTAGCCACAAACACTGAGAACTACTGAACTGGTATTGAAAAATATCAAATTTCTAAGGCTGATTATGTGAAAATTTGGAATAGGTCCTCAGAACTCTTTTGCATGTCATAAGGTAAAAAAGTACATGTGATTGGGTCTTTTGGCACAGATTGTGTTCATCAGACGTGCCAGAGTGGACTTGGCTCATTCGTTGATCATCTGGCACAGACTTGATTGTTTGTAAGCTGCCATGATAGCTGAAATATTGATGACTGCAGCATAAAAGTACAAATGAGAAGGTAATCAGAGAAAATGTATTGGACATTCCAGGGCTACTGTGAAAGAACAGCCCTGGACTTGAATAGGCTAAGTCAGTCAGTAGAAGATTCAGTGATTGAACTGATCCGGATCTTTATGAACAAGGCCAAACTTGAAGGCTCTTCCTTCACGTTTGATGGACCAGAAGAAGATGTGAACTGTGAGTAGTAGGTCATGGAGCATATTATATATTAACCTGCAAATCATTCTCCCTATTATTTTAGTATCAAGTTTTTTGTCCCCAATTGAAACCATTATCAATATGTTCATGTTTTATTGATTGAAATTTAAAACCAGTTCACAAGGAAGAAAAGTTTGTTGTTCAAGACATTTATGCTATATTATTTTACCATATTATGTTATTTTTATCACAAATATACACTTTTGCATGCCTGCAAATATTTGATTGTGTAGGCATATTATGTAAGGCATACATTTAATGGAAAGCCAAGAGGTCCTTGTCATCTCCATAATGTTTAAGTGTGAAGATTCTGGGATTTCTTGATAGAAACACTATGGCAGCAAATCTTAATGACCCACTGACCACCAAGGGACATTTAGCTATTAGTCCAGTGTAGTCTTTTCAATAAATCTTGTGTTTCCATTGAAACACTTGAAATATTTAGCGATTGATGTCCTGACCTGTATTTTTGTAAGTATTGAAAGTTAAGTGTCCTTGAACATGTTGAAATATTATAATCTAATTCTACTAGGAACACCTAAATTTTTAATATCTTACGTAGAGATCAAAATTAGGAATGGAAGTCAACAGTCCTTTCATAAGGTTAATATTATATGGTAGAGATTTCCTTAGATCATGTAGATTCAAATGCCATAAGAGAAGACCACAAGAACCCCAGGAACAGAAGTTTGAACACTGTTACGTTAGAATGGACTTTCATTCCTGATTCTGAACACAGCTAATAAGGTCGGCTATTGAGAATTTTGGAAAGAATGAACACAGCCAGCATAAGAAACAGTCATATTATGATAATGCCATCCTATTTCAGTGGATGGTGAGGTTCTGCTGAGTATTCCAGAAGATACTGCAAGTCGTGATTCTGAAATAAAGCGAGAGGAGTTTGAGATTAGCACTGAGCAACAGATCAAGGAGGCTTGTGAGGAGCTGTTTGAACATTTCAACCACAGACTGCTTGATGCTCTGCTCCGTGCTACCAGACATTCACTTGATGTCATGCGCAAGAGATTCTTCTCTGGGTAAGCGTTGATCTATTACTGTGTCAAACACGATGACATGTTGTTTGCTCTAAAACCTTTGTGTTTATTTCACCAGAGGCTAAAAGATAGATATGCTTGCAACAGTGTAGTGTCTGACAATTGCATGCAGCACGTTATAATACCATTACTATAGCGTTTGACACAGAAAAATATTTGATTAACATTTCACTTTGTATATAGGCAAGGGACTTTGCATGCATATGGCTTGGAAATGCTGGCTCGTGAATTGACACAGGGATTGGGTACCTGGTTGCATGAGATGGTGATGTGCCTGTAAATCTAGTGCCCAACAGGCAGCATGGTTTGTATTCTCCCTAGGGAGCTGAGAATGATCCATTGATCGTGGTAATAATAGTGTAGTGCTTTGAGCATGGCCTTGTGAGGTTTGAAAATATGGTGCTATATTTAGCCTATTATTGTTCTAATTATTATGATTAGCAAACAGGTCGCCTATTATTCAAGCATCATTGTATTGGGTTTTTTCAGTGGTCGACGCCATAGCTTGAGTCACTTTGAGGACACGAAAAGTTCAGTTCAGGAGCACAGAGCCTCTTTCTTTACAGCAGATATCACTCTAGCCATCCCAAATGTTGTGAGTATTCCTCAGTAAATTAACGCCAGACACCACGTGAAAACTATATATTTCTCTATTACCACCAAAACGAATTCTGATCCCAGGGTAGTACAGTTAAGCATGTCTGTTGACATGGTTGCATATTCACTGCTTAAAACTTGAGTGCTTTACGACATGTATTATGTCAGTGATCGTCATTATGAAGTGATGCAGCCCAAAATCATTTGTCAAATAGTCAAAGATTTAGCTTAATATATAACAAAGAGGATTTGATTCCCATTTCCAGACTTGCCCAATATCTCTTATGACAAAGGTGAATGGGTCTTGTGTTCTTTAAAGTATGACATCACTGCATTGCAAGCTCACTGCCTGATGTCATAGCACTAGATGATGTCATCAGTGGAATATCCCTACACATTAGCAATTGAGGGAAATAAGAAATTGTACACGATTTTATTGATTTATGATTAACATAGCGCACTAACATATTTAAGTTATTATTTGGTTAGGGTTTGGTAGATAAACAGATATATGAGGTTAAATAATTTTAAAAGTTGAATACATGTACATGTACCATTAATTATACTTTTTGACGAAACTCTTAATACGATGACTGATTTCCCTATATGCCTCAATGGTTAAGTGTAAATTTGGCATGGTAGCTATACTCTTGATACACAAAACCAGACATCCAAAAGCATAATCAGCGTTAGAAATTGGCACTAGTCCTGTAGTCCTTGCCAAACTGCCTAATAGTTAAGGTATCATAAGGACTAGTAGAAATTTGCCATTTTTAAGGAGTTTGCTATATGTTGTCATTATAAGGACTACTGGACTAAAACTGTTAGTTTCTAAGGCTGATAATCTTCTGTACCTGTAGGTAATGCATCCAAGCCTGGATGACCTTCAACAGGCTCTTAACAAGGCTACGCAGTTTGTATTGGACGTCACCAAAGGTGTTGAACAGTGGACCAGATATAAGCAGGGCATAGCTAGCCTCCTCAATCCCTATACAACAGAAGACAGCAGTGGGGAAAACACCCAACAAGGTACACCTTCAACATGGTGGTAGCAAAACACAAATGTAGCTTGCAAATTAAAGATAGCAGTCCCTGGCCCAAGTCTTGCAAAATTCTGTTTGGTTTAAACGGCTCAGCTAATAATGGTCCTTTCAAACCTCCAGTGACATTACCCTATTTTTCTACTATAAGGTTAAATCCCATAAACAGGGATGTTGCAATTTCCCTGAAGTACCAGAATATAGTAATATCGAACGACAAATGTCATATATTTCAGTAGGTTGAACAGCATTTGTATATCTGTAGACTAGCATTGAACCACTAGGCTACAGAGGTGCAGATAAACCACAATGCTTTTCAGTTTCTCTTGCTAAATTACATTTACGTCAGCAAGAGATAGTTTATGTCTGTTTCCTTAGGTTCATGGAAAGTATGTTTAAGATATCAAATTATTGATAAATGTTTCAAATTTTTCTTTTGGTTAAGTAAGATAAAACGCCTCCCCCAAGTTTTTGAGTTTCATGGATGAGGGTTTAACATCTCATAAAAAGCCCTCAGACATGTTTTATCCTACACATGTTATGACACTAAAAGTAAAATCTAGTGAAAATGATGCTCAGAAAACAGTTCTGGTTAGTAGACTAAAAAATATAAGTTTTGGAACTCTGAGATTGTAGCATAATTCTGCTACTATCATTTCCGTACTTTACTGATTGTTAAAAGGCAAGATTGTTGTTTTCATTAATTAGTTGTCACAGGTAAGTTAATGAGGGCCAATGCTACACTGTCTTGGGATTGTTCCAGTCTAATTGGAAAATTGGACGTGTTCTTTTTGTAATTCGGGTAATCTTTCTTTGTATAGATCATAAAATTTGAGTTAGCTGGAAAAATGCAGATTTGAAATACCGTATTCGACATAATAAGTGCCTAGGGTGCTCTCAAAATTAGAAATAGGGGGCCCTTATTAGAATATTATTTTGGTGAAAAAAAACAACAGAGTTGAAAGATTAATTTTGTGGTTTATGCTAACAGTCCTGAAATGTTTATATACGAGAGTTATATTTTTACAGAATTTAATTTCCCATAATTAAGGGTGCATATAACACATGAGTACGTATTATACACGAATAAATAAGTCTGGTGTACATTGATCAATCGGAAGGGGTGCTAATTGGGATTGTTCACTAGCCAATATATATGCAAATATCGCCGTGGGCGCTTATAAGAGCCGGGTGCTTATTACGTCGAATACAGTACTTGAAAAAACTTGACCATTTTTTTTGCTTCTGAAGATGATTTTCTATGAGACAAATATATCAGTGATTGATATCTAAGCAGTTGAACACAGCTTATCCTTTAATCAATTCATTAATGTAACCAGCACAGCTACAGTACTTTGTGTCAAATCAATGTAGTGCATTGCCAACTACACATAGAACATGAACTCCATGTTCAGTGGAAATGGATTCTTCTATGGCTTAAGTCCATAAATATGGTGTTCACACAGATATCTATTTGTTTACTAATATGACTGCACATTCTGCTATTTTCTAACTCTGCAGCCTCTGATGTACTTAGCGTATCTATAAAATATTACAGCAGTGTTTGAAATTAAGAAAGAAAGTTAAGGGATTCTTGTCAGAGCCCTAATTCTAAAATGTATATATCTAGGGTTCCCTAGATTCAAATACTGCAGGAACAAACCTCAAGTACCATGGGATGAAAGCTGCAAACAGTGTTCGAAATTAAAGGCTGTCCTGGCTTCCTTGATGTTTTGTACTTGACTGAGTAAGTTTTCTACACTGCTTTTGGCAATATTCCAGCAATGTCACAGCAGTAGACAACAGAAATAGGCAATGGAGAATCGAACCAGGAACTTAGACATGATGAGAGAGCGCTTTAAACATTTTGCTTCCCTGATGCCTGTTTGGTTATTGAATCTTTAACTATTAACATATAAGGGCTATGACAAGGACCCCCTGACTTTCATTCTGAATTTTAAACACTCTTCAGGGATTTATCTAGGATTGCCCTTGGCAGGCAAATTTTGTTCTAAATTAGTTCTTATTTAAATCTATAGTTGTAACATTGGATTGTAACATTGCATTCACTGCAGTAATGTAAAATGTAGAGTTCACGGCTCTCCCTCTTCATTGGTACTGTTATACTTGGACTATGCCATCACATAAATAATAACTACATTAATATTAATTCGGAAATTACTAATTCCCATTTTGGAAGTTTTACTGACACTTTCTACAATTAATTTCATGTACCAGTAATATATAACATATCATTTTATACTCCTGCAGTGAAGTTTGCCTCAGCTAAGAAGAACTACTACAAGAATGTAGTTGACAACAAGGATATAGCCAAGTATGTGATGATGTTGTCGTCTGCCACCAGCAACCTGAGGCCGGAGGTGTCTCTGGCCTTGCAGAGATACACAGACTTCTCCTTCCTATGGGAGCAGGACCGAGACCAGTCCGTGGCCGTGAGTTCAGTACCATATGTTGAAACTTTCTCCTGTCTTGGGTGATTTAAAACATAACTATAGGTGACATGACCATTGATCAACTACTTATCAGCATAAGCAGTGTTCGAAATAATAAAGTCCTGGGCCCCGGGCCCTGTTCAAAAGCGCCTTAGCACTAAGATGACCGTAACTCCCATACTTTAACAAAAACTTATGACATTGTTGCGCTAAGATTGCTTTGGTGAGCATGGGACTGGTCATAAACCTAATGTTTAAAGTAGAATAATGAGGGGGTCCTACATATCTAAATACATTCAGTTATTATAGCAGAAATGCTCAAGGTCACCCCCAACCCCACCCCAATTTCGAACTCTTATTATAATTTGGGCTAGTCTTATAGCTCAAACAATACTTCTCATAGTTAGGTTATGCACAGGTTTGGTGGAAATAAGTTTATGTGAGTTAATTGTCACAGTGCTTATTGTTGAAACTGTACGAAGTTTAAATTTTACATTGCGCAGAGATTGAGTCAGAGATTGTTCAGCTATCACCTACAAATATATTTCATTACAAATGAGATCACTTTTGTGTAAATATATCTATACCAAAAAGGTCACACTTGTGCCAATGTCCGAGTATGACCTTGGTGAGCTTCATCATGCTCACTGACATTTGTCATTTTGTTTCAGGAATTTTTGTCAACAGATCCCATTATTTCGGAGTACAAGGCTAAAATAGCCATGTTTAAGAAGCTGGAAATTTCCATTGAAGACATCAATGCATCAGAAGTTGTTGGACCTATAGAACTCTTCACTGGTAAAGCATTCACTCTCATTCAGGGTCAAAACAAGCAAATATAGATTTGTTTGTGTCTGATAAGTGGGAGTCATGATAAACTACAGTATATATATATTTTATTTTATTTATTTAATTTTTTTGGAGGTGGGGGGGTGGGGCACTTTTTAAATTTGAGGGTCATAATATATTTTAGGTAATACCTAATAGGTATATATAGTCATAATGGACTGTAATCATCAGTACCTACTTTTTTCTACGTGTCAAAAGTTTTGTAGTATTATTGTATTTCTGGCATGTGTTGTGCTAGCCATTTGCCGACTATCTGTGATATGGCCGCACAATGGTCGTCAGAGACCCTCATCTCCAGTATATCCTTTGTCAAGCAGAGCTCTGCACACTCTCATCAAGATGCTGAATCATCATTTGTCATCCTATGGGCAGCCTAGGATTGTCAGCAGTTGCCTGTGCCAACCTCAAAACATCGGAAGATGCATTATCAGGAAAGTCTAAGAAGCGGTCATCTCAGGTACTTGGGGATGCATGGTGATGGTTGTCTTCCTCACCCAGGAAGCATGGAAACTACAGTGTCACACAGTGTCGTGTCTTTGTTAACTCTATGTGCCTCTAATCCATGGAATTTATTGTTGGACCATATGTCTCTCTCCCACATATGCATCATGTTGATTGGTAGATCTCATCAGTATGGAGGCTGATCTGAACGATAGGTCAGCAGATAAGACATTCGATGGAGGGTCTGCAGAACGAGTCACACTAGTTCCAACACTTCGCTTACGTGATTGGCTACTGCTAGCATAACAGGACCATTTCCTCTCCAGAGGCCTGAAAGCTGACATACTGTCCATGGCTCCTACATTAACTCCCACTTTGTCTTCATGCACATACAAGTTCATACGTCATGTAAGTGACTCTCTTACGTGCACTAAGATTGATGACAAGTTACCGTCCATTAAACAGACAACCTACACCACTAACTACTCGCTGTGGCATCCAACACCTTGATTCTTTACATGGAGCGAACTGGCTACAAGGTGCACTTTCATCAGCGTCCAGCATTTATATCCACCCAACAGGTAGGCGATTCCATCTGGGAAGGGCTAAGTTGGCGGCTGGGAATTTGGCCATCAAGACGCTACTACAGAAGGGAGCAATTTGTGCCTCAATACAAGCGAGGTTTCTATTCTCTTGTATTTCTAGTACTGAAAAAAGAACACGCAAGAGATGCGTATGATCCAACACCTGAAGCTCCTTAACAAAGACTACATGGTACATTCAATGTTCCAGATGGCGGCAATGGTTAGTCAGCTTAGACCTACAGAACACATTCTCTACATCCTTATCCATAGAGGAACGTTACAAGAAGCTACAGGCATTGATGATGAAGCACTCAATCAGCCATGCTGATCTCGTTGTTAGTAGGTGTCTTGCCTGACACTGACATCAACCCAAGATCTCACGTACAGATGGCGACTTCGGCTCTGCCCTCTTCAAAATTGGATGAACTCCATGGGCTCCCTCGATCTCAAGACCCTAGTACAACCATTTCCAACTGGGTTGGTTTAGTTGTATTGGTGGATGGTCTGTCACAATGATTCCCCTAGTAAATGTTCGCTCACATAGATGAAGCTACAGTCCATGGGACATGGACAGAACATGCCAGGCATTTTCGCATGAACTGTCTGGAAACGTTGGTGATTTACCAAACACTCAGTGCATGGACAGACAAGTTGCGTTTCTTGTTGTTACTGGTTACTACGGACAGCACCACGGTTGTAGTTATTACAGTGTTTGTTGAAGGAGACTTTATGTTAATTCAGCTTTACAGATGCGATTTATTTTAGGTTGAAGGCTCGTCCCATGCCCAACAAAATTAACATAGTGTTGTACTGTTTTACCTGGGAGAAACAAGGTCGTATCAGTGGAGTGGTTTATACATCCCCAAATTTTCAAGTGGATAATGGCAACTGAATTGTGAAGTGGTGTTTGCATACATGCATTTCCCCAAGGCCGTTACCAGAGTCCAGAGAAAAGCGGAGGACTTGAAGCAGAACATGGTTTCCCATAATGTTCCCTTTCCTTGTGGAAGATCCACTTCAGCTATCACTCCGTCAAGATCTATTTCGCCAGCCCTGATTGGATGTATTCTACTGCAGCCTGCACAATCTTCATCTACACTCGTGGAAACAATCAAGGCAAAGAAGTCAGGTTGCCGTTTCTCAAAGTTTGCCTCCGATGCAGCCATTCAGGAATATTATACAGATGCTTCTTTCAACGCTAACAGCTAAGTCTGAAGCCAAGCATCGAATAAATGAGTGGGTTTGGTTATGCTGCTTTGAATAGTATTTCAGTTCTATCACAGAATGTCAGCTTGATGTGGGAGGAAAGCCTCAAGTAATGCAGGTATTTTCCACTTCTGTGAAACCCCCCATCAAGTCTTTGACCCAAGCTAATGTTTTGGGGTGTCATGTAGATGAAGACACCACAAACACATGTTAAAAAGAAAATCAACTTGGGTCAAGCAATTACTCATAGTTAAATTTTCTCATGAAGTTTAAGATATTAGCCACTTTCATTTCTTTAAGCAGTTCTTATTTACTTTATCATGCCAGAAGCTCTAATCTGGTTAGTCAAAAAAGGTCAGTTTTCTACCTTGAACACGTTGAAGAATGTTCATGCCATATGACAGTTTTCCATAACTCAAATGTCTGATATTTCCAGAATGGGCCTGTATCCTAGGTCATCCTTTCTGTATTCAACCTTGATACAAGAATGTTAGACTAAACATGCTTACTCAGCAATTGATCAATTGGTGAAAACATATATTGTTCAACAAGAAAATTTCTACTTGCAATAAAAATATCTTTCACATGGAGCAGATTGCTTGTAAGTGCATTTTTTCTTACAGAACCCCTGAAACTGGCACTGAGCGTTGAAATCAAAGCCTGGAAGCAGTTGTTTGGGAAAGAGTTGAATAACAAATACCGTGACAAGATGGAGGACATCCTGGTGTTTGTGGAGGAGTACACTAAGAGACTGATGCGACCAATCAGAGACCTTGATGATGTCAGACAGGCCATGATAGCACTTGCAGACATCCGAGAAAATCACATCAGGATCGACATGTCGCTTGGACCTATTGAGGTAAGAAATGTTATTGCTATGACATGCTCTTAAGCTGCTCCTAGTTATTACATTACCGTATTCGATGTAATAGCGCCCCGCTCTAATAAGTGCCCACGGTGATATTTGCTGATATATTGGCTAATGAACAATCCAAATTAGCACCCCATCCGATTGATCAATGTACAAAAGACTTATTCATTCGCGTATAATACACACTCGTGTGTTACATGCACCCTTAATTATGGGCAATTAAATTCTGGAAAAATATATCTCTCATATATAAACATTTCAGGCTGTCAGAATAAACCACGAAATTAATCTTTCAACTGTGTTTTTTTTCACCAAAATAATATTCTAATAAGAGCCCCCTGTTTCTAATTTTGACAGTGCCCTTGGCGCTAATTACATTGAGTGAGTGAGTGAGTATGGTTTTACGCTGCTTTTAGCAATATTCCAGTAACATCACGGCGGGGCTAATTACATTGAATACGGTAATGTTCAAATACCAAAATTTATGGTGTTATCCTGATCTACATCAAGGAACTGTGGTGATTCCAGGTAAGAATATTGGTCCCCAGCAACCTATCATCAGCTGGTTGTAAGAGTCAACCTTGTGGATCGGGTGGTCAGACTCAGTGACTTTGTTGACTACATGCCATTGTATCCCAATTGCATGGATCGATGCTCATGATGTTAATCAATGGTCTTCCTGGTTCATACTTGGTTATTTAGACTGCCTTCACATAGCTGGAATTTTGTCGAGTGAAGGGATAAACAAAAAATAACAAATAAACAATACATGAGGGTTTTAATTTGTGTTTTCTGAAGTCCGCAAACATTATCAGCTAGGGGGATGTCAATGTCGACCTATTGATAAAAAGTAGTGGTCCACAAAGAAATGGCTCAGTTTTGAACAATGTACGCAAAGAACTAAAGGAAAATTTCCTGTATGACAGATACCAAAAATGTCAGATTTGAGAGAATAATTTCATTGGTGGAAACAATCATTTAATATTTGGAATTGATATTTGGCAGCAAAGGGTAATATTTAGTCAGTATATTTGAGGGAAAATACTCTTATTTTTATTTTCACCTGACTTATTCAAATGACATGGATAAATGCTCATGATTTCAATCACTAGTTTTGCCTCATCCAGTCTGGGCAGACTTGATTACCTTTGGCAGCCAAGATGTATTGCTGCAGAAAACAACGCTTACTTGTTTTCTCTATTTCCAGGAGTCATACAATCTGCTTCAAGACTTTGAAGTTATTGTTTACAAAGAGGAAAATGACAAGGTGGATTCTCTTCGATATTCCTTCCAAAAGGCCCTCAGTAAAGCTGTAAGTGAGATTACTCTCTTTTTAACTCGTTCAGCCTTAGACAACATGTTAGAAAGTCAGGGTTTTTTTAAGGATTAGTCCAGAGGGTTATTGTAAACCTTATTTCACTATTTCTCAGAGTTTGTTGCTAGTCCTACTTGAACGAGACAAAAATGTTTGCATTTTCTATCAGTTTTATTCAGTTCCAATTTGTAACATCATTAAAGCATTGAGAACTGATTCAGAATTATAGCCCTCTAATGCTATGACAAGAGGTCAACAATCATTGGATTTTTACTTGTCGTCAGCACAATTTAGTAGTCTCTGTCTAGCAGACTAGAATGAATTCCGAAGGCTGTTTTTTTTGGGACTGACCGTTTGTTATTGGGGGGTGTGGTGGGTGAGGGTGAGGTTGCATTTGGTGGGTTGTTTTTGAAAAGGATCATTTCTCCAGAATATACCGGTACTTGAAAAATGTAAATTTGCCTCAGCTTTTTCAAACAAAAATTAGGTCTTCTCTGGACAAGCTGAATGTCTTTAAACAAACATATTTTGTCTCTCTCTGGCATGGATAAAAGTGTATATCTTGAAACAGTGATTGAAAATATATTGTGTTTCTAACGAAAATCAAATCATCAAGAATATCTGTATGTTCATTCCATTACAGCAAATTATCTATCAAGGTAGTAGTTCAGTAACATATCTGATATTTGGGTGAACACTTCCTTAGTAAAGTAAAAGTTCTAGTTCTCTTTTGGGTAGGGTTCCATCTGGAATTCAAACCCACACTCTAAGAGTGAGGCACCTAATCGCTCAGCTTCCATGAAAAAATATTGATACTTGTGCTGATACAGGCAGGGCTGCCCAGGTATGTTGGACTACATAGAAACATTAAATGGATTACCGCTTCTTTTCTTTTAAATGTACACTCAATTCTTTTAGACATGGACAACAATTTACACCTGCACTCACAGTAGGAAGATGAGTAACAACAATAGAATACTATTACATATATAACAGTTTTCAAGATCATAAGGGATCAGGGGTCCTTGAGGTACTGAAATTAAAGGATCCCCTAAATTAATCGATTAATAAGAAAAAATATTTGTGTGTGTGTTTAGATACATATTTCTTATCTCGACTTGCCATATGATCAATTTAATGCTAAATATGAACTAGGATTTTCCATTAAATGTTTAAACTTGAATTTTCTTCCTTCTTTTTGTCCACCTTATTCATGGTTATTTCACTAAATGTAAGCATTTATGTGGCAGAGATTTATTCTTTTAATGTTAAGTATTCATAGATTTTATATAAATCATGAAAGATGATGACATCCCTTCTTTTAACATAAGGGTTATGACAAGAACCACATGATTTTTATGCTTAATTCTGACTACTGTATCCCAGTATAGTATTAAAAGACTTCCAAATGGCCATGTTTCATGTTATTCACTGAATCACAGGCAAAGCTCCTGTTATTATTTATTTTATGTTTGCCTACAATGTAGAGTCAGGTGCAAGATGAACTTGTGAATGTACAACCAGGCTTCAAGACAGAGCTGCTGACGTCGGTTGAAGTGTTTCATGTTGATGTGGAGAGCTTTGAGGAAAGATATTCAACTGTGAGTATACATAAAAGTAAATTTCCCATGTTGGGACCAGGAACATGACATATTATTGCAAGTTGCAGTGGTTGGCTAGTAATCATGTAATATGTTAATATCCTCCGCCACAAAGTGGAAGGGGGATGTCCGTCCGTTCTTCACATTTCGTTTACGGAGCAGAACTCAAATACCATGAGAGATATCTTAACCAAACTTGGCACATAGATAGGTCCATTGGTGAACTGGTGCCATTTAATAGTTTGGGATTTAAAAAAAATATAAAAATTCCAGTTTCCATGGCAATGACTTTGACTTGACTGAAAATGGTGGTAGTGCTCCTTTCCGGAGCAGATCTTGAAAATTGTACATACTTCTTGCCCTGCACACAACCGGATATGTCATATTGGCGTGGGATATGAGTATTTTATGCTTCACTTTGTTAACATTGCAATATACAGTGCCTTGTTTGAAGATACCAAACTTTCTACTGGATAACTCAATACATATTGGATAAGTAATGTGTCGGAACATGTACCTTACTTATAACAAATTAAGTTTGTCTATAAATGATACCAGGAAGATGACACAGGTGGGCATTTGTCCAGTAAATCCATGTGTCGAACGATTTAACAACTCGGATAGTCCTAACAGGTGCTTAAAGGGTTGAACTTGAAATAAATAATCTGCCACTTGACACTTCCTGATATAAACTGTTGTCACCTTCTTCAGAACAACACCATGCGTAGTTGGTTCAAAATAACATGAATTACATGATTGGTCGGTTTGAAAATGTCAAGCTACAGATCATTTAGTTTCAATTTCTGTTTACGTTTATATTGAGTGATTTGTGTAGGTTGTGCTGGGTTTATTCTTGGGAGGAGAAAAATGCAAACAGAAATTAAACTACTTGGAATTCATAGGGCGAATGAGAATAAACATTAGGTGGAGCCTGCCAAAGTTGTATACAATGCAATACAATCAACTGAAGAATGAATGAAACTGTTCAGAAATGAGTGTTAAGCTGACATGCAATTTGCTCAACAAGATATTGTAAATATACCAACGTTTTAAATTGGCACTAGTCCTAATAGTCCTTGCCAAACTGCCAAATAGTTAAGGTATCATAAGGACTAGTAGAAATTTGCCATGTTTAAGGGTTTTGCTATATGTTACCATTATACATCTTCCCGAGGCAAGGGAGTTAACTGACTATAAAAATCCAGTTACCAACCTTGGAACTAGGCTGGAATTGCTGGGCTCAATCGTAGCGCCACCAGTGGTTATTACGCGTTTTGTCCCTTCTATGCCTCTCCTTTTGACCAATCAGATTCGGCCTCAGGTTTTACTTACTGATCAATAATCAATATTTATATTGTGTAAAAACAGGCCGTACATCGCAGAGTGCATCAAATCATGTGAGCACCTTGATTAAAAACATGAAAAGAATTGGAAATTATCTGTTGACGCCTAGTTGGTGGTGCACATGCTTTTCAAATCCTGCAATCGAACCGGATTTCGATTTCCTTATGCCATTTTGAATGGACCATTTCGTATCACAAATATAGGGTAAGGAATATGAATATTAAATCACGAATACCATTAACAAGTCAGCAGTTTGATTTATTATTTGTTATATTCAGTGTAAAAATAACAACATAAAGTATTTGACATGGTTTGTTAATTATTGATATATTATACATTTATATACAGTACTTATCCAGGTACTAGTATCTGCTCAAATGCGACAATGACCAGTGACCACAATACTGTCAAATTATATATTATAAGAGTGAAGAAATCTATGCATATAATATGTTCTTATGGATATTTTTAGGTACAGTGTATGTTAATGCATGATTGCATAATCATAAATATTTGATTCTAGTGGCCTCGAATAATGAATTCGGTTCATGAATGGATATGGTTCGATTCACCGAATATGCGAGTGAATCGTAACAGCCCTAATCAATGCGCATATAATTTTGGTGCAGCATGATTGTCATGATTTACAGTATTGATTCAGTCATCTGAAGATTTTGTTGAAAGTTAGATTGTCTTATTTGTATACATGTACTTCCTTTTTGACAGGGAGGCCCTATGATTGAAGGAATATCTCCATCAGAAGCCAATGATAGACTACAGTGTTTCCAGGTAATTTCTGTATGAAATCCAGGTTAGGATAGGTCCCCAGTAACCTGTGTAGGTCGTAAGTGATGACCAAATGGATCGGGCAATCTGGCTTAGTGCAGTTGTTGATTGCATGTCATAGTACCCTGAAAGTGGGGTTCATTGGTCATACTATCAATACTGGATTGTCTGGCCCTGACTTGATTATTACTGGCTGCCCCCATATAGATGGAATATTTCCAAATGTGCCATTAATAAACAAACAAGTACCTGTTGTTTCACACGTCTGCAAAAATGATCTTGAACAGAGTTGCCTCCTACCTAATGGTAAAAGCAATAGTCCACAAGGGAATGTCACTATCATTAGTTCTTCCTAATGTTATTTTGAAGCCTGGGCAGTGTTGTTCCTGGAAGTTGTGAGACAATCAAGTACATGCTCAAATTCTAACAACATCATTATTGCTGTGTGTAGACATACATATTTGAACATGTGAATTGCTGTCATACAGACTGTACTAACAACTTCTGAGTCATTGCACCTGATTTTGTCTTCAGTCTGTAACTTTTGCCACTAGTCCGAAGTCAGAGTTTGTAAAATTCTGTTCGGTCTGGTGGGGTCACCTAATAATACTCCAAAAGAGAACAACAAATGTAGTAGACTCGAGAGTTTTTGGCACGGACACTTTTATCATAATATTAGTAGGGCTTAAAAAAAAAAAATTAATTGGTTCTCAGGCAATGTTTTTTGAAAATATAGTGCGGGCGGTGTCTTTTGTTGTTGTTGTTGAAACTAATATGTAACCAATAAACAGTTGTGTAATCAATAAGCAGTTGTGTACAATCAACCTGGGAAAGGGCCACCCTACATAAATGTATTCTTTGATGAGTAAAAACTGAAATACGGTATTTGACTACCGCCGGATTTGGAATATTTAAGGATTTTTAAAATATTTTTTTAAAATGGAAATAAAAACGAAACATGCGGCAAACTTTATAATGATGCAGGCAGTGCCTGAGAACCAAGACCTTTTATTTTTTAGCCTAGATTGACTGTTTTTAGCTGATCTTTCAAGACTGAAAGAAACTAAACCATTAGGCTTCAGACTTGTGGCTAAAGTCACAAGCTGCTTATATATTACTATTACATAGTAAGCAAAAAGAAAATGTTGTGTTTCAGGTTACCTGACCAACCAATTCTTTCATTTGCAGCCCAAGTATTTGTAATACGGATGGAAACAAGAACAAGAAACCCATATCTCACATTGGGGAATATATCAGATGGTTCCAAATATTATAGTTTCTATAATTATTTTAACCTACAAATTCAAGAAACATTGTGAATCATTTTTCTAAACAAACCATCTGTGATAAACATTATTTCTATATAATTAAGAACTTAATAAGAAGGTCAAATCTACCTACTGGGTAGGGTTTCTTTTCATGAGCAATAATGTTAAAAAAAAAAAAGGATTCAGGACCCCCTATGATGGCAATTGTTCTGAACTTCGCAAAGATGTATTAACAATGAAAATAGAAACTTTAGGTACATTTTCAGCTACTGTCAGTGATTTTGTTGTCTCAGATTTTACCAACTTTTGATATGACATTCTCATATGTCGTTATCAAATTTGGAAAAATTCATCTGAATGTTTTATATGGACATTGTATTTTGGCATTATTTTCAGTAGAATTTGGAGACCCGTTAGATCCAGGGTAGACTAGGTCTTGAACAACCCAAGCTTGCTTGTCGTAAGAGGCAACTAACGGGATCGGGTGGTCAGGCTCGCTGACTTGATTGATACATGTCATCATATCCCAATTGCATGGATCGATGCTCATGGTGTCAATCACTGGTTGTCTGGTCCAGACTCGATTATTTACAGTCCACTATCATAAAGCTAGAATATTGCTTAGTGCAGCGTTAAACAACTAATGAACAAACAAAACAGTAGAATTTGGTCTTCGTATATGGACAAGCATGATCTTATCTTACTACACCGGAAAATGTTTTTACTTGTTTTTACTAGGGCTTCATACTGTTTGGCTAAGGTCGCAGACTGCTTTAATGAAATCATGTATCTAATATTGTCTCGTTAACCAGAATCAGTTTGATGATTTGTGGAGCAAGTTCTCTATCTACTCAGCTGGGGAGCAGCTGTTTGGCCTGACAGTCACAGACTACCCAGCTCTTGTCAAGGTGAAAAAGGAGTTGAATCTGCTGCAGAAACTGTATGGACTCTACAACACGGTCATGACCCTCATTAATGGATATTTTGACATTCTTTGGATAGAAGTTGACATTGAAAAAATCAATTCAGAATTGTTGGATCTTCAGAACAGGTAACTGTTTGGATGGGTAGCCTTATTTTTAAGTGCGCTTAACACCTATAGTGTGGAGAGTGGGTGAGTGAGAATGGTTTTATGCAACTTTTAGCATTATTCCAGGCAGGGGATTCAAGAAATGGGCTTCACATATTGTACCCATGTGGGAAATGGCATCATGAGTCAAAGCTTTACCCACAAGGTGACTCAATAGTCTGTAAATCTAGACATGAGATTTTACTGCAGTCCAAACCCAATGCTCCATGTGACAACAATTTGTGGTATCAGTGTATCCTTAGCTTTATCATGAAGTCACCTTAAATTATGGTTAACGCATGTGAAAATCTCTTGATGACTACAATCATTTCAAACTCAAAGAAGTGCAACTTTATATGTGAAACAACTTCTGTAGTGTTCGTAATGTTTCTGGGCCACTTCTTGCACCTTCATCAGATCAACACTGAGAGATTGTGAAAGTTAATATATATATATATAGTTTATCATGTTTATCATGTAATAAGAATCACTTGTGTATACAGATGTCGCCGCCTCCCTAAAGGTCTGAAAGATTGGCAGGCATTTTTAGAGTTGAAGAAGAAGATCGATGACTTCAGTGAGTCGTGTCCCCTGCTGGAGCTGATGGCTAACAAAGCTATCAAGGAAAGACACTGGGACCGAATAGCAAAACTTACAGGACACACATTTGACTTTGACTCAGACAACTTTGCACTAAGAGACATCATGAAGGCTCCTCTGCTCAAATACAAGGAGGAAATTGAAGTAGGTAGACAAGAAGTTTCATTAATATTTAGTGTCTTCAGTGATACTATTTAATCAAACAGGTTTAGAAGGCTGTATCCATGGATAACTTATTTGACTAGCTGTATTTGTTCATCAATAGTTTGCATCAGCATTTTCATAAAATAATGTGTTTACTGAAGACAAAAGAATGTATGCCTTTTTCGCATTAAAAATAAGGATGTTTATGGTCAGAGTACCTGTATTTTTGCAAAGTGCTGAGTAACTGAAGTAAGGGAGGTAACTGTAATGCTTGGTTATTCAGGAAGTGACTGTGGCGAATGTGGCATGTTTAAAATCATTGGAATGTTATGAATAAATGGGACTGTGTATGGGTTGTCATGATTAGGACAGTTAGTTGCTAGGATGTTTCGCTTGTCTGTGAGATGTTTGAGTTAAAGTGATAAGCAATGTTGAAGTACAGACAGCCTTCTCGTCTCTTTCAATAAGTATTTCTAAAATCTAGATGATTTTATCTAATCTTCCGATATATATGGAAGACAGCAGAAGGAAAGTGTGCATTCTATTTTACAAGGCATACAATTACTTATGAACTGACACACCAAATTTACACTTCACTATTGAGGCATAGAAGGAAATCATTTACCGAGAAAACAGCTTTGCATTAATGAATAATTTTAGTATTGACTTTCATGCTTTGTAGAATAGAATGTGGCTCCTAACATTTTCTACTAATCTACACGATAACAACTTTAGCAATGGTAGTTTATCAACAGACATTATAAAGGCTCCACTACTCGGACACAATGAAAACAGTGTTAGAAATTGGCACTAGTCCTGTAGACTTTGCCAAAGTGCCCAATATTAAGGTATCATAAGGTCTAGTAGAAATTTGCCATTATTAAGGGGTTTGCTCTATGTTATCATTATAAGGACTAGTAGACTAAACCAATTAGTTTCTATCGCTGGAAAAGGTTGACAGCAAAGTTTTTGAATATATTTAGAAGTACAGAAGTTTTTCAAGTCTATACAGAATACTTCTTTGACCACTCATGTAAAACTCATGACCTGATGTAAATGTTAAAGTGACAGTATTCAGGTTGGTGTTTTTGAATAGCTATTTTGATTGTATACTGTATATAATTGGGAGTGTGTGCTGCAGTCTGATTAGTTGAAAAATGCTAAATGGGATTGGATCCTGGAAATCTGTTTCTTTGTGGCAAGTGAGAGTTTTTGTGATCAGTATCACTTTTTTCTGTCAGTCCCAAATGAAAAAACCCAAGCCATTTGGCTTGGCGAAATGAGTAAGAGTTATCAATATTTTTTGGAAAAACTTCAGTTTAGTTCTTCTTTTATCCTACATTCTGATAACCAGGTGAATTCAGTTGTCACAGAAGCCTGTGACATCATCCATTGTATCATGATGTCATTGCATTCCGGGGAATGTTATGTCTATCACACACCTGTTAGAGTTCACGTTGGGAGTGCTTCATTTATGTCTGATATATATAATATAATGTGTTTTCAGTTTTGAGGGTGTTACTGAGTGGTTTCATGCCTGGACATTTTAACATTAATAACTTACATCTAAAGTTGCCAGTTGCAACTTGAATTTCCGGGTATTGAACACTTAAATACAAAAAAAAACATTCTGAAAATACATCATGCTTATATATTATTCTAAGCAGTGTGTATGCAACACAAAATGAAGGCTTTACTGCTTTATGTTCAGCAATAATCATTAGTATCATATTGTTACAATAAGGCAATAACTGTAGGCAAAACTGTTACGCTTTTGATGCCACATTTCTATACAATGATACTCTGTGAATTAAGACCACATGTTATCTTTGTAATATTCTGGATTCACAAATTAACGGAATAGCAAATCTTTCATAACAAGTTTTTCCATTTGAACATGCTTTGAGCTTCTTAACATTAACAATAATCATGCTGACATCAGGCTTTCCCGTTTGATGGCGTTTACGGACCCACTTGCTGGTTTCATTCAAACATTTTACACCTCAGAAATGATTGATATGACTGTGAGTGTTGATTCCAGGATGTGTGCATCTCGGCTGTGAAGGAGAAGGACATTGAAGCAAAACTAAAGGCAGTGATCAGTGACTGGAATGGACGAAATCTCAGTTTTTCCAACTTCAAATCTCGAGGGGAACTCCTACTGAAGGGAGGTGAAACGGGTGAGATCATCTCTTTCCTGGAGGACAGCTTGATGATTCTCAGCTCACTACTTAGCAACAGGTACTTTATCATCAGCGGTGTCATGAACCTTCTGAATCTCTTGGGGCAGTAGGGTAGCCTGGTTGTAAAAAGTGTTCACTCACACACTCACTCACTCTGAATGTCTGGAAAGCTGTAAATGGTTTCAGGATTTGCAAATGACAGCCTTCATACTTCATGCAATTGTGTACTCGATGAGTAAAAATCCAATGATGGTAGTCCTCATTGACTTATAGCAAACAAAATATATAATAACAAAATCTATAATTCTCTATATAACTCTTAAGTTTGCTACAAACTAGAACTGAATAAAACTGACAGAATATGCGAAGATGGTAAACATTTTTTCTTGCTTAAGAACAAACTCTGAGGACCAGTGTAATGTGGTTTACTCTCGTCCTCTGGACTAGTCTTAAGAAACACAAATTTCTAAAGGTGATAAAAAAGCTCCTTTTACCAACAGGTAGATGACAACTGGGTAGCATGGTATTTTTTAATCATTTTCTAAATTAGGAATTTCTAGGCCTGAATTCCGAAATAAGGTAAATTTTATCTTATCCTGACTCATACTTATTGCTTATCTCTCTCTCTTCCGAATAGGTAGTGGAAACGTCCTGTGCTGTTCCCAAAGAACAGAGAAAACAGCTCACCCAAACGCACCCTCACTCTGCGCATGCGCACCGGAACCATGTGACCAAGCCCATTAATTCATCACTCTCTCTTTTTCGTGCCATCTTGGCAGTTGGAAATTTTTTCTGTGCATCATAATCCAAGCTTTCCATAAAAATTCACCCTTTTTAACAAAATCTTTTGCTTGGATTATCTTCTGTGATATTCTATACATCATATCTAACGATTATTTTATATATTTGGCATTAGAATTTTTCGTAATTTGGACACAAATGCAGCCCCTATCGGAGATTATGAAAACATGTAACCGATGTAAATTACATTTTTCAGATTCGGACACTCATCCAACCTGTGCCAGCTGCACAGTACAGAACTGCAGTGCAGAGAATAGATGCAAATTCTGCGCCCCTTTGGGGAAGGAAGAATTTAGTAATTATCTTTTTGCAGTGCAGAGGAAAAAGATGGATCGGAAACGACGTGAGTCTTCACGCTCGTTATCATCCATGGAGACGGCTAAAAGTAAGAAGAGGCAAGAATACGCCCTGCCCTTCGTCAGAGGAATTCGATTTGATATTATTCAAATTACTCCAGCTGAATATGATGCAGTCATCCCCCCATCTTACTTACTCGTCTACCAGTAAGAAGTCTAGAGAGTCTAAGAAAAAGAGTGCTGCATCATCTACTTTGAAGCCGTCTTCCTCTAGGGGAGAGCATGTTTTTGTAGAGGTTATTACCTCTACAAAACCATAGACTTCATCCGCAGTCATGAAGGGGGTTTCAAGAAAATCAGCTGTTTCTTCTAGCCAGAAGAAAGCCTGCGCGCAGACAATTACGTCCGCACAACCCCAGAGATTCACGCAGCCCGCAGTGTCATCCAATTCCGCTACAAATACAACCGATATATACCTCAATCAGCCTCAGACCTTTGCGCAGTCCAACACAACAATTACGTAATCCTCTACCTTCGCGCACGCATCAGCCTGCGCGCAGCCTATTAATCAACAAGAGTATACACAGACGCTAGCGTTCACGCAGGCTCCCGCCTTCGGGCTGCCTTCACGCAGGTTCCCGCCTTCGTGCAGCCTTCAACGTTTACACTGCCAACAACCTTCACGCAGCCTACCTTTTTTACACAAGGTACTTTGCTAACGCCTGCTATTAATACAGATGTGATAGCAAATATCACACAACAAGTCGTAATGGCTATGCAACAACAAATATGTAAACAACCTGGCACGCAGTCGACTACCTCTACACACAATAGCTCGCAGATGTCGCAGCCTTCATTTACGGCTCCGAATCCTAACGCCTCCTATCTTCTGCGAGAAGAGGATGTGTTCGAGCCCCCTCAAAATGAGGACACATCGGGGGGAAATTACCCTTCAATTTATGAGGATCATGAATTAATGGCGTGGATTACAGATAGACTGCCGATATCATCACCGTCAAGAAATTCTTCTCCCACTGATACATACTGTATCAAAGGGGACGATATAGACACTAACCATCCGACCAATAAAACCAATCTCCAACATTGCAGAGAATCTGCATGTTTCTTTTGCGAAAGCCACGAAATCACAAGGACTTCAAACACCAAGCTTTAATTCTAAGAAATTCCCCATGCACGCCATGTCGCAATTTCTTCGCTCACCGGAGATTGATGAAGATTACTCACTCATGTCAGACTCCAAAAGTAAAAAATCTTATATCATTGAGGATAAGAAAATTGCACAACTTGATACGACTACAAGTCATGCATTCTTTGGACAAGCGGTGTCACGCACTATGAACGAAGCTATGTTCTATGAATTAAAAGAGCCTCAGAACGACCGCAAAAGAATGCTACTTTCAGCTCTCGTCAATCAAAAGAAAAATCAAGAAATTATTTCTGATCATATGAGTTCAGTGTCGGCAGGCTCAACACTACTACGGCGACAAGGTCTTATAAATAATTCTAATTGGTATACCTATACCAAAGAATTATTAAGACAACCCTGGAAGGCCCCAACCATTTTTAATGGTAACATATGCAAAATCAACAAAGAAGTGCTTTAAGACTCCAAAGATCATATGCTGATCAAGTCAGTTCAGACTATGAATTCTATGTATCGTCAATCCATGCAGAAAACCCAATTCAAATGCCGTATGACGGGCATTCAAAAAGCTAAAGAGATACGCTCGTACAACTACTGAGGCGGGAAATCATCTGCTTTCCGCAAGTCACATGACACGTCACGTGATGCCGGTCGCGACCGCGGCCGCAGTACGAGGGGATCTCGCAATTACCGGCGAATATGGGCTTTTGAACGACAGGGAACTCCCCCACCAGCCGTTCATGTACAGCATTCCCTTGTAGGCGGAAGATTGGCAAGATATTGGATGAATTGGGACATTCTAAGAGACGAATTTGTTTCCAACATCTAAGAAAGGGCTACGCCCCGACTTTACTCAAGAAACCCCCGTTATCTCGCAAGCCATCGGAAATACCTTATTGGAAAGAATTGTTGCTGAAGTTAACCGAAGCAATCAATTCACGTCTCAACAAGGGCGCAGTCGAGATAATTCAACCAGAATTACTAACGCCGGGTTTCTATTCGCCAATCTGTTTGGTTCTCAAAAAGAATTCAAACGAAAATTCAACAAGAAATACCTCCCGAAACCGGAGGATTTCAAAATGATTCAACGAATGATAAGACAGCACGACTATCTCGGAAGCACGGGTCTACACGATGCTTACCTACACATTCCCATAATTACAGGAGTGACCAAACCAATTGTGACATTTCTTCACAACAAGGGAATTCGTTGTGCTTTTTACCTAGACGATGGGATACAAGCCCATCAATCAACAGAGCCCTGAAATTATTGACACAACTGAGTTGGTTAATAAATTTTCAGAAGTCCGATCTACAACCATCTCAGGACCTCAAATTGCTGGGGATCAGATTTCTAACCAATCAGAATCTGATAATGGTACCAGAAGATTGGTGGATAAAAATCAAGACTTGTTTGCCAACAGCAATTTACAAGAAAATCTCAGATAGGCTTGACTCACGTCAGCCCAAGCGTGGACGGTCCGAGGCAGACTACACTTACGCCCTATTCAGAGATTTCTAATTCCATACCTAGAGTACCAGGATTTAAAACTGCAACTACCACAAACATTGAGTAAACACCTATTATGGTGGACAGTGAAATCGAACATTTGAGCAGCAACTTGTTTAAACAAGCCGGATTACAACAACCACCTATTCGTGGACGCCTCACCTCAAGGCTGGGGAGCTCACTGCAACGGAGAAGTATCAGCATGCCTATGGTTAGAAGCAGAAAAGCTCTACCACATCAATTATCTGGAATGTGAGGCAGTAATCCGTGCATTATTTCACTGGGCCCCACAGTTAAGAAACCAACGTCTGATGATCAGAACAGACAATTCAACTGTGGCATACAATATAAACCTTGACCCTCCTGAAGTTGACATTTCAACTTTACGAGCTAGTAGACAATCTGAACTTTACAATAAAGGCAAGACATATACCAGGAGTGGCAAATGTCTTAGCAGATGCGATCACCAGACCAGCCAAACCATCACCGACAGAATGGAAGCTACACCCAGAAGCATTCCAACTGGCAATAAAAGAAAAAGGTTGCCCATTAGATAGACCTATTCGCAACCAGATTCAACAATCAGTTAACAACATTTGTATCACCAGTGCCAGACCCACTAGCTTGGTCAGTCGATGCTCTATCAATATCATGGGAGGGACTAAACGTGTATGCGTTGCCTCCACCAGCGGTGATACCACAGATATTACAAAAGATCCTACACACGAGCAGCCTACAACTGCTTTTGGTAGCTCCTTACTGGCCGGCGAGAACGTGGTTTCCAGATCTCGTCGAACTAGCAGGAAATCCAATATTAAAACTTCCAAACTGGCCAAATCTACTGCTACATCCTCACTCCAATCAGGTCCATTCAAGACCAGATCTATACGAACTTCATGTATGGAGCATATCAAGAGCAGTCACGTTAAAAGAGGATATTCCATGAGAGCAGCTAAGGCAGTATCCTTAGCACTTCGTAGATCAACGAGGAATCTCTATGACGATAAATGTAAAAGTTTTGACCAGTTTGCAACATCCAAGGGTTTTTCTGCAGCCAAAGCTACTATACCACAAGTAGCAGATTACCTATGTCACTTACGAAGTACAAGGAATCTTAAAGATTCGACACTGGGCACTTATTTGGCCTCTATCAGTTCTGTACTGACAATGGCTAACGGGATAAAACTTACTAAAGTTCCTGAGCTGATAGCCCTACTCAGATCCTTCAGACTTGAGGACCAACAGAAAAGTTTAGAGCCCCAGCATGGGACCTAAATATAGTCCTACAACACCTAACCAGTGATGCATACAAACTGCTCCAACAGGCCGACTTTGAACACCGGTTGCAGAAAACCCTATTTATTCTGGCATTAGCTACAGCAGCCAGAATGTCTGAAATCCACGCGATAGACTTCAATCGCATCACATTTGACAGTGGTAACAACCCATCAGCGCACCTTGGCTTAAGATGGGACTTTATTGCAAAGAACCATGTTTACCAGGCCAACCAGACAGACAATTCCATGTTCCGGCTCTTTCCTCCGTCCTAGGTTTTAAGAGACTATTTATTCCTTTATTAAGGAAAACACACACAGAGGTATCCAGAACAACTATCTCATTTTGAGTGAGAGCTATTATTCTTCAGCCTCCAACCCTCACGAAGTAAGAGCCTTAGCCTCAACTTTGACTCTTCACGGCAACTGCTCCATAACAACTATTATGGAAGGCTGTTTCTGGAAATCAGATACAGTTTTCGCCAATCACTACATCAGAGACCTTGCTACAGAAGACTTAGCTGGTATTCACCAATTCAGATCATTAGTTGTGGCACAACTACTCACGAATCCTACCAGACAACATTAGAAGATCACACTCACCCACTATCACGTAGACTTGTTGATGTCAGGTTACTGTTCCATAACCAACGACTGAGAGTCCATGCCCCCTGTTTTACAATGTAATTCAGCACATGAGTGAGAAATGATTGTGTTAAGATTATTGCTCTTCTCTTAACACTTGAATTATTTAAGGTGAACAAGATTTTAATCTTAGAAACCTTATAAATCCACAAATCTATATGATTTACTTCCATTTTGCTGCTCACAAAAAAGGAAGGTGGTCCCCAGATAAAGAATTTACACAGAAGATTAACAACGTTCCTATGGGGTTTATAGAACAGATCGACGTTAATCACACATACAGGTGGAACCCACCACCTACTGTGAGATTCAATCAATAAGTATGAGTCAGGATAAGATAAAATATGTATTTTTTAGAGTAAAAATATCATTTATACATATCCTGACTCATACAAATGAGTACCCTCCAGGCCTTCCCCTCTTTCCACTGATGTGTTCCGACCATTAAGTAGGAAATAAGAGAGAGTGATGAGTTAATGGGCTTGGTCACATGGTTCCGGTGCGCTTGCGCAGAGTGAGGGTGTGTTTGGGTGAGCTGTTTTCTCTGTTATTTGGGAACAGCACAGGACGTTTCCACTACCTATTCGGAAGAGAGAGAGATAAGCAATAAGTATGAGTCAGGATAAGTATAAATGATATTTTTACTCTAAAAAATACATTTTGTTGTACATACAGACACTTGGGATAGGTACGAACAGTTATGACATTATACATGAAAGTATGGATTAAAGAAATGATACTAGAGATATTGCACTAAATAATGTCACCATAATGGAACCTGTGTAGTGAGTGTATCATTTCACATTTTGAACATGCTGTGCATTAGACATTATAGAAAGGTTTACAACATACCTGTGGAATGGCTATTGTAGTAGAGAGTGAGTGTTGTTTCATGTCATGGCCAGCAATATTCTCGCTATTAACAGGTTGTAATTGAGTCTGGCTTGACAAGCCAGTGGTTGACGTTGTGAACAATGTCCCACACTGGACTAAAGCCACTGAACCTAACCTCTTAATTCAGTTTAGTCATCTCTTACAAAAATAAAGTGCTGGGGGCCAATTCTAACCTGGTACGCCATAGGGTTTGAAAAGAGTTTATGTAAACATTCTGAGTCTTTAAGAAGTTTGTTTTCAATCGAAAACTTGATTACAGTTTCAGAATTGTTGGACAATAAAAGGAAATTTTGCATTTGACAGGTACAATGCACCCTTCAAGAAAACCATCCAGAAATGGGTTGGTAATCTTTCTAATACAACAGACATTCTGGAGAACTGGATGACTGTACAGAATCTCTGGGTGTACCTGGAAGCTGTCTTTGTTGGGGGAGATATTGCCAAACAACTGCCTCAGGTAAAGAAATAATAGAAACAAGATTTTAAGGGGATAAAACAAGGATTGGCTGTCTTGGCGTCAGTGAACTGTATCTGATTAGGGTATCAATGTTAAACTGCTGTTGAATGCAGTGTAAAACCACATTTCATCTCAACTCACTCCCAAAAGTGTCATTAAAATCTGCTTACTGAATTCTGATAAAATAAAATTAACAATGAAACAGCTATAAATACGATTCAACATTTGATAAGGATATTATAAGTGTGGGACCTCAATGTGTGTGATTGGCTGCTTGGAGACGGTGTCATTCAAATAGTATCCCATATTGCCATGCCTATGGAGCATGTTCAGCTTCATTTAAAGTTACTGAAAGTAAGTACACAATTCAAGTACACCAGTTGCTGACCTCTTGTTATGTAACGGGACAGTCGGGTAGCCTAGTGGCTAAGGCGTTCACTCGTCATGCCAAAGACCCGGGTTCGATTCCCGACATGGGTGCAAAATGTGAAGCCTATTTCTGGTGTCCCCCACCTTGATATTGCTGGAATATTGCTAAAAAGGGAGTAAGACCATACTCACTCACTCACTAGTTATGTAACAGTATGAAATAGCCCAGTACCCATCTCAAATGTTAAGTAGTATGTTGGTCATATGTCTCATCCATTTATTCATATGAAAATGACATGCATGGAACCAGAATATGAAGATTAACATACCTTGGAATGACATGTGAAATGTGAAGTGATTCTCTGCATCAAGCTATGCTGTAGACTCATTGTTCATTTATGAGAACAACTCTCTGGACATGTGAATGAGATGTGTGAAAAGTTAATCCAATTCAGAGATAATCAATGACATGATAAAATAGGTCTTTTGTCTAACAAATCAAGTTAGTCATATGAAGTGAAGGAAGTCTGGATAAGAAAGATTATGATTAATGAATGTAGTAAATTAGGTAGGATTAGGGCCCATTTTGTCCCACAGAATCTGCATAATTTAGGAATTGAGCAACGTTTTAGAAATTGTCATGAAAGTTGTTTTCATATTAATGTAAGTTTGAAGTGGACATTGTTCTTCTAACAATGGCATGTTTGGTTATATTGACAACTCTAAATGCATGGATGAAGATGAAATTTTTGCAAAAGGATTATTTTAGAGATTTTCATAAAGCATTTGTTTAATATATGAACAAGTACTTGACCAAAGTTAATTTTCATAGATGAACATAAACACATTACAGATATATGGTAAAACCTTCATCTTGGGTCATGGACTTGCCCGTATTTACATTTCCACTGGAAGTTTTAACAATCTGTTCTGTTCACTCATCTTAGCCATATTTATGTATTTGACCTTGACATAAATCTAAAACTTGCATGTGTACAACAGTAAAAGGCTAGTTGTCAATAATTTGAATACCGGTATGTGTGATCATTTTCATACCAATAGCTCAGAGGTTTCCCAAACTTTCAAATTAGACATTTCCAGTGGGCAAGAAAGGGCCCGATATCCTCCTCTTCCTCTGATGAGGTATTGACGGTGATTCAGATTAATCAGATTCTAATGTATTTTGATCAGTTATGAATGTTGGAAGGCAACCTTTGCTATGTTGGCGTGTGGTGTCCAGATATTGATTTTAACCCTTTTGTTATCTTCAGTAAACATCATTTTGAAAACATCCAAAACTTGGCACAGTGTACTTAAAGTTAAGTACAGCATGTCCTAGGTCTATTTGTGTTGAATAGAAGGACAGTTTGAAGACTACACAGAGATTTATTCAGGATTCAGAGCCTAGTGCCCTCGATAGGCAATATTGGAAAAATTATTGTGCTCAAATTAATCAGTAATATACAAGGCACCTGTACAAAGCCATAACATTTGTTAACTTTTGTCAACTTTTGACTTTCTTCTATATCATAACCAAATTTTAAAAAAATCTTTAACCCTGATAATAGCATCAAGATCTGAGTTTGAATTTAAGAGTTGAGGAAAATGAGCATATTGTTCAGTAATGTTTTGTTTATGCTTTTCAAGCTAGAAGACTCTTTACCTTCTGTTGTAGGAAGCCAAGCGGTTTCAGAATATAGACAAGTCGTGGGGCAAGATCATGCAGCGCGCTCATGAGGGCACCAATGTCGTTCAGTGTTGTGTTGGTGATGAAACCATGGGACAACTTCTACCCCATCTGCTGGAACAGCTGGAGCTGTGTCAGAAATCTCTCACAGGGTAATCCTGTCTGGCTCCATATATTGTAGAAACCTAGTGTTTGCACGAACAGCTGATCATGACATGTTATCAGTGGAGTTTGGGCACTGTTTATTTACAGTAGATGCAAGGTTTGAAATTTCTTGCAGACTTGGATATTCATGTGTTTCTTTGAGACAAGTACAGAGGTCTAGTGTAAACTTTATTTAAATGGTCATCAGAGGTTGTAGATACTCCTGCTTGAACAAGCCCAAATGTTTACCCATGTTTACGTTTCCTGTTAGCTTTAACCAGTTTCTATATGGAGAAATCTATTTTAAGCTATAAAAATACCCCTTTTGATGATACTTTGTATATTATACTACTCAAAACAAGAAAATCACAGGGGATTTTTTTCATATATTTATAAATGCAAACATAGGATTTACATGACAATTAGGAAGAAAGTGCTTTTACACATGTTGAAATCACAAAGGGAAGAGGCGGTGTACAACAAATGACACATAAAGAGAGGCCTAGGTCAAAGAATGTCGGTAATGTTTATGACCACCATTAAATAAGCATGAATGATTGTCTGACATTGTGTTCCCATAGACTGAATCAGATTCATGATTACAGGTCTTGGAATGCTGTGGAATGTTCACCCCATAAATGTTTAATTGGGTTAAAATCTGTTGATCTTGATGGCCAAGGAAGAACCTGGATGCTGTTCTGGGCCAATTAACCTGTGGTTAATCTTGCTGTATGGGGTCGAGCATTGTCATGCTGTAAATGACAGTACATGAATGGAATGACATGAGGTCGATCATGATTTCAACACAGTAATGTTGCGCCATGAGATTGCCTTAGATCTGGATGAAATCTGTCTCCCACTGTATGAAATGCCTGCCCATACCATAACACTCCCTCCACCAAATCTGTCCAGTCCCTGCAGGTGGTTCAGAAAATGATGGTTCTCCATCTCTGTAATGGCCAGTTGAGATGGTTTAAACATCACTGTCTTAGGAGATGGCAATGCTGTTGTGTAAAGATGAGTCCACACGCTTGTCTCCTTGGACGTATACCAGCATCACATAGACGGTTCCTGACAGTTTGATCACAGATTCTCCAGAATCCAGGCACTCTAAATAGGGCAGAGGTTGCTGTAGCAAACCTGTTCTGTAAACATTGTAGACGGATGAACCTGTCCTGTGCGTCCTGTGTTGTTCCATGTTGTTGGAATTGGTGCCAGAGCCTCCCTATTGTGCTCCAGGACACTTTTAAGTGCCAAGCAAAAGTGGAATGCGACTCGCCAGCTTCCAAATGCCCAACTTATGGTTATGATGCACATGCCCCAAACAAACACATGAAATTCTTTCCCCATTGTCCCACACGCCCTTTATTGATAAAACCAGACGTGGTTGTTTTTTTGTGATTGGTAAACAGTGGCATTGGATTCAAACTCGGAAATGACTCATGGTAACGTTAAACAAGGACATAATAATTGTACATATACTCAGGATTCCTCTGAGATAAATCAGATAAGAAAATATGGTCTATATATGTGCCTTCTTGAGTAGTATAAATGAAGCCATTAATGCATGTTCATTCACATAATTAATTGGGACCAACGTGTAAAATGAACATATGAACCCTCTTCAAACACGTTTTCAATCTCAATGAAAAGGATGGGTTCAGATTTTGTCAACTACAACTGCTTATTATCTAACTTCTTTGACTGGCAGTGATTTTAGAAGTTGTTATGATGAACAAGGATTGGTTCTTATGGATAAACAAATTCTTTATTACAGTTAAGGTGATGTTTGGGTGTCAATTTTAACGCATTTAACATTTGCTAAATAAAGATGTTTTTAGTTACATCAAAACATTGCCTTAATTATAATAAACAAGTTATTTAACCAAAAGACCTTGTCATTGTGTTTATTGATTAGAAATTAATTAGTATTAAAAATTACATTCACTGAGTTAGAAAATAGATAAAAAAAAATGTTCTTCTTTGCACATTTGAATTCCAAAGGACACTTTAACATCTCTGTGGTTGTCCTGCAATGTCTTTTGTGAAAGGGGTCAGCTGATGGACAAGTGTTTTTATGTTATATTATTGTATCTTACTGTTTTAATTCTGTAAAAGTAGGGCAATAATGATGCTTCATATTATGCTTTTTGTGGACACTGCGTTTGTCATGTACTTCATTAGTGGAAGGAATTACTACAGCAGCAGAAACGTAGAGGACTGGAACTTGAATTTGGTTCAGAGGTTTGTTTTTTGAATTATTGTGTAAAGAGCCTCTATGTGCATTCCCTGTATGATAAGGTCCTCAACTTGTCATAAGAGATTTTCATTGATCTGGTGTCTTTGTTGCTTGCAAGTCATCATATCCTGAAAATCTGGGCCATTGCTCATAATATCAATCACTGGTTTGTCAGGTCCAGATTTATTGTTTACAGGCTGCCATCACATGGCTGGAATATTCCTAAGTGTGACATCAGATAACAAGTAAACAAACAAACAAACGGAAGGAAATTTGAGCTTTAACACCTATGATGTTTTTTAACAGGTACCTGGAGAAAAAGAGGTTGGTGTTTCCCAGGTTTTTCTTCATCTCAGATCCTTCCTTGCTGGAAATTCTTGGACAAGCAAGCGATTCTCACACAATTCAGGTACATAGATCTTTTCTCCTCTATTGAAAGTATATAGTGTTTTAAAGTATATTTAATTACTAATTAAAACTTACCTTTTGCCAACATAACAAGCAGATTTTAGGTTGCATTTTTCAATAAAAGGTTGCAGTGGTGCATGTAATATATATAGTTAAATCAAGCCCTGTTATGGGTTGATCTTAACTGTCAGAAAGGGGTTTCACTGGACCTGGACCTGGACCTGGACCTGGACCTGGACCAGTAGGTAAAGACTCAGAATGTGCTATTGCATATTTTGATTTGCCTTGTGCCGTTTGAGATGTTTATGTTTTTACATCGTAAGCTGCCTGTGCCTAAAACAGGCAAAAATCTAGCAATGTTTCATTTTTGTGGGATTAGGTGGATTTGTAGTTGGCTTTGGGTGACTATATTTCATCTGTCAAGAGTTGGAACTGAGTTTGGAATAATGAAAACCCAAGCGAGGTCACTCAACTCTATGCCAACAGAACATCTTGACATTTTATGACAATCTTGACAATCATCAGAACTTAAAAATCTTTGACATCAATAACTTAAAAATATATACTGACACATAACACATAATTCATTCATTCTTGCAGATTTAGAAATATTGGGGAAATTAAGATCCTTGTTTCATACTTGTTTGTAATTTTATCTTCAGTAGATCAGATGAAAATATTTGAACAGCAATGCCGCAGCAAGTGTTACTTAAGATTCTGTCTTTTCTTACAGTTTATATTTAAACTGTTGACTATATATCCAGGTGAGCCACAGTGCATTTTCTACTAAAAATAGAGCACTCCCTGGTATTAATCAATGAAACCGTGAAGCAATTGGTAAACATGTTGCCATTGTTGAGTCTCCTTCATGAGCTGACTCTAGTCAAGTAACAGAGAGTCACTGACATAATGATTTGGCAATGGTCTGTACCAGTGTGAAAACATACTGTAATATGACATATATATTACTATGAAAAGGCCCTGTGGGGCTACAGGGCAGAATAGATATTCAGTACCCATGCTTCTTCACTTGTTTGCCAGGCCCAGACTTCATTGTGACTACAGGATGTTTTGATACAGTCCAGAGGACTAATGTGAACCTTTTTTCACTAGTCCTTAGTCAGAATTTGCAGCCAGTCCTTATTGAACAAGACAAATGTTTACTATGTTTTCATTTCTGTCTGGTTTATTCAGTTCCAATTTGTAGCAAAATAATACCATTGAGAACTGGTTCAGAATTTTCGCTCTCACACGGTGGTAGTCAATGAAACTATCATCATGGGATGTTTATTTGTCCTCAGAACTATTTAATAGTCTTGGGCTCACAGACTAGTGTAATTTCGAAGGCTACAGCTTGAATGTTACTGACTGCAGCATGAAAAAAAACACCTGTAAAGCGGAAAGCAGCATTTTGCCAAAATCTTGTTTTTGATGGAAATTTTGGTATAACTGTCTAATTGCTACCATTATGATAATAAAGATGGCGGTTTCAGACCAGCACATATGTTGTAAATATCTTTTTGTTTTGGTTCCAGTCTCACCTGCTGGGGGTGTTTGAGAATGTCAATGAAGTGGCGTTCCATGAGAAGGACTATGACAGAATCATGGCTGTTGTTTCCAAAGAGGGTGAAAAAATCATGGTATATGAATGAATAAGTACCGTATTTTCTTGAGTATAGTGCGCACTTTTTTTCCAAAAAACACAGCTGTTTGGAATGGGGTGCGCATTATACACGAATTATGAGTTTGGATTTTTTTTACCCCCATGGAAAGACATTACCGTGAGCACGAAACACCGGAAATACCATGTCAACAAATCCATACTGAACGCCTTGAAACGAACTTTAGTTGACAGAGAATGGATAAATATATCATAAATGACATACTTTGACTCGTTAAAAGTCATATTTGTTTTTATTTGACGATTCTATGTCAACATGAAATTCTCGCGATCACGCGATCACGTGCGCGTGAGCCTTGACGGTGACTGGTCACACTGGTTCCATGTAAAAAATAATACACGGGAATAGCGATCAGCTGCTTTGCTTAGGGTTATTATTATTTTAAATATGTTTAGTAAAGGCTGCATATAATTAAGAAAATAATGGAATATATTATTCCTGATAAAAAAATTTGTTTCAGATACAATTTTTGCCGATCCTTGCATAAAAAATCCTATAAAGTTATATCATTGGGTGTGTCTTGACTGAATCACCGGTCGATTCCAAGAAAACGTGTGTACAGCTGATTGCTGTTTCCGGCTTAGTTTACGAGAAAATACACAATGTAATCTTAATTCCTGGATATATAACAATGCCTAGCAGAACAATAAATACTATTTAAACGGTAAATAAACATGTCTGGTGATTTTTTATCTCAAATTTCGAATTTGTACTGACGAAGTTTCTTCTCACCCGTTCGTTTGCCTGACTTCACTGAAAGGGTACGGTGTAAAAATTTTCTGCGCATAATATTCAAATTTCTTTTTTTCCAAAATATTGAACCCGCTAGAGGGGGGTGCGCATTATACATGGGTGCGCACTATACTCAAGAAAATACGGTAGGTGAGGTGCTAATAAAGTCACTTGGCACTATTGACATTACCTGTATGTTTACCAGTAATATTTCAGATTCAATGACCTCTATTAATATCAAAAGCTCTTTGTCTTCTTGCATTGTCTAGTGAAATCTTAGCAGATGTTACCGGTGTTAAGTTAAATACTGTATTCGACGTAATTAGCGCCCCGCTCTAATAAGTGCCGATGGCGATATTTGCTAATATATTGGCTAGTAAACAATCCTAATTAGCACCCCTTCCGATTGATTAATGTACACAAGACTTATTTAATCGCGTAAAATAAGCACTCGTGTGTTATATGCACCCCTAATTATGGGCAATTAAATTCTGGAAAATATATACCTGTCGTATATAAACATTTCAGGCTGTCAGCTGTGAGCATAAACCACAATTTTTTTTCACCAAAATAATATTCCATATTTCTAATTTTGAGAGTGCCCTGGGCGCTTATTAAGTTGAATATGGTAACAATAGCACTCTATGATTGTGCAGTCTGTGCTAACCACTTTTTGGTCTATTACTCCAAACTTGTATTTTGGCATCACTTTTAGTGTATTTAGTCTAAGTAATTGGGACTCGTATCAACTACTTTTACTAGACCTGAAGAAATTTTACTTGACTTGGGCTTCAGCCTATTGGGAAAGGTCTTCAATACTAATACAAGATTGGCATGCCATTTAATCTGGTTACAAAGTGTAGAAAATACTTAATTTTGAGTGTCTTTGTACCCAAGTACCATGTTGTTCTTGGTGTGTTTGATACACCTACAGTTATAACAAACTCAAAGGGACCACTAATTTTAGTTCATTGTAAACATAGTTCGTTATAAACATATACACAGCATATATACAGCAAACAGCAAAAAGCAGTTTGTTATGTAGCAGGACTGCGTCAGATGCACACAGACTACAGACACTGCTGTGTTCTTCAATGGCCAATATTTATTCCCAGATAGTATGAACATAAAAGAAAACACCAAGAAACCATCAGGTCTACAATATAACACATATATAACAATATACACATATTATAAACACAGATATGCACATACAATTCATACGCATACCAATAAGATGAGATACAGTATGTAGCATTGTTGTAAATGGATAGGTAGAATCTATTTATATCATAGTACATTTCAAAAGTATTTTTGTCTTGATATATAATCAAATGTATACACTAGATAGACTATATACACAGTTAATAAATTACATATGAACGATATGCAAACGTGTAAACCTACCAGGTGTGTGGGCTTTGGTTGATATCACACCTGGGGACAATGCCGCGCTAAGTTTCTTCACAGTGGTGCAAAACCCGTCTGCAGAGAAAATAACCCTACATATATATACAGTACATGCAGGCATGCCAATAAGAACAAATATAGTACTAATATTTTCTTTCAATTATACATACATGTAGCTGAACATGATAAAGCAATACTATAAAATGCCTCATTCATTCATGCTTAGCCTTACCTCCTATATTACAAACAAGCTCTAATATTATTTCTAAAGTTACTAATATTCCTTTTTAGTTTATTGCTCATACAGGTATTAATGAATTTAGGATACTTATTTGGTTGTTTAACTCAATAACAATCACGAATGCACATTCCGTGTATTCGTTCTAAACACAAATATATCCAAATACAAACAATATCTACAATATTGCAAATACAATTAATTAATAAAGTCCTCAATCCAGTAATAAGATATAAACCTTAGAATTTGATCTAAAGTTCCCCAAAGTTATCCTTGTGAACAACAGGTGAGAAAATAGTGAATATATATATCTTTATCATTCGAAAAGTATATGTGGAATGACCACGGTCCTTCTGACCCGTGAAGATCAAGGGTAGAATAGGTCATCAGCAACCCATGCTTGCTGTAAAAGGCGACTAGGCTTGTTGTAAGAGGCCAGTAATGGGATCGGGTGGTCAGGCTCGCTGACTTGATGGAAGCATGTCATCGATCCTAATTGCATGGATCGATGCTCATGATATCAATCACTGGATTGTCTGGTCCAGACTCGATTATTTACAGACCGCCGTCATATAGCTGGAATATTGCTGTGTGCGTCATATAACAACAAACCAACCAACCAACCTTCTAAGGTGTACAGTATACAGCATGGCTCACCACCCAAGCTGGCCGTATAGACAAAAGGGATCGAGTTGGGCAAGGGCACAGGATGTGACATTCACAAACAAACCATGCACTAAGCTTGCTAAGAAAAAGGGCTGTGATTGATAGTGTGGTGTAGGCTGAGCAATAAAATTAGATGACTAAAACTGTATTTAATTATGTACATCAATTATACTTAAAGGTAAAATACAAGAAATATTCGCAATATGTAACTGCCACAGTTATATCTGCTAGTTCGTTACAAGCGTGTTTGTTATCAACATAGTTTACTGTACATGCCAGATGCCACATGCTTGTCGCGCGTAACAGGTTTGGGTGGTCAGTAGGGCTGTTACGATTCACTTGTGTATTCGGTGAATCGAACCGTATCCATTCATGAATTGAATTAGTTATTCATGGCCACTAGAATCGAATATTTATGAATATGCAAGCATGTGCATTTACATAAATATAGTCATAAGAACATATTATATGCATAGATTTCTTCAAAAGACAACACTCTTATACTATTTAGTTTGACAGTATTGTGGTTATTGTTGCATTTGAGCAGATACTAGTACCTGGATAAGTGCAGTATATATATGTACAATATATTAATAATTAACAAACCATGTCAAATAATTTATGTTGTTATTGCTTCACTGAATATAACAAATAATAAATCAGCTGCTGACTTGTTATTGTATTCGTGAATTAATAATCGTATTCGTTACCCTATATTATGATACAGATCATATTCGCCTCATAGTGTATTCATTGCAGCCCTAGTGGTCAGGCATCCTAACTTGGTTGAATGTTATCATATCTCAAATGCATATAACGATGCTCATGATATCAATCACTGGATTGCCTGGTCCAGACTCAATTTTTTACAGACCCCCACCATATAGCTGGAATATTGCTGTGTGCAGCATTAAACACCAAACCAACCAACCAGCCAACCTTCTAAGGTGTACAGCAATAATGTAACTAGATTCTTTAACGAGTAAAGATAATAGTCTGTATGCTTCATTACAATGAATGATGATGCGTGGTATATAATATGTGCGGTTTTAATTGCTCTAGCTGGAAAAAGTGGTGCAAGCTCAGGGAAATGTTGAGGTATGGCTTGGAGATTTGCTGAAAGAACAGATGAAATCACTTCATGGTGTTATCAGAGATGCTTTCAGGACCATCAATGCACCTGAGTTTGAACTTCTAGAATTTCTCAACTCAGTGCCTGCTCAGGTAATAAAAACAATCAGATTAATTGTTATTTAATAATTTCTAGAACCATAATATTATGCATATTTATAATGTGCCAAATCCACACGCATGGTCAAAGCACTACATTATTGACCCAGTGCACTTGATATTCATACAATGTATATGTTTATGTTTAAGGCATGCTAAATACAATGTTTATGTTTAAGGCATGCTAAATACAATGTTTATGTTTAAGGCATGCTAAATACAATGTTTATTTTTAAGGCATGCTAAATACAATGTTTATGTTTAAGGCATGCTAAATATAATGTTTATGTTTAAGGCATACTAAATACAATGTTAATATTTATATTAAGGCATGCTTACTACAAAGTTTATATTTATGTTTAAGGCATGCTCAATACAATGTTTATGTTTACATTTAAGACATGCTAAATACAGTAGTGTTTATGTTTTCAGGAGTATAAACATATTATATTCAAAACGATTCACCAAAGTAAAATACCATTGTCTAATTGTATGTTGAGTTCTGAAGCCATTGTAGCTATTGGTGTATTTTGTGTCTCTAAGAAGTGATTTTGTTAAAGACACGGCATTAGGGCATTTTGATGGACTTTATCTTTTGATAGAACTTCTATATATCTAATAGTACCAAATTAAAGAAATTGTAGGTCTTAGGATATTTTGGATGGGCCGTCAGATGTAAAAATAATGAACTAATCTGAAAGCCTTGCATTATTAAGGTAAATGCTGTGGCTACATAGGAAATTAATCCAGGTGGAGAATTGGTCCCCAGAAACTTATGCTGGTAGTAAGAGTTTGAAGATGGGGTAATCATTTTTGCTGATTTCGTTGCCCGGCGTGGGTCGTTGCTCATAACATCTGTCACGTTGGTTATTTAACTGTATTTTGCTGAGCACATTGTTAAACAAACAGTAGACATGACTGTTGCTTTCTGCTGTAGGTTGGCCTGCTGGGTATCCAGATGTTGTGGACCAGGGATGCAGAGGATGCTCTGAAAGTGGCCAGATCAGACAAGAAGATGATGCCAACCACCAACCAGAAGTTCCTTGATCTCCTCAATAAACTCATCGAGCAGACAACTCATGACTTGACCAAGGTGGAGAGAATCAAGTATGAGACTCTTGTCACTATCCATGTGCATCAGCGGGACATCTTTGATGATCTGGTAAGTATCCTACATTATGGTTGTACATTCACTGTTGATAATTAAGTCTGTTAGCCTGAGGATGCATGGTAATATCAGGTAAGAATATATGTCCCCAGCGATCTATGCTTGTCTTGTTTTTGATGCAAATTCTGGTATAATTTTCTAATTGCTACCATTTTGATAATGAAGAAGACACCCATTGAAGATGCGGGTCTTCATCAACCAATTCTTGTCTTAAGAGGCAACTAAATGGATCGGGTGGTCAGGCTCTGTGACTTGGTTGATTGCATGTCATCATATCCTAATTGCAGGGATCAATGAACCCCAAAAAAAGAACTTTGACTGCCTAATCTAAATGAAGGATGCATACGGTTGTCACAGGTCTGCGTTCTAAAATGATTCCGAAAAAAAATAACAGGGAACACAGATATATTTTGTTCCTTTCAATTGTATTCCCTTTTGGGTGTAGTTGCCATGGCAGTCAAAACATATATGAAATATCTGAAACCCCCTGTAGTATGAGCTTTTATTATTTCCATTCGGAACTACTCATATGAGTTTATTTTCAAGGTACAGAAGTGAAAAAAGCTGCCCTGATCCTGAGAATTTAGAAACATCAACACTGATTGGCTTGTTGGAAAGTTCACTTGATGAAAACACTTTTACCAATGTACTACCCTGTGCCTTTTTAACTTGGAGGATATTGTATTTGTAGGTGAAACTTCATATCAAGACACCTTCTGATTTTGAATGGTTGAAGCAAGCAAGGTTCTACTTCAAGGAGGAGATTGACCTGTGTATTGTACAGATCACTGATGTAGACAACACCTACCAGAACGAGTTTCTTGGTTGTACTGACAGACTGGTCATCACCCCTCTCACTGACAGGTAACATTTGGACATATCTCTTAGACTATTCAATGATAAATGCCAAGGATTTATCCTGGATTCCAAACTAAGTGACCCCGACAGGAAAATTTGTCAAGTTGTTTATATGCTTAATTTCAAAAGTTTGAATTGATTGATATCAATGCAACCAGTAAAATTAAGCATTTAAATCTGTTTATTCGTCCTGTTATCATTTTCGAGAAAAAAACAAACTTTTCTCAGACTCAATAATATCCACAGATATAAAATGTGTATGCTGCAATGTTTAAATCATGAAGAAAAGTTTAATTTGATTGGACATCTATTTTGGGCATTGTGTCATTCACACTGGCCTCAATAAGAAGCTAAGATGACAAATGGATCCAGATATATATCATGATTGAAGATATGATACACTGGATAATTGATAATGTTGGTACTGCAGGTGTTACATCACACTAGCCCAGGCTCTTGGGATGTCTATGGGAGGTGCCCCAGCAGGACCTGCTGGAACTGGCAAGACAGAGACAACTAAAGACATGGGCAAAGCTCTGGGCAAATATGTCGTTGTGTTTAACTGCTCTGATCAGATGGACTTCAGAGGACTTGGACGTATCTACAAAGGTTTGAAGATACAGAATAGTCCCTGTGGGGATTCTGGATTAGAATAGGTCCTCCGCAGTCTATGCTGGTCGTACGAGGCGACTCAAATGATCGGGTGTTTAGGCTAGGTTTAGGCTAGGATTATCTGGTTGAGACTTGGGTTGTTTACAGGCCGGTATCGTATCAATGGAATATTCAGGAAGAACTTGTGACATTTCCTTGTTGACTACCACTTGTGCCTTTAGGTAGACGTCAACTTTTGCTTACTATTGAAGACAAGAAATAATTTCCAAACCTGTCCAATTCAAGATACAGTCAAGTCTCGTTAATCCGACACTCAGCTGTATCCGACACTAATGATGAGAACTGATTAAATCAGTGCTATTTAGACCCGTTAATCCGACAGTCTCACACTCCGACTCCAACACACAGTCTTGTTAATCCGACACAGCTATCAGCGGACTCTGTAGTCATCTGCCCGCGAGTACGAAGCCCTGTGTTTTGATGCAAGACGAGTTGGCGAGTAGCTGCATATTTCAACGGCTGCAGAGATAGATTTGCTTAACAATAAACAATTACTGCTTTAAATAAACAAAACAGGATTACCTCAATCTCATAAAATCGGATACAAGATCTCGCTACCGCTGAGGACATCCCATTACAAGTCATGTCAGAATGAACTTTGACTGACCAATGACATTACTAACAGGAAGTCAACATTAGCCACTAAGAAAAGCAGCTTTCTTAATCATTATGGCACCAGTTTCAAATTGGCAACTTCCATTCCAGACTATGTTTTAAAAAGTATTTTAAATCAGTAATACATTGTGTTAAATCTTAGATGTTGCATGATTAGAAACATAAATGTATTCCGCTAACAATGTAACATAACAATATGAATATTGCCTTTTTCCTCTTTTTTTGTTCCGTGTTTGAATTGTTATCTATCATGTAGTTGTCCGATTTTCAATCCTGAACGTTGATACTACCTAATACTCGTTAATCCGACATTATCATATGCAACCAACTATATCGGATTAACAGGACTTGACTGTACTTTGTTGAGTGATCTCACAGATCCTCGAACATGATTGTGTCCATGTTCCATGGCAATGATAACAAAGAAGGTCTCATCCAAAGCAAGGTTTCAGATTGGTTAATTTTCTTGGACACTGACAAATCATCATCCAGTGTTCTCAAGATAAGTTTCAAGTTTGGTCAACATATAGGAGAATTGGCTAGTGAACAATCACAATTTGCACCTTAAACCTTAATTATGGGCAATTAAATTCTCAAAAATATATCTATCGTGTATAATACGCATAGATTCTTCTTTTATATCATTTCAGGCTGTCAGCATAAACCACAAAATGTACAATCTTTCAACCTCCTTTTTAATCTCATCAAAATTATATTCTAATAAGAGCCCCCTATTAAGGGTACTGTTTGTTTCCGGAGCGTAACTCAAAAACCGTTAAATAATTTCTTACAAGACTTTGCATGTTTACCAGACACCTACTGAACTGGTGCCTTTTGCTATTTAGGAGTTTTATAAATTTTTATTTTTTACGTTTCTATGGCAACAAGTTGGACTTAGGTTCTATAAGGGTACTGTTCGTTTCCGGAGTTTATGTTTACTTGATTTTATCATTGTCATGCAGGTCTAGCACAGTCAGGATCCTGGGGATGTTTTGACGAGTTCAACAGAATTGAGCTGCCTGTGTTGTCCGTTGCGGCCCAACAGATCTACATTGTCCTCACAGCCAAGAAGGAACGGAAGAGGGAGTTCATCTTTACTGATGGAGACAATGTGGAACTCAATCCAGAGTTCGGAATTTTCCTTACAATGGTAACCAAGCAACTTGCAATTGTGGTCAGGAATTGACCTTGGTCCATATGTTTGTGAGTCCTGGGTCTTTATCCGTAATACATTTAGGGATTTTGACATTGCACTTACCTAATGCAAGTTGACGTTCTCCCTCTTTATTGATCCTGTATCAGTGAAATACATGTTGCCTTGACTCAGCTATCACATTAGTTGTTACATGTAGTATGTTAACATGAATTGGGAAATTGGTATTTTCCATTTGGTAAGTTTTACTAATGTTTGCTGCAGACTTTGGGGACAATATCAGCCTCTGAAAAGGTCTAGATGAATGAATTTGCCCTCTATACCATGTGTTATCATTATTGTACTTGTACTTGGAATTCAGTATATGCACAGTATCAATTAATTTCATTTCATGTCATTGTGTATATGACTCAATAAATGATAAACTTTCACACTATTTTTTTAAAAAGAATGAATAATGGTTGACATCACATATTAGTGATGTGACTGGTGTAACCACAGTTTTGCTGTGATTGTAACGAACAAGCATATAGACAGTTAGAAAAACAGAACACAAGGGATTTTCTATCCTTAGCAAATAAATTAGTCATATTCAAACTTAATTATTTCAGAACCCTGGTTATGCAGGTCGACAGGAGCTGCCAGAAAATTTAAAAGTACAGTTCAGAACAGTTTCTATGATGGTTCCAGACAGACAGGTATGTCGGAAGTAAAAACAAATGTGAAAGTATCATCTATTCAACTGTCAGGTCAGAATCATTTTCTGTTGGTATATTGTCAGCATAAGGACACACCTGCTGACTTTCATCCAGTAAATGTGCAATATAACTTAGAACTGTGCCTTTTGTCATATAACTTAGAACTGTGTCTTTTGTCATATAAGTTAAAACTGTGTCTTTTGTCATATAACTTAAAACTCTGTCTTTTATCATAAAAGCATGAAACTTATCGCAATGACAGTTCATGATGTGGGCAATGAAGTAGAGTCACTGCACCGACCATGGTGGCCATTTTCCAATATGCCCGTCAGAAATATTTCTATCCTTTACAGTTGATCTATCCCAATAACCATATACCATACCAGATCACTTAATATCTTTTTTAAAATCTTATTTAAAATCTTATTTCATCTAGTTTATTACAATTAAAAATATGCATTCTTTTGCAAATGAGAAATGTCTTCACTGCAACACGCCATTACTTTTGAGTTATAACTTAAACTTGTGTTGGATTTTAACAGATCATCATGAGGGTGAAATTGGCTGCATGTGGTTTCATAGAAAATATCATCTTGGCCCAGAAGTTCTACACTCTCTACAAGCTGTGTGAAGAACAGCTTTCCAAACAGGTGAAGTCTTGCCTTATCTACATAAAGTCTGACAGAAACAAGTAGTAATGTTTCTTTCAGTCTTGTATGTTCAGGTGAATACTGAAAGGTTATTGCTGTAATTTGAGCCTCATGGCCCATAGGTTGGTAACATTTTTATGTTCTTTACATTTGTGTGATTTACTTTTGCTTGAGTCCAAAATTATTATGGACAACAGTGAGCAAGATAACGTGATGATTTTGTGTGTTCATGATACTTGACACTGACAGATTCAGTATTCACCTGATGAAGGGGCAAGAAATAACTCTGAAACATTGTTACATAGTATGAAAGAGTGTCGTGTTCTTCCAACTTCTTAATTAAACGATCACAATATGTGGGCATGGGTGTGATGTAAACACGCTTTCAGAGATATTAGTATGTAATTTCGAAATCCCTTTGCAAACATGAAAGTGTTAACAGCATATTAACTGCAACATGTTGTAGGTTCACTATGATTTTGGTCTGCGGAACATCTTGTCTGTTCTGAGAACACTTGGTGCACAGAAAAGGTCTCGGCCCAACGATACAGAGAGTACGATTGTGATGAGAGTGTTGAGAGACATGAACCTGTCCAAACTGGTGAGTTGGGGGATTCAACACTGACTGATACAGGGAAGTTATGATACAATCTGATATCATCATCAATCTGTGGCCAAAACTCTTGAGTCAGCTACTCCGTATATGGCTCTGAACATCATTTTTGTAGCTTTTTGTGTTCTTATATATGAACGCCGTGATATAACTGGAATACTGTTAAAAGCGGCGTTAAACCCAACTCACTCACTCTCATATATGGACTATTATGATCTGAACTTACTAGACTGAACAGAATTTTACTAGACTTGGGCTTCGGAATTAAGCATGAATATCAACCCTTTCGTTAAGTATTAAAGATGGAGGGGTCCCCATGTTCAAATACTGTATAGAGAAGTATACCTCAAGGACCCCAGGACACCTTTCTTTAAATTTATGACACTGCTAGCATGATGTTAAATCATGAAAACTTGCTTAGATTTGAAATTAGGTATCTTTATACCACTGACATTTTGAAAGATTATGGATTATGTATAATGTTTATTAATGCGTCTGGATGTAGACGTTCTTGCTCAGTTATCCAGTGTATTATGTCTCCATTCTATTCTGATAAATACCCTGGACTCATTGCCACCATATTTTGCAAGTAATGTCACTAACTTAGCACAAAATTGTTCTCGCTCATTGGAGCTATTTGATTAGATGGCGGTCTTTGGAGTCGTGCCATTGGAGTCAGTGTCAAAGCAAAACTGGGGTCAATTTGGTCGAGGGTATTTATCAGAATAGAGTGAAGATATATACTGACCCGCTTTGAAAACGCACCAACATGAATCCATGAAAATATCATGATAGTTGGCAAAGAACAACGAAAATATGCCATGTTTAGGGGTATCCTACCCAAAACTGTTGTCAAAAGAGAATGGTACTCAAAAACATAATTTTACATGTGCAAAGTACGAATAATGCAACGTGTCAGTACCTTTTCATGCAGAAATGGAGTATAAAGGGATGGCATTCAAAGGCTACCTGCATAATGGCTGTAGCCGCAAAATAGCACAGAGGATGCAATGCCGAGATTGACACTTGAGGAACGGGAAGTGCCATCATCCTTTCCTTACCCGATTCTGATCCTAAGGCACCAAAATGCACGTCTACACGGCACAGACAATAGTAACTTCTATGCTGGCATGGTGTTCTCTTCTCTGAAGAATCCAGGTTTCACCTCAGGAATGCCGATCGACGTATATGAGTATGGTGTCGCCGTGGTAAATGTTGACACGATGATTGGGTTGTGCAGACTGATGATCGATGGAGCAGTAGAAGTGTGATGGTTAGATGCGATATCCGTTTTCGGCGCAGAACGCAGCTCCATGTATGTATAGGTCGTGTTAATGCAATTTACTGCAGGGATGCCATTTTTTAAACGTCACATTGTCCTCTGTTTCCGTCAAACACCAAGAGCTGCATACTTTCCAACAGGACGCCAGAGCACATACAGCACGTGCTTCTATGAACATCTTGGCATAGAAAAACGTACCTGTTATGCTATGGCCTGCATTATCTCCCAATCTATCGCCAGTGGAGCACTTGTGGGACAACCTGGGAGAGCGCATCGCCCGTCGACCTCAAATCACCACCATGAGAAAGCTCGCACTTGTCCTGCAAAACGAGTGGCGTAGGACCACAAGCTCTCATCCATACTGATACTGCCCATGAGATGGCGTTGTGTGGCATGCATTGCAACTAGGGATGATCATACCTGGTACTGACTTTTGTCTTTGGACCCCTTGTGTGTTCCATTTCCTCCACATTAAAATTGTGTACTTTCCAATAACCTTGTCATTATTAATGTGGAACTAAGTTATCTAAGTGTGATTGTAGTACCCAGGCAACACCATATAAAATTTGATTTAGTGTCAATTTCACTTTTTACCCCTTGGGCGTTTTCAATGCGTTTCAGCATATAACACTGGATAATCGAGGATGGTACATGTAACAAAGTTTGATTCAGGTTGATGAGGATGAACCTTTGTTCCTGAGTTTGATTGCCGACTTGTTCCCGGGCATTGTACTGGACAGTGCCTCATATGCTGACCTCCAGGTAGCCATTGACAACCAAGTAAATGAAATGATGCTCATCAACCATCCTTCCTGGAATCTGAAAGTTGTTCAGGTGAGCGTGGCATGTCAGTGTGACATAGAACTTTTGTGTATCAGCAACCCATTGTTGAGATACCATTTTCTGAGTCATGGTGCCATGTTATTTATTTTGATGAGTGGCAACTTCATACCAAAGCTGTTGATGACTACAGTTATTTCACCCCAGTGGGGATTCCAGGTTAGAATTGTTCCCCGGCAACCTCTGCTGGTCGGAACAGGCAACTTAATGGATTAGGTGGTCAGTGACTTCGTTGATATCATTTCCTCATACCCCTATATCATGGATCATTGCTCTCAATATCAATTACTTGATTGTCGGGTCAGACGCAATTATTTACAGCCCACCATCACATAACTGGAATATTGCATTCCATGATTTTGTGCTGTATGTTTGTACTTTCTGTAGCTACAGTACTAAAGAAAATACTTGGTTATGTTCTGTTTTAGAAAACAATTCCTGAAAACCTCTGCAATCAGATTTTTTACCACATTTGAGCTATATGTTTACTTTTAGTTTAAAAGTCAAAACCATGCAAGTATTATACTGAAAAAAGGTCTTATTATCTATTACATGAACCTATTTAAATCTTCAAAACAAATTTTAAAAGTTCAGTTCATTTCTTTAATTATGCAGATCCTTTAACTTAAAGCCAAAGGTGTCCTTACTAAAACTTGTTTTTGATGTGCTCTCAGCAAAGTATATGAATGCCAATCTCCTTGTTCTTCATATAAATATGTAATTGTATCCGCAACCTCCCTGCTTCAGTTGTTTGAAACTCAGCGTGTCCGTCATGGCATGATGGCGCTGGGCCCCAGTGGGGCTGGCAAATCCTGCTGTATCCATGTGTTGATGAGATCCATGACTGACTGCGGCAACCCACATCGGGAGATGAGAATGAACCCCAAGGCTATCACAGCACCGCAGATGTTTGGTCGACTTGATGTTGCCACCAATGACTGGACAGATGGCATCTTTTCAACACTATGGAGAAGAACACTCAAAGCCAAAAAAGGTTCTCTGTTATTTAACACATGCAAAACTAGTAAAGTGCCGCCCCATTGGGATTCTGGGTTAGAATTGGCCCAAGCAACCTACACTGATCGTAAAAAGTAGAATAGGTGGTGACTCAGTGACTTGGTTGATTGTGTGTGTTTGTAGCACCTCATGGATCATTTCCCCTAATACCAATCAGTGGATTGATTCAATTGTTGACACACCAGTCATATAGCTTGAATATTGCTGAGTGCAGTATTAAACAACAAACAAAGGTTCAAAATCATATGTACCTTTTTCTGAATGCACCAAACTTTAAAAGAAATAGCTTGTAAACTGAAATTTGTTCTCTTAAAGACACTTCACACCAGAAACAATTATCAAGTCAGGGGAAGGCAAATAAGATGACAGCCTCACTTAGGAGATATACACACTGTGTTTTCAATGTAGATCTAGGTGCCTGTAGATTTAACCGCAATAAAATCAATTTGTAACCGAACGAACAGCTTGAGGTTTCTAATGTTAAATTTAGCGCGTTTAAATCTATAGGTAACCTAGCTCTACATTGAAAACACAGTATGTTTATCTCCATTCTACCATGACTAAATAAAACGCGAACTCTTTGGTGTTAGCAAACATATTGAGTGAAGCGGCATGGATTGAGTCCAGTGTTTTGAGTGGGTTATCGATCTGAAATACGGAATCACCAAACAAAATATGGGGCTGTATGTACACAAGCAGTTTGTTTACATCGTAATACTTCACTTGAACATATGACAGCCATTGAAAACATATAAGCACGGCAACTTGGTAAGCTAACATGAGGTGGGCATCCCTAAAGAAAACATCGCGTGTCTTCATTATGACGTCAAATCGCTCATTGTGACCCAAAGATATGACGTCACAGTCGTATATAGAAAAGTGCCAAAATTCCAAGCTCGCTGTTGTCTCCAAAACATAAATGCATTCCCTTTGTAGATTTCTATCGTGTTTTCTGCACGATATGTATTGCCACACATCCATTGAAAATTGTAGTAACCGCATCTGTGCATTTTGTAACCTATAATTGTAGATATAATTATTTAAATATGCCTCAACACAATGACTGAAAATAGTACTATTCTATGAATATTAGCTTCCGCGGTGATGCGGGCATCAAACCAGCTGTTTCAATCAGAGGGGGTTTATTGTGATTTAATAGCCTCTGATTGACCAATCAGAATGTTTTGAGCCTGTTTGGTTAAGATAAGTACAAGGATGTTGTGACTTCCATGAAATCACTTGCCATTTACAGGGTGATTTCAAAAAGAGGGTCCTCTGGGTAACTTGAAAAAAAGTTAATATGCACAACTAGTGTGAAGATGTCACTTCTTGTTTGTTGTAAGAACCGACCAATGAAGATTGGACGTTAAATGTGTGACCTGGCTGATTGTCGGTCACTGGTTTGCCTGGCCCTGATTTCGTTATGTACTGGCTAGAGTGAGTTTGGATCAAAATATAAAACTTTACAGGCTAAGGGTGGAGTAGGCATGTTGGAAAGTTTCGTTGAAAGGTTATGCTAATTGATGCAAAATCTAAAAATAGATAACACCATGTGAGATTGTTAATTGGCTGTTTCCCTGATAACCCCTGTTGTATCAGTATGATGTATGATTGTTGAGTGGCTGTTAACCAGATAGTTTCTGATGTATCAATATGTGAGATTGTTGAATGGCTTCACAAGATAATTTCTGATGTTCTCATTATGATGTAAGATTGTTGAGTTGCTGTTTCCCATATGACCCCTGATGTATCAATATGTGAGATTGTTAACTGGCGGTTTCCTAGATAACCCCTGTTGTATCAGTAAGATGTAAGATTGTTAATTGGCTGTTTCCAGGATAACCACTCATTATGATGTAAGATTGTTGAGTTGCTGTTTCCCATATGACCCCTGATGTATCAATATGTGAGAATGTTGACAGGCTGCTTCCTAGATAACCCCTGTTGTATCAATATGATGTGAGATTGTTGATTGGCTGTTTCCTAGATAACCATTGTTGTATCAATATGTGAGAATGTTGACAGGCTACTTCCTAGATAACCCCTAGCTGTTGTATCAATATGATGTGAGATTGTTGATTGGCTGTTTACGTCTGACAGGTGAGAATGTGTGGATTGTTCTGGACGGTCCTGTTGATGCAATCTGGATTGAGAATCTGAACTCTGTGCTGGATGACAACAAGACTCTCACCCTGGCCAATGGTGATCGTATCCCCATGGCCCCTAACTGCAAGGTGGTATTTGAAGTACACAACATTGACAACGCCTCCCCAGCTACTGTATCTAGGAATGGTATGGTGTACATGAGCAGCTCTGCTCTGGACTGGAAACCAATCTTGCAGGTGAAACAAAGCGTTATTTTCATATTGGTATTAAACATTGTATATAGGTGTTCGAAACTACTTGTATTAGGCTTAAAAAAATAAAAGAATTGGTTCACAGGCAATGATTTTTGAAAATGGGTATTTCTTTTTTGCTTGTTCATACCAGTATGTAACCAAAGTTTTGTAACAGTTGTGTACTATCAACCTGGAAAAGGGCCTCCCTACATAAACAAGCATTCAAACTCATTGCTGCCATGACCATAACCAGGGATGTGCAGTAATGCAGTGCACATGTAAAGAGAAGTAACTATGTGCTATATTGGATCGCATTGTGTTTAAGTATCAGGATTTTTTTTTTAAAATGGAAATAAAAATGAAATGTTCTGCAGACTTTTTGATGATGCGGGCATTGCCTGAGAACCAAGACTATTATTATTTTTAGTCTTAGAGCACTAATTTTGCTGGAGACAAATAGCTATAGGACATTTTCATGGTTTTATCAACTTTTTGATATTCTTCAGCTTGTATTAATGACCACATTAGAAAAATATCTTTACAACATTTTGAATGACAATCAGTCAGTGACCAAGAAAATTAATCAGCCTGAAACCCTGATAAGAGTGAAAACACATCCCCAGTTTTCATGCTCTGGACCCAAAAAATTATTTCTGAGAGTCTCCTGGACACGAAAAAAGATGGGTAACAACTTCTTTACATTTCAGGGATAATTCTTGCATCTTCATCAAATAGTGAATGAGTGAGTATGGTTTTACGCCGCTTTTAGCAATATTCCAGCAGTATCACAGCGGGGAACAACCGAAAACGGCTTCACACATTGTACCCATGTCAGGAATCGAAACCCGGGAATTGAACAAATGAACGCTTTAACCACTAGGCTACCCAACCGCCTCCTTCATCAAGTAGAGATCTACTAGGCTGTGGTTACAAACAATAAGGATGTGATCCAAAGATGTTTTCTGTCTCAGTGAATGTCAATGATTCTTAATTCATTCGTGCAATGTAGGAAATGGAAAGATTTGTTTGACGTAATGTGACTTGTCTTGTAGGGCTGGCTGCGAACAAGAAATGCCCAGGAAGCAGAAATTCTTCAAACTTTGTACGACAAGATCTTTGAAGATCTCTTCCTGTATGTCAACCTCAACCTTTCTGCAAAGATGGACACACTTCAGTGTAATCAAATAAGACAGGTACTTAGTACTAAGTCCAGCATTCTAGGTGGAAATTGGTCATTGAAGAGGGTTTTACTAGTTTAAGTTATAGGAAGCAACGCTTCTGGTACATGTAGTGAGTTTCGTAGTTTATTTATTACTTGCCGTTTCTAACTTTTACAAATGTCATTGTCTGTAAATAGGCAGACATCTACATGATCCAAATCATTATCCAAATCAATTTACCAAATAATACTTCAAAGACTTCAAAAGTTGACATGTATTAATTTCATACCATACAACGGCCTACCTTTAGAATTTAGTGGTCCACTCCACAAATCTATTGTAGCCCTAAGCTGATCCTAACTCCCATACTTTTTTCAAAGACTTGAGACTGTCATTGTGCTACAGTCACCAAGTTTACAAATGCCTCACATTATACCCTATGACATAATTTGTGAATTTCTTTGGCAAGATTCACAGGCTTAACAATGCCATATGATGTCAGCCTTACAAAGCAACAGGTTTGCTGGGGTCATCAAGTGTGCATAAGCTCCTCTATCATCTCTACACGCAATGTCATTGAATAAGCCCAGGGATGTTGAGAGTTTTCAATATTTGTTAGTGAAACTAGCTCCTGCAGTACATAAGCAAGCACTTCCATATTAAACACTGTCTAATATCAGGTTATTGTTATCAACCTGTGATATCACCTGTTATAAACCTTATCAACAGTGATATCTTCAACTGGCCAGTAATAATAGTAGCAACTACACTGCAAAGTGGCCTTATGTATTCACAGGGGAAGGAGGAATGTAGGTTATACATAGGTTACATGTAATGTTGATGACGTGATTACAATTTATTATTGAAAGATGTTTAAATAGTCTTAATTATAGTTCTTTGTAAGAAGGAAACATCTTAAGTGTCTTTAAGTGCCACAAATATGTACTTCAGTCGTCTGATGTGCTCCAAGGCTTGATCCCAAAGAAAGATGACAAGGGTTGTCTGCCCTCTTACCACCTGGAGAGACTTTTCATCTTTGCCCTGATGTGGAGCCTGGGAGCCCTGCTGGAGCTGGAAGACCGAGTCAAAATGGAGGCCTTCATGGTGGCCCACTCCAGCAAACTTAGTCTGCCACCATTTAAAGAAGGAGAAACTATTTTTGAATACCTTGTCAATGAACAAGGTTGGTTTGATGTTAGGCCAGTCAAGTAACATAATCATGTCATCATGCTGCCTTTTGGCAGAGACCCGTGAAGATTCCGGGGTAGAATAGGTCTTCAGCAACCCATGCTTGCCGTAAAAAGGCGACTAACGGGATCGGGTAGTCAGACTCGCTGACTTGGTTGATTCATTCCATCGATCCCAATTGCATGGATCGATGCTCATGATAATAAGCACTGGATTTTCTGGTCCAGACTCCATTATTTACAGACCACCGTCATATAGCTGGAATATTGCTGAGTGCGGCGTTAAACAACAAACCATCCTTATGGAAGACGTTTGGTCTGTACCTCAGTTGATAAATAATCTTGAACTACTGGTGTATGGGATTAAATATTTTGATTGTGTATGTGGATGTAAAAGTGATGCCATTCTTACAGTAAAAGAAAGTAAGAAGGGTCTACTAAATCTGAGACACACTTGGCCTTACTTGAGGCCCTGAAAAATGGCATTATTGGAAAGAGAAACCATGTTTAAATACCTTGTTAATAAACATGGTTGTCTGATGTTTGGCCAATCAAGCAATATGAGGCGACACTTCTTTCATTTTTCATTTAACACATTCAACCAACCAGAGCGAAAAGCCACAATAAAAAACCAAAGTAATGGTATTCAATTTCTTTTTTAAATTTGATTGACCGCCTATTTATAGATAATAAATATAATAATATACAACTGCAAAATGTTTCATTAATAGTACTGTATGACAACATACATAGAATGTCGCTGATGTTAGAAATTAAGGAAACTACATCAATGTAATTTGTTTCAATGCACTGAACCTTTACATGAATGAAGTCTTTGATAGTCATTTAAAAGTTGGAAGAATATGAAGACATGAAACTTTTTATGCATAAGAGGTTTTTCCTGACACAATTCATTGCATCCTATGCACAAACAAATTGTAAATAGAAACAAATAATTTACTTTGCATGTCTTGATGGATGGATACCAAAAAACCTTGACTGTATAAAACTTATAAAAATTGTTGATCACATGTTGCATACAAGCTGCCTTTTCTATTTCAGTAATAAATACTCAAAGTTTGTGGTTAAGTTTCTTCAATATAAAAATGACATCCCCATCTATAATAAGCTTAAGGCTTCTGAGCATGTGCAATGATATGATATCTGTAAAATTCTTGGAAATCAAGTGAAACATGACACATGTCACCAGCCTGGGACCCCCATTTTCATGCTGTGGACCCAAAAATTGATACTAGTCTGTACCGAAAAATTTGAGTCTGCTTGTCTGAACCTGGGTCTTAGCTCCATTGACAGTAGATTTTAGTGTTATTGAAAACTTATTTTCAGACTATAGACTATTCTTAGCTGAGCTTACTTGGCCAAACAATATGTTAATAGACTCGGGCTACAGACTAGTGGCTAAAGTTGCGGAGCCCATGGGGTTTGAAAAGATACCTAGGTACATGATTCTCAGTGTGAGCTGTCACATGTTCAGTGCTGTGTAATGGTTACTGTCAGATGATAAGATTGTTCATTGTCACTCCAGGTGAATGGGAGCACTGGTCAAACCGTGTGGAAGAGTATATCTACCCGTCTGACAGCGTACCTGAGTTTGCATCTATTCTTGTTCCGAATGTGGACAATGTGAGAACCAACTTCCTCATTGAAACAATATCCAAACAAAACAAGGTCTGTACTGTGTATAACTTTCCATTTACAGATATGAATGGTCATATTGAAACAGTTATTGAAATAAATCACTTGAGAGTGAGTTTTGCAGAGATGCAAACCATTAAGATTTTGGTGGATTCATTATATTTTTCTCCAAATTCCATCAATACAATAAAGTACAAATATTATGAATGTTGGCAAAATTTAAAGCTAGTGTTTAGTTATTGATTTTGATCTGTCACAGTGGTTGTGACAAGTAGCTTGTTGGTTAAAAAACCCATATACAATATGTTGATATGACTGTAGAGAATATTTTATCCTCTGTAATGTTTGGTATAAATAAATTATCACAAGCATTGTCAAATAGTTTGAAATTTGACTGGAAGCATCCCTTGGTGGTGGGGATTTAAAATTTTACAGATGGTAGTGCTGACCCCCAGGGGACTGAGGGGCGGGGCCAAATTGTGGTAATTTGCCTATATTGCTTTAATCAACTTCTTCTCTGGAATTAAGAGATATATATCAACCATATTTGGTTGGAAGCATTTTCCGGTGTTGAGAATTCAAAATTGTACTAATGGAAGGGCTGACCCTCCAAGGGGCTGAGGGCATAGCTAAAACATGGGTAATTTGGCTATATTGCTTTTAGGAACTTCTTCTCTGGAACTAAGAAATATTGATCAACCATACTTGGTTGGAAGCGTTCTCCAATGGTGGGGATTCAAATTGGAGAAATGGAAGGGGTGATCTTTATGTTACATTTGTATCTATAGAAGTACACTCTCATGCTGTCAGATTTGCCACCCACCCCTTTTATATGCTGACAGTCAAAATTACAAAATATTTGCAGGATTATATACATGTAGAATGCAAATGTATATTTTGTCATGATTGCGTAAATATCCAGATGAGCGATACAGTCCCTATGGGCCTCTTGTTTATCTTGTTTTGACGAGTACAATCAGTCATGGTATTCATGCTAATAAAGATGACTATGTTTGTGTTTGATAACTAATTTGAGACCCCAATTATCCTGGATACTTCTTAGTATCCCCCCGGGCTCCGTCTGTCACGTTTCGTTTCCGGAGCATAACTCAGAAACCGTTCAATATTTTTTCATGAAACTTTGCAGGTCTGTCAAGTACATGCTGAACTGGTGCCTTTTGCTATTTAGAAATTTTAGAAATTTTTATTTTTTACATTTCCATGGCAACAAGATGGACTTAGGTTCCAAACTCTTCTTTTTTTTACAATTTCCATTACAAGTTCCACCTCGGTTAAAAAAGGTTAGGGTTTGTTTAGATTTAATTATGTCATTAATTCTGCAACAGGGGCGGTGGATATAGCCACATTAGTGGCAAACTCTTGTTTCCTTCTTTATGTACCGGTACGTAAATTTTATATGATAACATATAGGAGATAAATCGGGTTTCTTTTAACAGTTCGTTGTATCCGTTTGTTTGCTCTATCCGTATTTGTTATATCCATGTTCTACTGTACTTGTGAATGTTGTCTCCAGGCAGTGCTACTGATTGGTGAGCAGGGTACAGCTAAGACTGTTATGATCAAGGGTTACATGGCCAGGTATGACCCTGATGTTCACCTCGGCAAGAGTTTCAATTTCTCCTCTGCTTCCACACCCATGATGTTCCAGGTGAGAACAACTAGCCTTCTAAATGAATGCTAGTCCGCTAACTGGGCGTGTAGCATTTGAGGGCTTTGCTACTAATTGGAATTGAATAAAATTAACTGATTATGGAAATATGGAAAATATTTTTGTCTTGTTGAAGCCATCTTCCCGAGGCAAGAGAGTTAACTGACTTTAAAAGTCCAGTTTCCACCCTTGCCGAACTAGGCTGGAATTCCTTGGCTCGATCATAGCGCCACCAATGGCTATTACGAGTTATGTCCTTTCTATGCCTCTCCTATTGACCAATCAGATTCAACCTCTCGTATCACTTGCATTTGTTTCAAACAAAACGGTGGCGCCCAGTCAAGACGATCTGATCAATAATCAAGATCTATATTGTGATAAAACGAGTCTTACATAGCGAAGTGCATCAAATCACGTGAGCACCTTGATTAAAAACATGAAAAGATTTAGAAAATATCTGTTGACAACAAGTTAGTGGTGCACAAGGCTTTGCAAATCCTGCAGTCGACCGAAATCTGCATGACACTCTATTAACCGGATTTCGATTTCGGTGCGCCATTTTGATTGGACTATGCATAGACTCGTTAGTCCAGCCAAAATCTAACTCCATAATACCAGCCTAGTTCGGCAAGGATGGAAACTGGACTTTTATAGTCAGTTAACTCACTTGCCACGGGAAGATGGTTGAAGCAGGACCAGCTACAAACTCAGAGGACTAATGAAATAAGGTTTTCTAAGGCTATTCCACTTTACCTGACACTTCACTTTGTAAGGCATACCTGGACATGACAAATAAAATTGGACAGAGTGTTTTACAGGCTGCTATAATAAAAGTGGGAATAGCGAGAGTGTGGTGTTAAACAAGTGGAAAAACAATAGTATTTTGGATTAAATAGAGCTACGAAAAAACACCTCCAAAGAACACTATTTCTGTTTGTCTGATTGATTTTGCAAATCACTTCATAAAGCCTATGAAAGCTTCATATCATGATTTATGATATAGTTCTGGATGAATGAGTTAAATACTGCCCCGATTAAAAAATTAATATGATAATAATTGAGAGTATTTATTCTTTCTGATTATAAATTTCCTTGATTTTAGGATGTTTATGAATGTGTTATGTCTCCACCCATGTTTTGTCAGAGAACAGTAGAGAGTTTTGTTGAGAAGAGGATGGGCAGCACTTACGGCCCGCCAAGTGGTAGAAAGATGACAGTGTTTGTGGATGATATTAACATGCCTACCATCAATCCATGGGGAGATCAGGTCAGTCGGACACAATACTTACAATTAAATCACACTTTGGTTCAAAATTCAATTCAGCACCATCAAATCCACAGATAGTATAGTTAATATTTGAAAGCATTTTCCTTCAGACCAGTGTTTTGATTGGGTTGCCAATTTGAATTAATGAATAAATTTTAGTGAAACATTGTTTTGTTTTTTCATCCATATACTTTACTCTAATATGATAGGCATTGACTGTGTTTGGCAAAACTTTAACTTCAATAAACATTAATTGGACATCCTACAGGAAAGCTTTGTGAGTAAGGTTTAGTTATTATAATACCACAACGTTCATGTGGCGCAGGGGGCATGGGTAGCCCAGTCGTCTAAGCGTCGCAATTTGCTGTGCAGAGTTGCGTCCCTTGGGCACGCCAGAAACCTATGATTGTGGGTTCGAATCCTGGTTCGCCCTGATTATGTTTCTAGGTTTGTCAGCACCATACCCGTGCTCATGGGTTTCACCGAAGTGGTAAACTTCTAAGACTTGCATCACTTCAGGCTTTCCTCCCACATTAAGCTGACACACCATGATATAACTGGAATACTGTTAAAAGCGGCGTTAAACATAGCCAGTGCCATAGCCAGCCGGGGGAATAATCTTATTGTTAACTACGCCCTTCATAACTCACTCACTCATGTGTATTCATACATACTCTTGCAATATCAAAGGAACTTCATTTTGACATTTTGTATCCAACATTTCATGCATACTGTTAATTGAATCCCTGCTCATGCTGGTTTGTCAGATCCAGATTTGATTGTTAAAAGCCTGCAGTATTATTGCTGGAATATTACTAGGTGTAGCATAAGACAGCATTTTTTCCTAAACTGTCTAGTTATGCCAGAAAACAGTCACTAAATATTGCCTGTTCAGTTGTGTGTATATGCAGTTGATCTCTTATACCCTTTATAAACCTGTACTGGTGTTTGTTTTCAATCTCGAATTCGTATGTAAAGTTTACTTTTGATAAAAATAAAGTATACATATATGTAGGTGAGTGATTATGTAAGATGTTGGAATATGGATTTTATAAATATTTTAGCCTATTAATAGACTATCCCAAGTTTAGAAGACTGACATTAAAAAATGAATGGATTGGGGTGACTGCAGGTAAACTGACGTAGTGTATCTGTGGCAGGTAACCAATGAGATCACCCGTCAGATGATGGAGATGCATGGCATGTACAGTCTGGACAAGCCCGGAGACTTCCTGTCCATCGTAGATGTACAGTTTATTGCAGCTATGATTCATCCAGGCGGAGGTCGCAATGACATTCCTCAGAGACTCAAGAGACAGTTTTGTATCTTCAACTGTACTCTGCCTTCAAACAGTTCCATCGACAAGGTTTTTGGTAAATTCATAAAGAGAGAAGCATGTTAGCCCAACATTAAGATTACAGTGAACCCTTGATACAACACCGCACCGCGATGTACCCAACCTTGTATACAGCATTGGGTACCCCTTGGTTTCCAAGAATTCATCAAAAATATCCCTAAAAAGCACAATCATGTGGAATACAGTCTGTGACAAAATCAGCTGCTAACTTGGCTGTTGGCAGGTGGATAGATTGTATTGTTAGAATGTAGAGTATCATTAGCTGTGATTACTAAACTAAACTGAATTTTACTTTACACAAGCTTCAGACGAGAAGATTTAAGTCGCATTCATGGAATTAGTCTTAGGTCAATTCTATTTCCTACATATATGCATGATAACTGAGATATTTGTCACAAAGACATAGTATTTGCAATATTCTAATTCTATTAAGAAAAAGTCTCTCCCATATTATTACCTCTGAGTTCAATCTTTCTATCATCAACTCCTACAAAGTCATTCCTCGTAATCCATAAATTGGGGACACAAATGGTAAGTTTGTCACATAAATTCTTTTAAGTTTAGGTAAACTGGTTAATGATTACTTGATACACCTTTCCCAGCAATAGATCTAACAGTTTTAGTCCACTAGTCCTTATTATGATAATACATGTGTATTGTGAAACCCTTAAAACTCGCAAATATCTACTTGTCCTTATGATACCTTAACAATTGGGCAGTTTGGCAAGGACTACAGGACTAGTGCCAATTTCTAACACTGTTTTTGTATTTTAGGGCGATGGAGTAGCCTAGAGGTTGTAGTGTTTTTTGTCATGGCAATGGTTTGGCATCGATTTCGACATGTGAAGCCCATTTCTGGTGTCACCTGCCATGTTATTGATGGAATATTGCAGAAAGTGGTGTAAAACAATACTCAATCATTTTGCATGTATGTATGTGTGAATTTTTACCCTTTGGAACAGCTTCATACGGAAGCCTTTTAGGACCATTTGTTTTTATATATTTTTTTCTTGAAATTTCAAGTTAATATCTTGAAATCATTATTTTGAAATTTCAAATTAGTATGTATCTTGAAATGTCAAGTCAGTATCTTGAAATTTCATCTTAGTATCTTGAAATGTCAACTTAGTTTCTTGAAATTTTAAGAAAAAAAACCCCAAACCAAAAGGCCCTATGGGTAAAAGGCTTCCGTGGCATCAAATTAATGTGAGTACTGCTGAAAACCAAGGTCTGCTTTCAGGTATCATTGGTGAAGGCTATTTCTGTACAAGCAGATTTAACCCAGAGATCTGTGATGTCATCAAAATACTAGTTCCATCTACCAGAATTCTCTGGCAACAAACAAAGGTACCTCTATTACATCTTTGCCATAAATCCTGTATAATTCTTGCGAGTCCTCTACCTCTTACATCTTTGCCATAAATCCTGTATTTTGGCTTCAGTCACACTAACTAAATTTTCAGATTTTCAACAGACGTCCTCTTCACTGTCAATTAAACACAATTAGTTGTTTCCAAATAGGACTATAGTAACCCAAGCTGTGACGTGCGTAATGGCGGGAAACCTCACTTCTTTCCTGTGTGTGCTAGAGCCAACACCTATTGTTATAGTTGTAATGATCTAGCACTTGGTTGTAGTCACTTTAATCTAAGATTGTTCTATAGTTTTCTTAAAACAGATATATTACGTCATGTTAAGAGCTGCTTATTGAAGTGACGATCGTTCTCACGTAAGTATTGTTTGTGTGAGGTGTTTGTGAGTTCGTCATGGAGTCACCCCCTCCTTCTTTTAAGAAGTGTGGCCATTTTATGATCACGGAAGATCCTCACAACAACTGCTGGAAGTGCAGATGCACTGAAGAGGCAAGATGCGATCAGTGCTCTACTCTGTCTAAGAAGGCGTTCAACAAACAGAAGCCTTGACTAAAGCTAGAAGAAGAGAAGCTGCTAAGAAAATGGCCGACGTGATTGCAGCTATTTACTCTGACCCTGTCATAGCATCTCTACCTTCTACTCTGTCGATTGAATCTACTTCTCTATGAACTTGTTGGAACAGCTCTTCAACCAGCAGAAGAAGATGATGGAGTCATGCACTATTTGAGCCCCCCTTCTCAGCTATATCTCAGGAGATTGAGATACTTAAAAAGAAGCAGACAGTATGGGATAAGAAGAGTCCTCCGGCCAAGAGGCCACATGGGGGACAGCCATCTGTTCAGGCCTACCCCAGATGACCATACAGACTAGCCTGGTAGAAGCTCCCAAAGCTTAACCCTCCCGTGAAACACAGGCATCTAGATCTCCGCTTGGGTCCCGTCAGGGTACAACAAGGCCATCTTCCTCATCTAAGACACCATGCAGTCACCACACGGGCCCCACGGTAGCCCAGGAGACCGTTATGGGAGTGTCACTTCAACCGTATCGTCACCATCAAACGACAGAACCCAAGCCGATCGCTGGGACCACGTATGACCAACCGAGACACAGATTACATCATAGGACAGCCTAGCGTTTTTTGAAAGAGGACCATCATTCCTGTACGGGTTCTGCTATACACAGGCAGTCGTCATAAGCCACATGGACTTTACTCATAGCAGGGTCCTGGACACCAGCGGATGATGAACCACACAGGGAACACGTTGAGTGTATGGATTATGATGAACATCCACCCACAGTCATTCTGAGGCTGAATCGGACCTACATGAGGAGGTGAATCACTCTGACGATTCACCCCAGCGGGATTATACAGAGGGATACATCTTTGTGGAACTCATTGAGGAGCCTGTACTCCAACCTCCTATGACAGACATGATGACTGGCTGCCCTTACCTCCATTGAAACGGAAGTTGTATCAAACCCATGAGTCTCTACTTCCGGACCATAAAGTTTTGGACGAGGACTTTATTAAGCTTGTAGGCAACTGGATTAAAAACCTGTCTATGGCGTCCAGACATTCAATGGACATTGGCGCTTATATCAACTGGTTTGTCGCTGTAATCAGGCACATCATTCCACTGTTGCAGACATCACATGATGGCATATCTGGAGAGAATCCTCTGACTATTAGGACTGATCGGGTCGGACTCATCCTCAGCCTGCTAGACACCATAGTCAGAATGCAGGAAGCCTTACCCTCAAATTGGGACCTGTCATAGACGAGGTCAGACAAGACACAACTGAACGATGCCAGGTGTCGACTATCAACCTAGCTGTTACACATGGATCTTCCCATCCCCCCAAGCATTCCTGGGATAAAAAAGACTCGGCGGTTGGCCCCAGATATCCTCTAGTCAGAGACAAGCTAGCGGCAGCAGATCTGGCTGTCAGGAAGTTACTAAAGAAGCAAGCTATTTGGAAACTATCGGAGATCATCAAGACCAAAGGTTTTTACTCTCCTCAAAAGTTCCAAATGGAATCCGTACGGAAGTTGCGGTCAACTTTGAGGACAGGAGATTGGCTCATCAGTCTTGACTACAAAACACCTATCTTCATGTCCCGATACACCCTTCATCACGGAAGTACCTGCGCTTCGCAATGAATGGTCGATGCCACAAGTTACAGGTCTCAATAGCCCCTTGGCTGTTTACCAGGATTACAGCGCCAGTCATCAGGTTTGCCCACATCCAGCTAGTACAAATGCATGAATACGTGGACGATTTCCTGACAGCAGACCAAGAAGAAGCTCAGTTACACCAGAACATGCTTTTTCTGGTTCATCTTATGACCTACCTAGACTTCCTAGTCAATCCCTCCAAGTCCGAAACCACTCCTGTTCAAGACATCGTATACATCGAAGCGCGTTTCCAACTTCACAAGGGATATCTATGTCCACCAGAGGATTGATTCGGCAAGACTATTACGATGATTCAATCCCTATCAATTCATCCCAGCAGGTCCTTAAGGTGGTGGATATCTCTTCTAGGCAACCTAACAGGATATGACCTTCACAGGAAGGTTGATGTTACGTCTTCTACAGACATGGATCAACTTACTACGATCCCACACACTTGAGTTCAAGCCTCAGTTACCTCCCAACTTGTTACGGGACCTGCACTGATGGACTCACAGAGAGCACCGGATGAAGAAGCATTATTCTGACTTCTCTGACGCCTGAACCCCATCTATTTACAGACGCGTTAGATTTGGGGTGAGGAGCCTATATTGACGATCTCACGGTACAAGGATCTTGGAACACTTGAGAGAGGATCCTACATATCAACTGCAAGGAAATAAAGGCCATTTATTATGCCATCCTGGCATGGAAAATACGTCTCTCCCAATCATCCATCCTCATAGCCACGGACAACAGCACAGTAGTGGCATACATCCAAGACTGGGTTTGTGTACATTCTGCTCCTCTACCTCATACATACCGCCACTGTAATCACTATTTTAACCAGCAAAGAAAGCAAAGTCATAGCTCTAGCATAGGGAAGCCAGTAAGTGCTGTAAACCAACAAGTTCACAGCTTACATCACACAAACGGCTTTGTTTTTCACAATGGCACTACTACACTGCATAACATCTGTATGCTAGCAGGGGTGATGGAAGAACATTGAGAATGACAAGGTAGACACAATTTTATGGATAAGAACCAGTCTTGCTTGACAACGGTATAAGGATCTATACCAAAACGTCGCTTTTTTACAGTATTACAGAAGTTGTTATCCATAAAATTGTGTCTACCTTGTCATCCATCAACTTCTAAGTAATGCCTATCAAACAAAACATTGTGAAGTTTTAACAATGAGAAGCCCAGAATTGAGTCTGTTGAAATCATTTTTAGAAGATTTTAGTATTAAACTATGAAATTTATTAGCCATGTATACTGGACAAAACATAATTTACAAGACTGGGTATTCGGACAAATGAATTTGCCAACTGGGATGAGAGACGGTATATATCTGACATGTTCCTTTCATATACTTACAGATCAAGATGCTGCCAACACCAGCCAAGTTTCACTACATCTTCAATTTGAGAGATTTATCCCGAATCTGGCAGGGTATGCTGACCATTGCTGGTGCGGAGTGCCAGGCTACAGCTATGGTACTGGCTCTGTGGAAACACGAATGTACACGAGTCATAGCTGACAGGTATGCATGTGATAGATGAGAAAGATAAACAACAAGGACATGTTCCTCAAAGCTATCGTAGTGCTATGATGATTGTAATTTCCATACTTCAACATGGACTTATGACAGTCGTAGCGCTACAACTGCTTTGTGGAATGGGACCCTGAACAGCAAAAGTAATAATAATTCTATATGAAGCTTTGTATAAAAGATAAACCTGTTTAGGATTTTGAGGTTCCAAACATTGATTTTATGTAAAATGAGTGGACAGTAAGATGTGACAATGTGACAGTGGTACTGGGCTGGCCGCATGGAACTCTGGGTAGGAGAGTTATTGGCTTCATACGTCCAAGGCATTTATTTTGTAATCTAAGATTTGATAAACACTGGCTTCCAATCTAATCAAGCTGGCAATTAGAATTAGTATTTTGTTACTCATCTGTAAGAAAAACACATGAGCCTTCTCTTCAGTTTGCCCTTTTGAAAGACATGACAAAAGCCAGTTTATTATGTGTAGTACTTGGGTTATCGTTTTTGCTGTGTGGAGTTTCATTTGTTTGTTTTTGGTTTAAATCAGGCATGAACTGAGGGTGTGACATCACACTCGGAAATTATTTCATAAACAATTAAAAAACACACAGAACTGCCAATATACTGTCCATTTAAACAAACCATTCTTACTGCATTGATAATTCAGTTGTTGGTTGGTTTCCTGCCCAAAATGTCTTGGAACACTTGCTTTAGGTGATCTTGGTATGGCAATATTTAATAAGTATTGGTAATATTGATATTTGAAATAACACACCCTTTTTATCCACCACAACATGTTTTGTGGGGGGTATTTAAATGGACTAATGGTCTGTGAAGGATGCAGTTTCTGGAGCAGATCTTGAAACTGTACAATATTTCTTCACCAAACTTTGCACATAGATAGGTCTCATGGAGAACTGGTGCCTTTTGATAGTTTGGGATTTTTTAAAGAAATATTTTTCAAGTTTACATGGCAATAATTTTTATATATCTATTCACGACAAGTATTTACCATTTCAGGGAATATCAATGACTTTGTCCTCTTGTTGAGATGAAAATGCATTCAAATGGATTTTTTGTTGACAGTACAACGACTAAATCAGTGAGCTCAACAAGTTATTCAAGGTCTAAACAGAGTCTTACTAACCACAAAATATTGCAACCTGTACACACAGACATGAAAAATAGACACAAATAATATCCCATTAGACGTAATAGAGTATGGATGTTGGATTTATTGACAAGAAATAGAATCAATGTTCTGACATTTCGATACAAACAAGGAAATCCCTTTCTATGACAAGCATGAGGCATAACACATTGTATTTCTTTGCTGTTGAAAGAGTGGCCATCTTGCAAATCCCAATTTAATGCCTTGAACCCAAAAAAGGGATTAGCAATTGTCCCAAGGACTTGCAAATATATACCCCTCTCCAACCGTTGTTTATACAACTGTAAAAACAACGGGAATTGATTTCAGCTTCACTGGTTATAACATGTTAGGTCACATGTGCAATATGCAAATACTTACCAATACTTCCGGCTCTCTACTCAAAGATGTTGATTGTTTTACCCTGTCAGCTGGCTTGACAATCTGGATCAAGGCGATCATTCCAACTTTATTTGCAGAAAATATTCAACTTTATTCAAGGAAAACAGATACAAATCATGTTTCTGTATGGAAATAGTTATTGGAACAGTCATTTAGGACGAAATGCAAAGTTTCATTGTCAAATGCTGGGCTGGCTATTGAAAGCCGGTTGACATCGCCGGTTGACATCGCTAGAAACAACTAAAAAAAAATGTGAGATCTTCGACTCCGTGTATAAGACGACCCCGCTTCTTAACCCCCGCATTCTAGGTACGAAAAACTCACCTTATACACAGCGATATACAGTAGAGTGAGGTAAAACATTGGTAGATCTGATACCACTAGCTGACAAATAAGAAATTGAATTATATACTAAGAATTATACACTGACCTTAAACTGTTTCTGCAGATTCACCAATGCAGAAGACAAGCATTGGTTTGAAAGTGCCCTGATGCAGGTGTTGCGGAACCAGGCAGGTGATGAGGCTGTGAGCGTGACAGACCCAGAGCCCTACTTTGTGGACTTCCTCCGAGAAGAGCCGGAACCTACTGGAGAGGAGGAAGATGATGCTTCATTAGATGCACCCAAGGTGTATGAAAAGGTTGTTAGACTACCATCTTTGTCCCCAGCTACCTATGCTGGTTGTAAGAGGCGTACTCTATTTAGTGACTTCATGGATCGGAGGGTCAGACTTGGGGACATGGTTGATAGCATACCTTCTTACCTTGACAGTGTGGATCGTTGCTCATGTAATATTGCGAAGTGGGAGGTTAACAAACATACTTTTTACTTATTTAATTAAGTATATGCAAAGACATATATATACGTCCGTGGTATATGTAATAATATAAGAAAAATGGAAATAAAAATAAAATGTTCCTATAAAACTTGTTCAGAATATTACATTGAAAAGTCTCAAAATGCCATTCACATTAAGTAGATATATGGGAGAATTGTCAGTACCAATGGGTTAGTTGAAATTGTTTCATAATTACACTCAGAAGGGTGTTATCGGACCATGATTACAACCAGGTATAATGTAGAACCTGCTTGTCAAGAGAGATAGGGCGCATGGGTGGCCTAGTCATCTCAGGCGCTGTAATTGGTATGTTTGTGTCCAGGTATGCCAGAAAGCTTAATAATGATTACTCTCATTATGATTCTAGCTTTTTCAGCACCTTACCCGTGTTTCACCAAAGTTGTGATGTCGAAATCCTGCTTCATTTTAGGCAATCATCTGACATTAAACTAATGCAATGTTAAACCACATTCAAGATAGATATGTCTTGGATTGTTGGTGCAAATGATTCCCGGCTTAATCTGCAGATTCCCAGCTACGGTTTCCTGAATGACAAGCTACTGCAGTATGTTATGCAGTACAATGAAATAGTGAGAGGTGGCCATCTGGATCTAGTCTTCTTCAAAGATGCCATGGTGCATCTTGTCAAGGTAAGGAAACTCTTTGGTAACCTTTTACTCATGCTTATTTGATATATACCGTATTCGACGTAATAAGCACCCATGGCGATATTTGCTAATATATTGGCCATTGAACAATCCCAATTAGCACCCCTTCCGATTGATCAGTGTACACAAGACATATTTATTCGTGCATAATACATGTATTATATGCATCCTTAATCATGGGAACTTAAATTCTGGAAAAATATATCTGTCGAATATAAACATTTCAGGCTGTCAGCACAAACCATGAAATTAATGATTTTTCAACTGTTGTTTTTTACCAATATAATATTCTAATAAGAGCCCCCTATTTCTAACTTTGAGAGTGCCCTGGGTGCTTATTATGTCGAATATGGTACATAGTGTCACTGTCCGCTACAAATAAGTTACAGTTCAGTGTGAAAAAAGAGTTCCCCAGCAACATATTATGCTTGTCATGAGAGGTAATTAAATGGATTGGGTGGTCAGGCTCAGCAACTAGGTTGATAGAGTGTCATTTTACATCATAGGCGGGAGACTTTGCTCATATCAATCTGGGAATTGTATGGTCTCGATTAATAACAGGCTTCCATCATATAGGCGCAATGTTGCTGTGACCTGTGTTAAATGGCGTGTCCATTTTGCATTGAAATTTTGAATGTGATGTTAGAATACCAATGAATGATAGACTATGGAACCTTACTTAAAAATCCCATTTGGGCGAAAACATGTATTTTGCCTCATCCTGTCTCATACCAATATCTAATCTCTTCTCACAAGGTAGTGGAAATATTTTTTTGGCTCGTAATCTGAACCATCCTATCAAAATTACCCATTTTCATTAAATTATTTTGATTTGGATTCCTTTTTCCATCCATCTGTCATATTCATCAATTATTTTTTTGATTTGGCTGTAATGTTTCAAAATTTTGTCTCTTTTGATATCCCCCTGTTTTCATGATGAAAATGTGTGTTAAATGTTGCCAATGTATATCAGATCGTGATCCTCTCCCCATCTGTTCTACATGATGAAACATTATTAAGAGGATTTACAGGGAGAGAAGGGACTCTTCATGACCTCCCACCTGTGCGGGAGGAACCTCCTCTTTCTCTCATTCCACCGATTGTTCAATATCCGGAGACACTGCAGTCCAAACTAACTAAAGCCATTGATACACTTTTTACAAAGGGCGCTGTAGAGGGTTTTATTCAACGTACAACATAGTATTTTTTTTAAAAATTCAACAAAAAGTATCTTCAAAAGCCAGACAAGTTCAGAATGATCTACCTACCACAACTAAAGCAGATGATAAAACAGGACGGTTATCTGGTAAGCATCAATCTTCAAGATGTTGGACATTCAACTTGAATGTCTGCGGAGGACCTTTTTTGCACGAGTCGGAATACAATCAACATATATTTGTAGACGCCTCATTACAAGGATGGGGTGCCAAGAAGATAAGCTCTTCCACATCAACCATTGAGAGTTTGAGGCAGTAATCCGAGCAATATCTCATCGGGTGCCACAGTTGAGAGACAAGTATCTGATGAAAACAGACAACTCAACTGTGGCCTTCTACATAAACCTCCAAGGCACAACGCAGTCGGCAACCCTTCTGAAGGTTAACTTTTCTGCTGTATAAATTAACAGACAGTCTGAATCTAAGGATCAAAGCAAGATGCATCCCAGGTGCATCAGTGGACCTATTCGCAATCAGGTTCAGCAAACAGATAGCAACCCTCGTTTCCCCAGTCCAACGATGCAGTGGCAATATCATGGGAAGTTTACATGTGCATGCATTCCCACCACCAGTACTCATACCTCTGCTTTTACAGAAGATTATTCATGAATATGAAGAACCTACGAGTGCTTTTGGTTGTGCCTTATTGGCCTGGTCATGGTTCCCAGACCTTGTTGCAATAGCAGGAAAACCAACTGGCCAAATCTACTTCGTCATCCACACTCAAAACAGCTTCATCCAAGACGGATCTCTATAAGCTTCATGTATGGGGCATACTGCAAATAGCTTCACAAGATGAGGATACTCGACCAGAGCAGCTAAAGCAGTTTCTTTAGTACTTTGTAGATCCACAAGGCACTAAAGAGACTGACAGATCAGGCATCTAGAGCAATGTACGCTGTATTTCGTAAAATTAGAATATTAGAAATTCCTATTGACTGTCAACTGAAATTATTTGATCAACTTGTTCAGCCAGTATTGTTATATGGATCTGAGGTGTGGGGTTTTGAAAATGCTGTTGTCATTGAACGTGTACATCTTAAATTTTGTAAATATATTCTCAAGTTAAAACAGTCAACACCCGATTACATGGTATATGGTGAACTAGGGAGGTATCCTCTCAGCATTTTCATTAAGATAAGAATGATTTCATATTGGTGCAAGCTAACATCATCACAAACTAGCCTTTCTAGTATAGTATATAAACTTATGTTTCAAATGTCCATTGCAAATCCAGATTACCATTTCCCACTATTAATAGGTAAAATGCATTCTTCAAAATATAGGCTTTAATTACATTTGGCTGTCTCAAACCTTTATTAGTGCCGCATGGTTGAAACAAAATGTGAAACATGTTCTCATTGATAATTTTCTGCAAAGATGGCGAGAATCAAAGGAAAATTCATCTAAAGGTTACTATTATAACATGTTTAAAGAGTTACCATCTCTAGAACCTTATTTACTAGAACTACCAATCACCTTACGCATCTCCCTTGCTCGTTTTAGAACAGCAAATCATAGATTACCCATTGAAACAGGAAGATGGTATAATATTGTGAGAGAGGAAAGAAAATGTACATTGTGTAAAAATTTTATATGTGATGAAATGCACTTTTTATTAGAATGTCCAAAACTCTCAGAAATTAGAAACAAGTTTTTGCCTCAATACTACTGTATGTATCCTTCTGCCGTAAAATTCTCTCATTTGATGTCCATTACTTATAAGCCAACTCTATTAAAACTGGCAAGTTATATAAGATCATGTATGGAAATGTTCCACTGACATGTTTTCTTCATTGTATCTTATTCCTGTGTCCAATTACATCTCTGTATCACTGCCGTGATTTACGAGAATAAACATCATTCATTCTTCACAAGATGAGGATACTCGACCAGAGCAGCTAAAGCAGTTTCTTTAGTACTTTGTAGATCCACAAGGAATATATGTGATGACAAATGGAAGTGGTTTGACCAGTTTGCAAGATCCAAAACGGTTCACAGCAGCCAAAGCTACCTCACCACAAGTAGCAGATTTCTTGTGTCATTTACGAAGCACAAGAGACCTCAAGTGCTCAACACTAGAAACCTATTTGGCAGCTATCAGCTACTTAAGAAACTTCCCAAACTGAAAGCCCTGTTGAAATACTGCAAACGTTAACTTGAGGTTCAACAGAAGTTTTGAGCCCAGCTTGAGATTTATATGTAGTGCTGAAACATCTCACCAGCGACTTTTATCAGCCACAAGAACAAGCTGATTTTGAACATCTGACCCAAAAGGCCTAATTTCACTGGGCGGTAGCTAATGCAGCCAGAATACATGAGATCGACTTCAGTTGTACCATGTTCGACAACGATAAACATGCATCAGCCCTTCGCAGCTTGAGATGGGATGCAAAAAAACAGTTACTTGGACAACCAGATCAACAATTTCATGTCCCAGCACTTTCGTTCATTCTTGGATCAGAGGACATAGAGTTCTAGAAGACAAAGACTGCGAAGATTTTTTATCCCATTATTGAGGAATGCTTCTTCACAAGTCTGCAGAACAACAATCTCCTTCTGGATGAGAGTAGTTATACTCAGAGCTTACAGGGCAGCAGGGCTGAACCCACCCACCTTCAGCGTCCAACCCACACAAAATCAGAGCGATAGCAACGCATCGACTCTAGCCCTATGCGGGAACTCTTCCATGCTGACTATTAGGGAGGGATGTTTCTGGAAATTTGATTCCGTCTTTGCAAATCATTACCTCAGAGATTTTGCCCCGGAAGATGTTGCTGGCATACATCAATTTGGGCCACTGGTAGTAGCACAGGAACAAACGATATCCACTGCAACATAGACTAGAGCTACATGCACCCAAAGTCTGGTTGACTCACAGATGTCAGGTTACTTTCCCCAAACAAACGACCGAGAGTCCATATTCCCCTGTATTACTATGATTCAGAGCATGAGGGATTTTGTCAAGATTATGTCCTTCTCTTAACACTTTAATCGTCATAATGCAAGCTTGAAATGTCCACAAAATCTTAAATTTGCTCCTTTACCCCGAAAAAGGAGAGGGTACCCCACAACTGACCACGTTCCCGAAGGGTTTATTCGGAGCAGATCACATCAGAATCACACACATAGGCGAGACCCACCTTCCACTGTGAGATTCACGTAGTATCGGAATAATGCAAAGTATGATATGTCATATATACTTATCCTGACTTATACGCTGAAACACTCACTCAGCTGTTAAGACCATAGGAATAAAGACAATAGGAAAATGGAAAGTGATGCGTCAAACAGTTCCGGTGTGCCTGTGCGTGAGAGGGTGCATTTGGGTGAGATGTTTTTCTGTTCTTGGTGAAAAACAGCATAGGAAGTTACCACTACCTTTCGGGAATGAGAAGAGATGAGCAACTAGTATGAGTCAGAATAACTATAAATGATATTTTTTTAAATTCATTTTTCCCAATTTGCTCACCACAGGCACTCATTTTGAAATCCTAGATAAAGTCATGGATGGTTATTATTCAGATTTCTCGTATCATCCGTACCCCAAGAGGAGCAGCACTTCTTGTTGGTGTGGGAGGTTCAGGGAAACAGTCTCTTACCAGACTGGCCTCCTTCATTGCCGGCTACAAGATCTTCCAGATCACACTTACCAGGTGGGTGTTACCTCAAGCAGTGCACTTTCATGCCAGTCCGTTACCTAATGTTACTTAATTGTGCTGAGGACAAAGTAATTTTGCTAAAAATTTGAACGGAATAAAACTGACAGAAAATGTAAACATGGTAAATATTTTTGGCTTGTTCAAACAGGACCAGCCACAAACTTTGATGACAAGTGAAATAGTCCTCTGGACTAGTTTTTATAATATACTTTTCTGAGGCTGTTCCATTAACTTAAATGTATCGGGAATAAATATTGTATAATGCAAGCTTTTTGTGAGCATAATACATGTTTTGTATTCCAAATATATATTAATGATGCAGAAAAACATGAGGATAACATTATTAATCATTACAAAGTAACTTGGAGAGTTTTTCAAATTTAAAGTTTCAATTCTAAATAAGAAATAAGCGCAAACTTCATATATATGAGCCCTATCAAGAAGTAATGAGAATATATGACAGGCATTTCTTTCAAAAATGAAAGATTATTATAGTGCAATGTTACAGGAATGTGTTTTGGTAACGTTACACCTTAACTAATAGTGGCAACATTGAGAAAACTATACAAATTAATGTTGTAGCATCTTTGTATTCTAACGTGGCCACAACAAAACACAAATGTGACAATATTGTTGCAATGTTTTTATCAGCCTGGCATGGGGATATAGTGATCGGTTGTCTGTCCATCTGTCTGTAAGTCTGACCGTCCGTCCTTATGTTGTTTCTGGAGCATAGCTTGAAAACTGTGAAAGATTTTTCATCCAAACTTGCTACATATATTAACCTGGAACTGCAGTGGTGCCTTTTGCTATTTATGAACTTTTCAAAATTTCCCTTTTCCCTGTTTCCATGGAAACAATTTCGAGTTTGCTGAAATGGATTTGTAGGTGTCGTTTTCGGAGCAGAACTATAAAACTATTCAACCCCATTTTTCATTCAAACATGGTACTTGTATTAATCAGCAGCTTAATTGGTCCCTTTTGCTATTTAGGTATATAAACATTTTTATTTTAAATCCTGTTTCTATGGCAACAAGTTTAACTTTGACTCTGTTCATATTGGTGTGTTTGTCCGAACCATATCTCTAAAACTAATATGTACTCTTTCTTGAAACTGTGCACACACAAAGACCAGGTTGTCAACTGGTGGCTTTTGCTATTTAGGAATTTTTAGAATCTATATGTTTTTCCTTTTCCATGGCAATACGTTTGACTTTGAATCTGTTCAAATGGGGATGTACCTGACATAGAATAACCAAGTTCCGAATCCCCCAAAATTCCTGAATTGGAATTAAACATTTCCTAATTCATGCTGTTATATAGTTATTACTGATGTTATGGCTTTGTACGGTTAATTGTATTTCCCCAATAACAGGACCAACATAGAGGGAGGGAGAGGTTTTAATGATTAGTTTGACATTATTGTGTTAAATGCGATGTCAAAATTCAATGTCAAAATCTCTGAACGATTTTTCCCAATTTGCCTGGCAAGGGCATTGCCGATTATCTATCCTGAGGAACTTGTGTATTTAATTTTCGGGCCTTTAAGGAACTTCCAGTTATGAGTTGTTTATTGTTTATATTAGTCTTGTATGTGAGAATTGAGACTGGGAGATACAATAGCTAAACTCTGAAAGGGTATGTTTGGCTAGTAACTAGAGTCATTTAGAAGATGATATCATTTTGTACTAATTTGTAGTCACTATCACCATTTGAGATGTAAGTATATACCACATTAATTCTATTTGTACCCTATTTGTCTATTTGTGCCAGCCCTTCCTGTACCTTGTGCATACAAGTCTGTACATACCTGTCCAGCTTCATTCTAATCTGCACCATATACTCTTTCTACTAGATCTTTCAAATATATCATTCTCGACTCCCCTAGTCTCTTCCCATGTGGATTCACATCTGCAGACCTGTCAACCCTCCCGCATTTTGCGGGAGACTCCCGCAATTTGATGAAATCTCCCAGTCTCCGGCAAGATGGACTATTTCTCCCGCAAAACAGAATTCTTCATTATTTAAAAAATTCGCCTCCATTGTCCCGTGAGTAAAAACAATGAACGGGAAGTTTGCGTGATGAAAACTTGATTCCACGCATGCACGCACGCACGCACGCACGCACGCACGCACGCACGCACGCACGCACACACAAAAACTGTGGATTGTTGCTTATCAGTCACTAGTTTGTCTGGTCCGGACTTGATTATTTTTTTACCATGTTATAGCTGGAATACAGCTGTATGCAGTGTAAAACAGAATTCACAAACACACTCTGTGTACTTCCTTGAAGAGGGACCACCTTTGAAGAACCAAGTTTCAGCTTGTCTTAATGTTAGGATGTGTCCTCAACAAACTATGCTTGTGCTACAGGGCGTCTTAGTGGATTGGGAGGTCAGACTCAGTGACTTGGTTGATAGGGTTTCAAAATACTCTGATGGCATGTTACTCATAATATCAGTCACTTAATTGTGTGATCCCAACACAAAATTCACAGACCACCATCAAACAGACAAGCTTGTTTTCAGTCTAGTAGCCATTGTCTTGTGGAATGATGACTTGTAAAAAGCTGCTTCACTCTGATTCTTTCCCCTCAAGCACAGTATTGTGATCTATCTTTTGCACTCTAACAGCTGTCAATTATTCTCTGTGCTTTGTTCATGAAGATCGGGGGTTGAATAGGTCTTCAGCAACCAATGCTTGCCATAAAAGGCGACCATGCTTGTCGTAACAGACGACTGACGGGATCGGGTGGTCAGACTCGCTGACTTGGTTGATTCATGTCATCGATCCCAATTGCGTGGATCGATGCTCATAATATTAATCACTGGATTGTCTGGTCCAGACTCGATTATTTACAGACCGCCATCATATAGCTGGAATATTGCTGAGTGCAGCATTAAACAACAAACCAACCAACTAACTTTGTTCATCATTTCATAATATTTATTTCATAGTTGATTTGTAACAATATGTTGGGGGTCATGATACAAGACGATAAATATCCCCATACTAAGGGTGTAATACAATACGTATCGTGATACAGTACTTTTACTCCTTAAGTTGATATTTTTTCTTTTTGCAGGTGAATTACAAACCGGAATAATTTATTATTAAATTTAAGAGATCGAAAATGAGATATTGTAGGGCAGAAACCTATGGGTTAAATGGCACTGTGAATGTTATGCTATTTGTGCCAACTGGGAAATACCGAATCTGCATAAGCTTGTTGTTTAACTGTTTCTGTTATTATTATCATGTTTTTACTCCAAAATAAGTTATTTGTTATGTATTGTATGTATCACAAGACAGGTGTTATAAATGTTTTGTATCGTGGGCCTTGTATCGGGATACAATACACCACTGTTTTGTAGAACATGAAAATACAGAATTACCTCTTGAATGTTTTTCTAAAAGTAATTTAGAAGAATAGCTTAAAAAAAACGAAAGCTTTGCTCTTGGATAAACAGTTGAACATTTGGTGTAACAGAACTCAGATCTCTACCAGGTCCATCATGTGACTTTATTCAGCGTTAGAAATTGGCACACGTCCTATAGTCCTTGCAAGAGGTATTGTCAAAAACTAAACTCTTAAAAAACCCAGCCATAGCAACTCCAGTTTGTGGCAAAAAATACATTTACCCGAAGAAACTTACAATAACTTGTCAGATTCAAGTTTTGATGACTGCCTCTGTCAGTCAAAATGCTGGTTTTCTTCAACCTTGTTCAGTTTGACGAGGAATCTACAAGGTTAATGGTTTGGGAGAAAATCCACCATGGTTGTTTGGAATATTTTAAGACAAGGATGCATGATCATCAGATAATGGTTGATTGAAAATGGGTGGATAAACAAGATGGAACCAAATTATTAGGGTACTTCAGTTAATCAATCATCAGGGTTAGAAACTGGCACTAGTCCTATAGTCTTCGCCAAACTGCCCAATAGTTAGGTATCATAAGGACTAGTACAAATTTGCCATGTTATCATTATAAGAACTAGTGGACTAAAAATGTTAGTTTCTACCGCTGTTTATTAGTATTACGTTGCCACAGAATTAATGAATTCTTTCCTTTTTTCCTCAAGATTTACTTGTTCAGAAACATAAAGGTCACACCACAAAGTGTACCGGTATTCTTCTTGTTAAAGCACAATATTAATATGTTAAGATAATGTGAGACTTTATGTTCTATTGTGAGAATGTACCCTCTAATGACACAGTTACATAATTACAGGTCGTACAATGTGACGAATCTGATGGATGACCTCAAGTTTATGTACCGAGTGGCAGGAGGTAATGGTCAAGGCATTACGTTCATCTTTACTGATAATGAGATCAAGGATGAATCTTTCCTGGAATACCTCAACAATGTTCTCAGCTCTGGCGAGGTATGTAGACATTATCAATCAAACACATCCACAGTTTTTTGTATTCCCAGTTCTTTTTATTTCAACTCATGTTTAGGGGAAGGTGTCTGAGTCCTCTAAGAGACCACTATTTTCTGTGTGTTAGGTGTGACAGAAACCTATGGTCAATTCAATATGTTTCTAAGTTTGTCAGCACCATACCAGTGATTTTGCCAAAGTGGTAAAAGTCTAAGACCTACGTCACTGAGTACTTTCCTTTAAACATAAGCTGACATGCCAAATAATCAAGCGTAGTTGAAACTCACTCATTTACTCACTCATTTACTCACTCATTTACTCTCACTCACTCACTCACTCACTCACTCACTCACTCACTCACTCACTCACTCATTATTTAGTGATGTGTAATTCTAACCAGACTCAAAAAGAAACTATGGTGGAGAATGGGTTCAGGGCAAGGCTGCATTACAAAAAAAAATCTCAGGCAGTTTTTTCAAACGTGAGGAGGGAGGAAAAACTTCATTTTTTATTTTATGAAAAAAAATAATGAGGGAGAACACTATATTCTTTTCCCACCAAGAATACCAAAAACCACGACTATGCAAACATTGAACTCGGCTCTTATAAAATATCATTTGTCACACATATATAGCCACTGAAATCTTTAATCATTAAAGTTATATGACCAAACTATTGATAGGTTTCCAACCTGTTTGCTCGCGATGAACTGGATGAGATCACCCAAGAACTGATATCTGTGATGAAGAAAGAGCAGCCCCGGCGACCTCCCACCCAGGAGAACCTGTATGATTACTTCATCTCCAGAGCAAGGAACAATCTACATACAGTTCTCTGCTTCTCACCAGTAAGTCTTTTTCTCCATGTGGATTCCAGTTTAGTATTGGTCACTAGCAACCAATGCTTGTCATACAAAAGACATAATGGATTGGATGGTTAGGCCTGGTGACTTGGTTGATTGTGTATCATCGTACCCTGACAGTGTGGATCGTTGCTCACAATATTTACCCCTGGTTTGTCTGACCTGGACTCATTATTTTTTTATCAGGCTGCTGTGGCATAGCGAGAATACTGCTGGCTTTTAGTTTCTAGGAGAAGCCTTAATTTTAGTGTCTGTCTTAAAAAGTCTTGAAAATCATTGAAATATCTTGAAAAGTTTGAATTTGTACCTAATGATAGTTACTTAATTCCTTCGAATCCTTTACCTCTATTACATCATAGCCATAAATCCTGTATTTTGGCTGCAGACACACTATAACTAAATCTTCAGATTTTCAACAGAAGTCCTCTTCACTATCAACTACACACAACTAGTTGTTCCCCTAATAGCACATGTAGCTCTTCAGCCCCTTCTGTGCAAAAAGGCGTGAAAAACGTCACTTCTTTCCTGTTTGTGCCAGAGTCACCACCTGTTTGTTTTTTTGTGTCTAGCACCTGGTATAAGGTAGTCACACTGTTTATTAATTTCTTCAGAAATGTTATTACGATCTGGCTTGATACGGAAGTGTACTGGGGTTGTTGTTTTTTGTATCTCTTACTATGGCGTCCTCCACTTCCCCACTGACATGTCAGAAGTGTGGCCAGTTCATGCTTACTTGAGATCCACATAATTTCTGCTGGAAGTGTAGAGAGGCTTCATGCACAGTAGAGTCGAGATAGGACATGTGCTCTCCCCTATCCAAGTCCTTCGACACCCCAACCAGTTCCAGCCTTGGGATTTGAGATCACGACTTCCAGACAATCACCATGATAGTGGCAAGAACGCCTTACACCAAACCGACCATCTGAGCCGCTGAAAAAAACGTACGGTTCCCTAACAGACAGCACGGAAACCACCGGCCGACCTGAAACGTCTGCTACTGTTACCACATGAAGCCGGTCACCACGTGACTCCCACACAGGCTCCCCGGGAGTGGCTAGACAAACCAACGGTTCCAGCATGGACCACAGACGGCACGAGGAGTGAGCTTAGTCACCAAGCCAGCCGTCCAGATTCTGTTACGCCCGACCCTCGGCAGATTATACCGGATTCATGGACCCCATCGGACAAGGACGATCTTGTATATGAGCCCATGGAATCATCGGCACCGGAGCCGGACAACGGAGAGGCACACAATCAACCGGCCACATCACCTCCGCAGGAGTATGGACCACTGCTCCTTTGTGAATATGATACACGCTATATATCACTATAGCCGACCACACAGCCATGGACTGAACAGTCGCCTCCTCCAGAAATGCCCGAGTATGCTGGAAGCCATGCACTGTTTTCGTCATCCCATATCCACGTACTTTACCGTGGCCAAGTTATATCTCCAGGATTCTAGACCAAATGATTGAAACCATGCAGAAGCTCCCAACTATGAGGAAGAAGTTATATCAGAAACTCTGATGTCCATCTGAATAGACCAAGTGGGACTCATCTACAGTCTGCTAGATGCGATTGTCAACATGCAGGAGGATATGTCAAGACTGTCTGGACTGCCTCCCAACTCCTATGGCTTCAACATTAACTCCTGTCTCAAGTCAGATCAAGGGCTGTCTTCAAGCATGCCAAACAGACGGTTGTTTCAGCCAGTCACATCATCGATGCTCTTTAACAAGGAGCTGGTCACGATCCTGGCAAGGTCAGACAGGACACAACAGAGAGATTACGGCATTATGACAAGCCATCGTCAGGTTCTTTTCAGAACTCCAAACACCGTGGATCTGGACGTAGAGGTTTCAAGTCTGGAGCTCACCATCAAGACCCTTCTCACCCTTCTCACCAAACGGGTCATTTAGAGATTGTGGGATACCAATGAAACTCAGGGGTTCTACTCCCAAGTGTTTTTAGTACCGAAAAAGAACTCCACAGAGATGAGAATGATCATAGACCTCAAAACTTTCAACAAGAAGTACTTGGTCCCGCCTCCAAGATTTCAGATGGAATCAGTCAGGAAGCTTTGTTCATCACTCAGAACAGAAGATTGGGTCATCAGCCTCGACCCTTAGAATGCATATCTCCATGTGCCAATGCACCGCATGTCACAAAAGTATTACAATTAACGACCATCGGTACGAGTTCCGGGTTCTACCATTCGATATATCAGAAGCCCCTTGATAATCCACCAGAATAACGGCGCCAGTCATCAACTTCGCCATCATACAGTGGAAGAAACTAACTGTTTCAGTCCACTAGTCCTTATAATGATAACATACAGCAAACCCCTTAAAAATGGCAAATTTCTATAAGTCCTTATGATACCTTAACTATTGGGCAGTTTGGCAAGGACTATAGGACTAGTGCCAGTTTTTAACGCTGACATACAGATGGTACGACTTCTGGACGCCAATCAGGAACATACCCAGCTGCGTCAGGATGTGACATTCCTCACCCAACTCATGTCTTATCTCAGGTTCTTCATCCATCTGACCAAGTCAGAGATTTATCCGGTACACGACATAGTCTACATCGGGACCAGATTTCTTCTACGTACCATGATCAACTTACCCCGAGACCAATCTACCAGATCAACCTGATGGTGGATGTCTCTCATGGGAATGCTGTCCTCTCTACAGTTTATGACTCACAGAGGCCGTTTACAATTACGCCCTCTACAAAATTGGATCAACTACCTACGATCTCAGACCCTGGATATACGGACACTCATACCTCTCCACCTGCGCCAAGATCTAATCTGGTGGAATCAAAAGATCATGTAATGATGGGGATTGCTCTCACCCTGCCAGCTCCCGAACACCACCTGTTCACACACACGTTGGATTCAGGTTTGGGAGCTCACATGGACAACATCCAAGTTCAAGGTTTAAGGACCGAGACGGAAACAGCTCTACACATAAATTGCAGAGAGATTAAAGCAATCTGTTATGCTCTCCAAACTTGGAAAGATCGCCTCATCATATCATCCGTCCTGATTGCCACAGACAACATGACAGTGGTGGCCTACATTCAGAAGCAAGGTGGAATTAAGTCCAGTTCGGTGATGACGGAAACTTCTTAGCTATTTGCCTTGGCTGACTCATTCAGGAAGGAATGGATGGAAGCGAGACATATTCCAGGCAAACTGAACATACTAGCGTACAGCTTATCCCGGAGAAGGAGGATTGTACCCACGGAGTCGACTCTTCATCATGACGTTTTTACCTGGATAACCTCCTTTTGGGACACCCCGCATCTGGAGCTTCGTGACCTGTCTCAACCATCAACTTCCAGTTTATGTCAGCCTGGTCCAAGATCCGAGAGCTCTCCAGATAGATACACTATCCATGGATTGGACAGGACTGTCCGCCTATGCGTTCCCTCCATGGTCTCTCCTTGACAAGGTCATACAGAAGTATGAAGTGACAGATTGCACAATCATCCTCATCGCTCCAACTTGGCCAAGCAGGACATGGTATCCCAGACTACTATCACTCCTGATGGACACTCTTTCACTTCTCCTGCATCAGCCCAGGTCAAGCATATTTTACTCCAATCTTCCCAGCCTCCATCTCACAGTATGGAAAGTATCTCACAGAGAATGCAGGCCTCCGGTTCTCTCAAGCTGCCTCTACTGCTGTCGCAAGATCATGGAGATCGTCATCCACCCAAATTTATGACAACAGATGGAACAAATTTGTCCAGTGGAGACAATGTCACAGTGAACATTCCCATGGTTGTCAATTTCATTTAACACCTATGACAGGATAATAATTTCCGACATGGAACTATTGAAGGATATAGATGGATTGATGATTGATGATTGGAACACATCCGGTACTGAACAGACTCATGCAAGCATTCAGCCGAGAGGATATTCGCATTCCCCGAATCTTCCCAAAAAGGAATTTATCAGTCGTCCTGTCTGCTCTACTAGCCGCTCCATATGAACCTCTTGGAAATGCTACTCTTCTCCAAAAATCCCGAAAAGCAGCATTTTTACTAGCCATGGCTACTGCAGCTAGAGTTTCTGAACTCTGGGCCCTCGACTACTCCAGTCTCACTCACACTCCCAACTGGACCTTCATCACCTTGTGGTCCTTACCGGACTTTATAGTCAAGAATCAGTCCATGGCTATTGGTCCTTTGGGTCACAGACATTATACTCTTCCCACCTTGGCACCTACAGTTCACCCCGATTATGTTTCTAGGTTTGTCAGCACCATACCTGTGCTCATGGATTTCAGCAGCTACAGAAGGTGAGTACACCTTTTACCTTGATTTACTAGTATGGTACGTAAGGAATTCAAGGGCTACCTGTGTTAGAACAGCTGATAAACAGATCTACCGGAAGTGACGTCACAGTCGGAAATAATACAGAGCGGAAGTGACGTTTTAACTGGAAGTGACGTCGTAAATGACATCAGAGGTTCTAGAAATGACATCAAAACCAGTCAAAAAGAAGAATTGATGTCATTAGAATCAGAAGTGACGTCATAACTGGAAGTTGATAAACTGGAAGTGACGTCACTCTCAGAATCTGAGATAAACAATGAGTTAGATAGAACTAAAGACATCATTTCATGATTCTCAGCAAACAATAAGGTACTTCAAGTGAACGTATCTCATATTGACTGATATAATCATAATACCCGATTTCAAGTCCTCTAAAAGAGATTCTAGTGTAATTACCTCTTGAAAGGGTTTGATTACAGTAATGTACAAGAACTCATACCACAGTATTGGATTGCTGTCAACTACACAGGGAGTTAGTAGAGGCAGATCCCGCCTTATCCCTCTGTTATATTCTGGCTATGAAGTAATAGAGGTAAAGGATTCGCAGGAATTATCAAACAATAGTTATCATTGTTAATAATTCTAAGAATACTACTTATATTACATCAGGAAGTACTCCCACCCACCTCCCCAATGCATCTGCCTCCAGTGGTGTGATGTTTTGGAAAGAAGTGATGCTTTTCCAACCTTTTTGCACTGAAGAGCTACATATGCTATTAGGGCAGCGTTGTGTGTTGTTGACAATGAAGAGGGCTTCCAGGGTTAGAAACTAACAGTTTTTTTCCACTAGTCCTCATAATGATAACAAACAGCAAAACCCTTAAAATGGACCAATTGCTACTAGTCCTTAGGATACCCTTACTATTGGGCAGTTTGGTAAGGACTATAGGACTAGTGCCAATAACGCCGCCATCTGTTGAAAATCTGAACATTTAGTCATTGTGTGTCTGCAGCCAAAATACAAGATTCATGGCTATGATGTAATAGAGGTACCAGTAGTATTCTTAGAATTATTATCAATGATAACTTATTGTTTGATGTTTATGATAGTATTATGACAAACACTTTTTTCCTGTTGTCAGTGATAGTATAGTTACAAATGTTATTTTTCCTGTTGTATTTCGTTTTCATCAATATGTTGAAATGTTAAAAGTACTTGTCACTTGAGCATTGCACTCTCAGATTAAGAGATATAATTACTTCTCGTCAGTATATACTTGGTGGATCTTGTATTAAATAGTTTATTACAAATGTCGTGTGCTCTTGGCCCGTCAGCCATACAAATTATGGTAGTGTATGACATCTATTAAGGTGTTTGTATTAATAAATAATTTTGTTTGTTTACTTAGGCTATTATATTTGTTATAAAAGGCGTTGAAAATGTTATTTTTATTCGCTGAAAAGGCTGTACACATTAATGCTCAATATCTGTATGAACGCTGTATAGGTAGGTGAGAAGTTCCGCAACAGAGCCCTAAAGTTCCCTGGTCTGATATCAGGGTGTACAATGGACTGGTTCAGCAAGTGGCCCCGGGATGCCCTGGTGGCTGTGTCTGGCCACTTCCTCAACAACTTCCCCATGGAGACGTCTGAGGAGATTAAGCAACAGGTGGTCAACACTATGGGAGTTGTACACGACAACGTAGCTGCGGTCTGTGTGGAGTATTTCCAGAGGTGACAGTAGATTGTCTAGTAGTTAATGTGTTTGCTCGTCATACTGAATGTCCCTGTTTAATGCCATATTTGGTAAATGTGTGAAGCAATATTCTGGTATTCCCAGTCGGAATATTGCTGAAACATATGATACCTGCATTACTATTGGCTTTCCTCCAACATGAAACTGACATGTCATGATGTGACTGAAATACTAATCTACGCAATTTGGATAGGATGACAGGCATGAACCAAGTTGGAGAGCCTTGACTTGACTACGTAGATCAATGCCTATGATGTCAGTCGCTTGATTGTCTGGTGAAGACTCGATTATTTACAGACCACTGTCATGTAGCTGGAATATTGTTGACTGAGGCGTTAACAACAAACAAACAAACTGTGGTCACTGACTCAGTCACTAATTAATGATAGTATCCCAGTTGTTTGATTACAGGTATTCAAATGTTGTGTTTTAATCGTCTTTGTTAGTGTCTATGTTACGTATGTAATTGATAATAATTTTAAAAACACAGTGCCAGTAGGAAAAATCTAAGTTTCATCTGAAGCTATGTACCAATCTTCCATTGTATATGTCATGAAACTCATACGATATAGTTCAGTAGTTTCTTAATATTATATTAAGTGCAATATATGGATAATTATGTAAGTAATATAAAACCAACTTAAACGATAAAGAAAGTATTAGGTTTTTTTTATGTGATGCTTGTATTTTAAGTTTAAGTAGCAAAAAATAGCAGCGTATTTGTGTAAAATACCCCCCCAAAATATTCAAAACCAAATTACTTTAAATAAGCTTGCGTACAGAAACACATGCATTAACTGAAAAACTCAAATGTATAAAAGTAGCATGCATAAATACTAGGGCTGCAACGAATAACCTGAGGCGAATACGATTCGTATCACGAATATAGGGTAATGAATATGAATATTAATTCATGAATACAATAATAAGTCAGTAGTTGATGAATTTTTTGTTATATTCAGTGAAACATTAACAACATAAATTATTTGACATGGTTTGTTAATTATCTATATAATACATTTATATACTGCACTTGTCCAGGTACTTAGTCTTAGTATTTGCTCAAATGCTACAATGACCAGTGACCAAATTCCTGTCAAATTAAATATTATAAGAGTGTTGTCTTTAAAGAAATCTATGCATATCATATGTTCTTATGGATGTTTTAGGTACAGGGTATATAAATGCACATGATTGCATATTCATAAATATTCGATTCTAGTGGCCATGAATAACGAATTCAATTCATGAATGGATACGGTTCGATTCACCGAATACACGAGTGAATCGTAACGGCCCTAGTAAATACCCAATGAAGCTTTTCCAGCATGCGCACAAAGGAGCTAATTTCTGAAACACTATTACGAGCTAATTTACTTTCCATACCAAGGCTATATATTTAGAACAGTTATATACATCTAAAACATCATTTCATTTTTTTAAATCTGAAAATGTTCACTAATTTTGGGAAAAACCCAATAGAATGATGAATAGATGAGTGGAAAAATATTGGTTACCCAATGAAAAATGTAATAACCCAATTAAAATAGAAACCCTCAAGTAAAAACTGAATTGCTCAAAAAGTTATCTGGAGCTCTGTATAATTTATGACAATTTGTATTTTATTCTGTTAGTAAGTAAGGAATATGTTCGGACATGTAAAATGTGTTGAGTGATTCAGAAGAAAGTGTGGTACCTCAAAACTTGCACAAGAAACAGTTTTAGTGTATCATATTGCAATATTGATAACATCAGTCTCCAAATATGATATTAGAAATACTAGCTCACCACTCAAACTTGTCAATGTTTGTGATTGTCAGATTCCTTATCTGAACATGGGAGACTTATTCTCGTGGGAATTTCGGGTCATCGTACCTCAACGATGTGGATTGTTCCGCACAATATCTTTAACTGGATTGTGTTGTCCAGACTTGAATAATTACAGGCTGCTGTCATATAGCTTGAATATTGCTGAGTGCATCATTAAACAAAAAACAACAAAACAAATACCCATATGTATATTTACATAGGTATCGGAGACAGTCCCATGTGACTCCCAAATCATACCTGTCCTTTCTGGATGGGTATAAGAATGTGTACAAGGAGAAACACACAATCATTGGTGAGATGGCTAGGAGAATGAATACAGGGTTGTCCAAGCTGATTGAGGCAAGCGAGTCTGTCGACCTACTCAGCAAGGAGCTAGTCGTCAAGGAGAAAGAACTGGAATTAGCCAACAAGAAGGCAGACAAGGTAACATTATCTCAAGACCAGAGCTTGAACATGAATTTGCTAGTCCAAGACTAGTAAAATTCACATTGGACTCTTGAAATACACTAATCCCAAGGCTTGTCACAATGAAAGATTTAATATCAATTCATTTAAATGAAACAATTTTGTGCTATAAGTTGTACCATGTTTCTCTAACAGACTGTCAAACCCTTTTCTGAACAATAAAGGCAGGGTCTCTGATAGATGTGAGGTTTCCAATACATGCAGGATGATGCCAGATGTTATAAAAGAGGTGAATGATGATCTGCCTGTAGACACTTTATGAATAGCCAATACCAAATGTGTTATGAATTATTTCAAAGTTGCGGCCTACAAAACAACTAAATTGTGCTTAAGACAGGTAAAAAACCAGTGATGGTATTTCTCGGCGACCAATGACATTTGAGGTCTAAAAAATTTATACCAGTTCTCTATACATTTTTAATCTACTACAAATTTGGCTAGCTGGACTCGCAACAATCTTGGAGGGCTAGTGAAATAAGTTTTGCACTAGTCCTCTGGACTTGTTTTTTAAAAAAAATGCTCAAACAGTTCTCAATGTTTCAAATTTGCTACAAATTGGAATTGAATAAAACTGACAGAAAATGTAAACATAGTACCGGTAAACATTTCGTTTTGTTCAAGCAGGACCAGCTACAAACTGTGGACTAGTGAAATAAGGTTTCCACTAGTCCTCTGGGCTGGTGTGTTACACTGCAGCGTTTGAGATACTTGGTTGATATTTGTCATTAATTTATGTAGACAATTTATATGCGAACAGGAAAGAGTGAGCTTGACACTATTACTCCCATTCAGAGAAACATTCTGAACTTTGTCTCTCATTAAACAAATGTATGATGACTGGTTGTTGCAGAGATAATCAACAAGGTGTAAGGGGTAATAAACATTTATTGTTTCCTCCTTTACTGTACAGAGCATAGACATAGTGTTATAGACAGGTAGTTGATGGTGCTGTATTGTCATCAAGGTGTTGGAAGAGGTGACAGTCAGTGCGCAGGCTGCTGAGAAGGTCAAGGCTGAAGTACAGAAAGTCAAGGACAAAGCTCAGAAGATTGTTGATGAGATCAACTCTGAAAAATCTTATGCTGAGGAGAAGCTGGAGGCAGCCAAACCTGCCCTGAAGGAGGCTGAGGTAGCACTGCAGGTGGGTTGATATGACAGGTGAAATCTTACTGAAGCGTTACTAGGATCAGGATACAATAAAGGGAAGTAATTTCGTCCTGAAGATTTTGTAGGATTTTGAATCATAACGGTTTTTGTTGTTTGAAATTGATAGAGAAATTAGTAATAAGTATTGAAAGATAAAGGGTCCTTGTCATAACCCTAATGTTGCGTATTTGAGATTTCTGGGTGCCTTGATTCAAATACTACAGGAGCAAATCTCAAGGACTCCAGGGCCCTCTTTCACAAAGCGATCTTAGTGCTACGACTATTGTAAGCATATGTTAATGTATGAGAGTTACGATCATCTTAGCGCTAAGATCGCTTTGTGCAAGTGGGCCCAGGACCCACCCATAATTTCAAACAATGATTATAGTAGGGATGGAGGTGTACGCATGTTGTGCACATGCAGGTCATGATGATGACATTAACTAAGCTCCCGTGGACATCAGCATGTACTATTATTAATATTTGCTATTGAACTCACCACTAGAACTCATTTGCCGAGACAGGACATACACATATTCATCGTACTACTTTTCACGGACCACCCATTACCCCTTGTTCACAGTGGTACGTGCCAGTAGGCAGACCTCATTCATATTTATTCAAGATTAATTGTCAGGTCACAACTCACTTATCCTGGATTACGAGTAGTAATGTCATGATATGACTATCTCCTGATACAATATGTATCGCAATACTTTGTTCTTAATACAATCGTATATTAATTTGCAACATATATCATAGTGCATAAACACTTAAAAAGGCTTGAAACTTCCAGAATATCTGGTCTCATATTTGAAAATAAAAATGTCTCTTTTCAGTTAATACTTTATTTCAGATAAGACTGGAGTGTCATCATAAGTATTTTCTGTTATTAAATAAAACAGCAAATCCCCTCTCTGTGAAATGCCACAGATGTGCACCAGAGAATATAATTTCCTGTCATATTGCACATATATAAGAACATGAAAAATAAAGAATTTGAAAGGAAAGTTTATTATTAACCCTTTTTTGTGCAAAAGAACAAAACACTTGAAGGGTCTAACTTTATCTGTATTTTTGTTTTAAACACTGAGCACTGTTTTTTCATACACACAAAATAGGACAGATGAAACAATCAGGACCCACTTGCACAAAGCGATCTTAGAGCTAAGATGATCATAACTCCCATACTTTAACTTAGGCTTAAGATAGTCTTAGCGCTAAGATAGCTTTGTGCAAGTGGGCCCCGGACATAAAGATAAGCATTATCCAGTTATATCATGGAACTGTTGTGACAGGTATTGTGAGATTTTCTGCATATTATCATTGTCAAATGTTGATTGTTTTTTGCCTCCTGATAATCCAGACAATCAAGCCATCCGATATTTCCACAGTGAAGAAACTTGGTAAGCCTCCCCATCTCATCATGAGGATCATGGACAGCGTGCTCATCCTGTTCGGGAAGAGACTTGATACTGTAACACCAGACCCAGAGAGAGCTTGTCCTAAACCATCATGGGGGGAGTCTCTCAAGGTATGACACATCTTGCCCATGTAAACTTGGAACATAGTTTATTTGTTTGTTTGTTATAACGGTGGACTATTTCATCTATTATATAGTGGTATGTAAATAATCAAGTCCAGACAATAATCTCAAGCTTCAATCCATGCAGTTGGGATATGATGACATGGCTTCAGCTGTAACTGATCACCCAGTTGATTTTGTTGCCTCATACGACCAGGTTTTCAACTCTGTGATTTATACATCTTCAATAACAGAGGACAAGCTAATTGGTTTATTTATGTAAATTTATTAAAATTCAAATCAATTTACATTTAATTTAAAGATACCTGGTACCTAATGTTACTTACTGTTATAGATCAAACGTAAAACAAGAGAAGTTACTCTAACCTTATGACCTGAGAACATTTTACAGTGGCTCGCCTGAGAGTGAGGACTGACAATACTTTCAAGCTAAATGCTCAGGGAAATGTTTTGTTTGTGTCTTTCTGTTGTTTAACACCACACTCAGCAATATTCCAGCTATATGACAACAATCTGTAAATAATTGAGATGTATTTCAACTGAATGGATTTTGTAAACAAGCTATATGGAAACATAACGCAAGTTCAGTGATAAACTAAATCTGTCAGTTTTAACCAGGTCAAACAGTTGTTTCCAGTAGGTATCTATAATAGATATTGATGGAATTTTAATCATTTTGAACTTGATCTATATTATGAATATTAGAGGTGGTGGTGTAGTCTTGTGGTAAAACATTTGCTCATCACATCAAAGCTTTGTTTCTATTCTCCACATGGGTACAATGTGTGAAGCCTATTTCTGTATGTGAATTCCCCTGCTGTAATGTTGCTGGAATATCACTGACAATTTTAACTCTCCCAGAACACTTTTTATCCCCCCAGCATATAATGCGGAGGGGATATAGTCATGATCTGATCTGTCTGTTCATCAAAACTTGGTACATGTATCAACCAGGGGCTGAAGCGGTGCCTTTTGCTATTACAGAACTTTTCAAAATTTTATATATCCCTGTTTCCATGGAAACAAGTAAGGCTTAGCTGATACGGATATAGGTGTCGTTTACAGAGCAGAACTAAAAAACTATTGAAGATTTTTCAACCAAACTTGGTACATGTATTAATTAGGGGCTGAAGTGGTGCCTTTTGCTTTTAAGGAATTTTAAACTATTGTACTCCTGTTTCCAAGGAAACAAATTTGACTTTAACTCTGTTGATATTGATGTGTACCTGACATAGAAATACAAAGTTCTGAATCTCAATTCAATGGTATATTTTTGATAGTTCAATAACTACTCTACAGACAGACAGATGTGATAGAAATTCTCTCATCAAGTTAGCCTGAAGTCACTAAAGTAACAGTCAGATGATGTGTTATTCCGAATTTGTAGGGATTTGTGATAATCTGATGTCTCTTTTTTTAACAAAGAGTATGCACTACTCCCTTCTGGCCAGTGATATTTAATGACACATTATAAGACAAATAGAGATCTTTTATCCCAACGAGTATCTGTATCTTAAATGATTGTTAATAATGTACCCTTTTTTTCCGATCTTGTTTGTATGTTCAGGCCTCAAAGTTTATATTTTTACCAAGTAGCTACAATATGGCTACAAGTATTTTTTCCTAGGTAGCCAGTGGTAAAGTTAAGAAGTCAAGCCAATAGTGTAGGTAGCCAAAAGCATTTGAAATTATCTGTTATCAAATAACTACTTTTATATGTACAAGTCAAAGCACTTGTCTTGGAATTTTATATTAGTGGAAACTGTACTTGAGTTTTGTTATTTGTGACTCGAACAATGATGCAATCTATGTTACTAGATTTTATAGGTATATCCTTGCTTATGCAAAAAACTATCAACTAAAATAAAATACTAATTACATTAATATTTATGTATTTCAGTTCATTGTTGACTTAATGAGGAATTATTTGCGAGTACAATTACTAGCAGACATGTTTATTTTTGTGTCTACATATGTGTAGCAATAGAATTTAGTTGCCACAAGATATTTCACAAGGCAGTCATTTGGCTACCTCTGAATTTTAGATAGTAGACAAATTGAAATTTAGGTTGCATTGGCGACTGTTTTAGTCGCAACTTTGAGGCCTGATGTTTAATTTCAAATAGACAATCTGCATCCCTGTTAGCACTTTCATGTTAAATTTCCAAATTTTGAGTGAGCTACAGAGCAACATGGCTATGTGTTTTATCGAATTGATCTTGAATTCAAGTTTTCTGTTTACAGCTTATGAGTGGCTCTGGCTTTCTGACCAGCTTGCAGACCTTTGGTAAAGACACCATTACAGGCGAGACTGTAGAGCTGTTGCAGCCCTATTTGTCAATGGAGGACTATACATTTGAGACGGCTAAGAAAGTGTGCAGCAATGTGGCTGGTCTGTTGTCCTGGACCACAGCTATGGCTTTCTTCTACGGTATCAACAGAGAAGTTTTGCCACTGAAGGTGTGTCTTTATTATAATAAGATAATACGTTATTATCCTGAAGGAAATTTGGGTGGCATCCTAAAAGCATAGAGAAACAAGTAACAGGTTTTAAGTTACTTACGCTGACAGACACATAAGCACTATGTCCAAACGACATAAAAGCGCTAATCAACAACAAATGAGAAAAGTGTTTCAGAGAGAAGCATGTGAGGCATTAGGGAAGCAGGTGAAATTCAACATGATAGAGATAATAAATTGTTTAAGTACTTTCTCTGTTCTTTTAAAAGTGAATAATTTTTAGATAACGCAACTGGTCATACACTCATTGAGCTTGTGAAATTAAAATGCATTACAATAAACATTATTGATATTGTGTATATGCGTCGTATGACCCACTCTTTTCTTCTATGCAATTTGTTCAAGTGTTTTATGTAAGTTTTCAAATGTGTTACTTGTATTTTTTACTTATCCTGCATTACTCCTTAATGCATTCACTGCTTACCTCACGACAACAAGGACAGTGCAACGGCGATGGTCCTGGGTGAAGAAATAAAGTTGTTGTTCTGAAGTCCCACTTTTACTGACCACCGCCGTTGGCATGTGACCTTGATGGCACCTAAGGTCACCTTCTTCACATCACTGCTTGTCGCGCTACAGCAAGGACGTGGCCCAGCGGAGCACTCCTTTTGGATTAATTTAGATCTTCAGTTTTTGTCTACAATTCTAAAATAGATTTGCGATGGGTGATGTATTCCTTTCATATCATATATGATCCCTGATATCTTTTTTTATGGTTTGGTTGTTTAATTTGAAGTTTTGAAGATTAAATGTTATGTTTGTTTCAGGCTAACCTGGCCAAGCAGGCAGGACGGTTAGATATTGCCACAACAGAGCTGAACAATGCCCAAGCGCAGCTAGATGATAAGCAGAGGGAATTGGATGTGGTGCAGGCACTCTATGATACAGCCATGAAAGAAAAACAGGTAATACAACACAGTAGAACATGGTTGTTACTGACATCAGATAATTAATATACACATGGTCTAAAGAAGCTAATTCTTACGAAACTTCTTCATCTATTACATCTTTGCCATTAATCCTGTATTTTGGCTTCAGTCACACTAACTAAAATTTTCAGATTTTCAACAGACGTCCTCTTCACTGTCAATCACACACAACTAGTTGTTCCCAAATTGCATCGTAACCACTCAAGCTATGACATTTGCAATGGCGGGAACCTCACCAATTGATATAGTTGTAACGATCTAGCACTTGGTAGTTAGCCACATTAATCTAAGATTATTCAAAAAGTTTTCTATAAAACAGACCCAGTAAGTAGATATTAATAAGACTGCTAACTGAAGTGACGATCACACGAACGTGAGTATAAGCTGGTGTTAGATGTTGCTGTGAGGTCGTAATGGAGTCTCCCTTTACTCCCGGTTGCAAGAAGTGTGGTCGGTTTATGATCACGTGAGATCCTTATCTTAACTGCATGAGGTGCAGAGGTTCTACCTCTACATAGGAGGTTAGGTGTGAGTAGTGTGCCAATACTTCAAGGAAAGCCTTCCAAAAGTTAGCTGAGGCTATCACCAAGGCTAAGAGGCGTGAAGCAGCTAAGAAGAAAGTAGAAGTCATCACCGCAGCCGACACTGTTCAGTCCACTGCCTCATCCCCAGCGCCTCCTTCCTCCACTCCCAGTCCACCACCAGCAGAACAACCATCTCCTGCGCTCTCTATGAGCATGCTACAAGATCTCTTCAAGCAGCAACAAGACATGATGAAGGCCATGTTTGAGACGAGGTTCTCAGCCTTAAATGAGGCAATGAAGAGGATGAGACAGGCAGCTCTCCAGATCAGGAGTCCCCAGGTCAAGAGACTGCATGGGAGACAGCCATCTGCCTCTGCAACACACACCGTGTAGGGCCTACCCCAGCCGACCCTACCGACCAGCCAACCAGCCAGCCAGCTGTCCAACAAACCTATCAGCCTTACGGCCAGCCAGGATTAAGCTTGCAGGCTTTTCCCTACCGTGATACATGGGCAGCTGGGTCTTCGCTTGGGTCCAGCAGGGAACCGCCAGGCTATACTCCCCAGCTAAGACACTGTACACTCGCTGCATGGACCCCACGGCAACCCAGCCGACTGACCAGCCGTCCACCCAGCCGACCGTTAAGACACCGTATGGTTGCCGCACAAACCCCACGGCAACCCAGCCGACCGTTAAGACACTGTACAGTCACCACATGGAGTCCACGACAACCCAGCCTGCTGGCCGGCCATCCACCCAGCCGCCCGTTAAGACACCGTACGGTTACAGCACGGACTCTTTGGTAAACCTATGGACCATCCAGTTGATTGGCCTACCATATGACCTCCATCAACAGGTGGTACCCAAGCCAGCCGCACGGACCACACAGGACTGCACGGACCACACGGGACTGTCCAACCGACCATTATGCTGACCGAGATGAGCATTACCCTACGGGACCCGTTGACCACAGGCAGGCATCACAAGCCGCACGAACTTTAATCATACTGGAATCCTGGACACTGGTGGATGAGGAATCACACGGGGAATACATGGCAGACTACCACGAATATCAACCCCCCGATGGAGCTACCCACGGTCACTGGGAGGTGGAAGCAGAGTATTATGAAGACATTAATCAATTGACGACTCACCCCAGTGGGGTTATACGGAGGGATATACGTTTGTGGAACTCATCGAGGAATTATATCACCTCATGCGTGTACTCCAACCTCCTGTGACAAAAAATGCGCCACCTGAGATGCCGGAATACGGGGGATGTCATGCTCCTAGTTTTCGTCAGTCAAACTACAAGAAATGAGGAGTCAGAGGTGAATGCAGATTCTGACCTCCCTGCCACCCACTCCGACATTATAGACCCTTTTGACCAAGTTATGTCTATGGATTGCGATTTACGCCTACTGTTTTTCAACATAATGCCAACTCCGGGACCAGTGGGAGGGCGCCTTCTGTCATATGCCGAAAATCCGAAGCAAGTTACGCCGGACCGCTGGATTCTAGACTTCATGGCTCACGGATACAAACTGCTATTCAAGAAACATCCTATCTTGAAGAATCAACCCTTTGGACACAGATTTGATCCAGTCTTAGCCAAGCTAGCGGCAGCAGATCTGTCTGTCAGGAAGCTTTTTAAGAAGCGAGCCATTAGGAGACGAGCGGAGACCAACAAGACCAAAGGCTTTTATTCTCCGGTATGCCTAGTCCCGAAGAAGAATACGACCGACATGAGGATGATAATTGACTAAAGATCCTCAAAAAGACATTCCTGGAACCTCCGCCAAAATTCCTGATGTAATCCGTACAGAAGTTATGGTCGACATTGAAGACAGGAGACTGGCTCATCAGCCTCGATCTACATGATGCCTATCTTCACATTCCGATACACTCATCGTCACTGAAATATCTGTGCTTCGTGATCAAAGGTCGGGGTTAAGAGTTCCAGGTCTTACCATTCAGGATATCAATAGCAAATATAACGGTAATTCTAGTGAAAGTATCACATATTTGATCGATTCTTGAGACATTCTGATTTTCAAGGCCTCAGGGGGAAATTCGGAGGAAATTTATCTTGAGTTATGATTAGAATCAGAGAATAATGGTTTCCAGAAGAGATTACTGTCAATTACACAGGGAGTTAGTAGAGGCAGATCCCACCGGACATCTGTGGTATATTCTGGCCAAGATGTAATAGAGGTAGAAGTTTCATAAGAATAATTGAACAATGGTTATCATTGTTAATAATTCTAAGAATACTACATCTATTACATTGGAAGCTAGTACTCCCACCCACCTCCCCAATTCACCTACCTCTAGTGGTTAGATGTGGGAAGAAGTGAGGTTCCCGCCATTGCATACGTCATAGCTTGAGTGGTTACCATGCTACTTGGCAACAACTAGTTGTCTGTGTAATTGTCAGTGAAGATGATGCCTGTTGAAAATCTGAAAATTTTAGTTAGTTTGACTGAGGCCAAAATACAGAAATTACGGCAAGGATGTAATAGAGGTAGTATTCTTATAATTATTAAGAATTATTATTATCTAGAATTCCAAACTGAGTGACCTAGGATGGCAAATTTGGAAGAAAAAATTGTTTTGTTCAAAATTGGGATTTTGTGAAAAGTTCTTGTTTTCTTCATTACCATTGCAATCAATGCAGTCCATCTATCCGTAATCTTTTCTTTTCCAGATCACAACTCAAAAACCATTCAATATTTTTCCAAAACATATGGCAGATCTATCAAACAGATCCTGAAGTGGTACCTTTTGCTATTTGCAGCTTTTGGGCATTTTTATTTTTCTTGATTTCCATGGAAACAATTTGGACTTAGTCTCAAAAGGGGGTGGTGGATTTTGTTTCCAGAGCACAACTTTTAAAACCATGAAAGACTTTTCATCCATACCTGGTACATATATTAACTAAGGGCTGTAGTGGTGCCTTTGGCTATTTAGGATGTTTTCAGAATTTCATTTTTCCCAGTTCTCATAGAAACAAGTAAGATTTAGCTGAAACAGAGAGAGGTGTCGTTTCTAGAGCAGAACTTTGAGATTTTCAACAAAACTTGGTACATGTATTAATCAGGGGCTGAAGTGGTGCCTTGTGCTATTTAGAAATTTTTAGAAAAATAATGTTTTCCCCATTTCCATTGCAACAAGTTTGACTTTGACTCTGTTCATGATATGTTTATCTCACCTATCGACACATACTATATTAAGCCTCCTGTTCCAATAGGCCCATGGCAAGTATTGTGATACTTGCGTTACGATAAGATACTTTTTTTCTCTCATTTTTGTGTGAAATTCTCCATTTTCTGGATGGCCCAAAAATCTAAGCATGTACGTATGAATGCTTGGGGAATCCATGGTGGACAAGGTTTTGTGAGTAACAAACAAGGGATAATATGAAAAAAATTCAGCAATCCATGGAGTCTTTTATTATCCTGTTTTACTGTAGCTCCTTGAGGGTGTGCTCTCAACTGGGAATCCTTGACCAGTAGCATGTTGTATGAGTGAACAGTTTTCAAATATGTGTGTTCTTTGGGGAAGTTGAAGTGTTGGGTTACTGATGTTATTTCATGTTTGACTTAAGGAACTGATGGATGATGCTGAGTCTTGTCGAAGGAGAATGACAGCAGCCTCAACTCTTATTGGAGGTCTTGGAGGAGAAAAGACCAGATGGACGTCTCAAAGCAAAGAGTTCAAGACTCAGATTGACAGGTAGTCACTTTCATATAGCTGGATCCACGTCACTGTATAAATTGAATTAAAATAGTCAAGGGGTCCTTATCATAACCCTAATGTTAGAAGGTAAAGATTTCTGGCCTCTAGATTCAGGGTTTGCCCCAACCCAACCCCAAACTGGGGGTCATTATGACTCCTTAGGTATAATACAGGGAGTCATATGTCTTTCAAAGGGGGTCATTTTAATAAAACACTAATTGATGTTAGATATCATAATGACAGGAAATACAACTACCCCGCTAGGCAACTATTGAAACTTCTTTCTGATTGGCTGCAACTGAGAGCTTGCCAGTAGAGCTGTTCCATTTTTAGACATTAGGATTTCCAACATTAGACAAAGCTGATATCAGTCATATTTTATTGTCAAGGGATATGTCCTTTTCAAATATTAATGTTTCAACCATATAGTGCAATTGATTGATTTTGACTGTCAGAACGATCTGCATCTTCTTGACTGATGCAATGGAGAAATGATATTGCGTATTTTCTCCTTAGATTGAGTCAAATACGCAGGTTTTTTGCATCAGGGCAAACCCTGCTCTAGATCAACTACTATAGCAGAAATCATCAAGGAACACTGGACCCTCCTTAATTTAGAATGCTGAATGTCAAACTATTTTGCCTTCAATCTGGTTATTTTTTAATGAGAGCCAGTATTGTTCATACAAACTTGATAAATGCTTAAATTCGACCCTTGACTGTTAGCCGACTTGTGCCTTATAAGCATAAAATAATGGTATAGTACTTTGAACACATTAGTGTGTGGAATCTAGCCCTTAAGTACCAATATACACATTATTTAATCAGAAGCCTGAATCTAGTAAATTTCTGTCCAGTAAGTTCAACTCTCAATTGTCTATATCAGTATATGTTAACATTTAAAGCTTATCAAATGTTAGACGAGTTTGGGTCACCTCAATTTTTGGGGGCATTTTGGAAAACAATACATAAATGGCCTAATAATATAGAGGGATTTGAAACCTAGAATTATTTCACATATGAATATACCTAGCACTTGCATGTCCTGGTGACAGATCCGTGATGATGTACATATGTATCTAATGCTGATTAATGTATTTGTTTATGACCTGTCAGACTTGTCGGGGATGTGGTTCTGTGTACTGGCTTTCTGTCCTACTCGGGGCCATTCAACCAAGAGTTCCGCACCAAACTGTTGACCAATTGGGAGAAGGAAATGTACAAGAGAAAGATTCCCTTCACTCATGACTTGAATGTCACCTCCATGCTAGTGGACACAGCCACTGTAAGTACACCGTAGCATCCTATTAAATATGTATGTCATATTTATGTCCATGCTAAATACTAGCTATATGTATATCACGTCTATACCCAATCAATATCACACCAACATCCCTTCTATATCACGTCTATACCCAATCTATGTCACATTAATATCCGTTCTATATCACATCTTATCCCTTCTATGACACATCTACATCTCATATATATATATATATATGGCACCGCTCTGTCACATCTATATCACATCTTTTTCCCTGCTATATCACATCTATATCGTGTCTATCTCACATCTATATCACGTCTATATCTTTTCAGTCTTTAACATTAGGGTTATGGCAAGGAATCCTTGACCTTCATACTTAATATCAAACACTGATGACTTATCACATCTGTATGATGCCTTTATCCCATCTATTAAAACATTGCACTAAGTACAAACGTATGAAATATGTCAAACTCTGTATAAGCCTCTATTCAATGTAGCAATATCCTTAACCGTCTGTTTTTACATGGTGTTGCACTTCAAACTATCGATGCATTGCAATTCTCAATTGCCCGATATCAAGACATTGATGGCACAAATTATTCAAGACTTGTGAAAAAATTGTAGTTGAAGAATATCAAATCAATATCTTAACGGATGAGAAAATATTACTTCCAGTAGAACGTAGATACCTGTGCACATATGAATACACAATCTTATCTAAATAAATGTTCAATTTGGTATAGATCGATGTCTCTTTTACCTTGGGTGCCACCATCTTTGAACCGAGATCCATTTATGGAAATGGATCTCTTGCATTAGGGCTAACAAAAATCGAACAGATTCTTGAAATGGCCAAATGAATGATCTCAACTAAGGCTAGGCTGTTAAAACTGTATGCTAAATCAACACAACAATATAAGGACTGATACCATGAGATCTGGTCGTGTCATACTGCCTCAAAGAGGGTACTGACGTTTGTTTATTGTAACATGGTGAGGTCAACTTTACCTGCTTGCTATCCAAATGCTTGTGCAGGAGTGGTAGAACTGTTGCAATAGTATCACATTAGTATTTTAACTATTGGATTGCTGTTGCAGTAGATATTTTGCCCCATTTAAGTTTAACATAGGTAGTATGTTATGTATTGGTGACCCGTGAAGATCTGGGTTAGAATAGGTCTTCAGCCACCCATTCTTGCTGAAAGAGGCGACTATACTTGTCGTAAGAGGCGACTGATGGGATCGGGTGGTCAGACTCAGTGACTTGGTTGATGCATGTCATCGTATCCCAATTACATACATCAGTGTTCATGATGTCAATCGTAGGTTTGCTGGTCCAGACTTGATTAGTTATACACTGCCTTCATATGGCTGAAATATTGCTGAGTGTGGCGTTATAAAACAAATAAAAGAACAAACAAAACGTGGTTGGTCCATGCCTAACATGGAAAGTCATACATGATCAAGATTGTTTATTCTATCTTGGACTTTGTAAGTGCCAGGTGTTATAGTAAGCCCAGTGTTAGAAATTGGCACTAGTCCTTAAAAAATTATAGTCAGTGCAAAACTGCACAATAGTTAAGATATTCTAAGGACCAGTAGAAATCTGCCCTTTTAAAGGTAAATCTTTGAAAGGCATTTAGAAGTGATGCACATCAGGAATGGAACTTTTTTATTATGAGAAACAGAATGTTTCGGAAGAGGTAAGTATACCTCGAAACATAATAAAAAAAGTCGACAACCATAGATTCTATTCTTTTTTAAGGTTTTTGCTTTATGTTATCATTATAAGGACAAGTGGTCTAAAACTGTTAGTTTATATCCCTGCTTGTAGTAACCCTCACAGCACATTACAGTTTAAACTGAGTAATAGAGAAGAATTAAATTGCAAGAATTATCATGTTCTAAACAAGAAGTCACCACAAAAAACTTATCATGAGTTTAGGTACATCAAAATATCACTGACCATTTACGTTTCAGATTGGAGAGTGGAATATCCAGGGTTTGCCCAATGATGACCTGTCTGTACAGAACGGCATCATCACAACAAAGGCCACCCGCTACCCACTTCTGATTGATCCACAGGGGCAGGGCAAGAGCTGGATCAAAAACAGGGAGAAAGATCATGACCTGCAGGTAAGTACAGCTGCAGCAAGACAGGCAATTGTTTATTTTGGTCTCGCTCAACTTCCTGGCAGTGTAACTCAATATCAGCCTCACTGACCAATGTTCAATGTAAACAAATCTTGTAAAAGTCTGGACTTTATGCAAACTGCTGTGGAAGGAGGATGCAAGTTGTGTGCAGCTTTGGACAGTATTGCCTGATTTAGGATGAAGTGATGCAGGTCTTGGATGTTTAGCCCTGAAGGGATTCTGGATAAGAATTGGTCCCCAACAACCTGAACTTATAAGAGGTCATTAAATGGATGAAATGGTCAGACTTGGTGAATTGGTTGATAGCTTGTGAGATCACTACTTTGTATGGCCAAGAATAAATTATTTCCAGACTGCAGCCATAAGGCTGGAATGGTGCAGACAAACCTAAAAACATAATCAGGTCAATTGAACCCTCGATCATTAATTCCTGTCGATACCTATGGAAATCTAAGGCAACAAAGATAATTGTACCACCCATGGTCCCCATTGCCCTTGAGATCTGCAGTCTAGCGTAAATACTGCTCTTGGAGGATTGTCTTTGCCCCTGTAGGACAAGACTAACCTTCCTGAGGAAATCCCTTCATTTTTAAATTTGCCGATCGATACAGGATTCTATGAAGCAAAAGCAGAACTCTATTTGAATGCTTCATGAACTCAATTGTTATGATATGTTGATGATGTGACCTGAACTAAAATTCTGTATAGTCCATTCTCCTTTAACAACTCAGAAAAACAGCCTCAATTGCAATACCCCACTGCTGTAGTCAATAAATCAGCAAAAAATAAGAAAGCAATTGTATGAAGAGGGTCATCCTTCAGATGACAGCTTTACCATATCAGTTTAGGTCTAACAGGGTTTAACCTCTTTGTTTTGGGGGACAAGGTTTTTGTGTCCACCTGCACAAAGTGTTCTTAGCGCTACAACTTCATGTATTGTACGTTTATGCTAAAGGCTAGGTAACAATAATGCTGATTGTTTTGTGCCCTGGTTTATGATCAAAACGTCCTTGGTTCCATTTCCTGCTTGTGACTAACATATTTATGGATGCTTCATAAAAACATAATGTACATTGTGATAAAATTCAGTCTTGTGAGGTTGTTTTTATTGAGACAAAGTTAATATTTCACAAAGGTAATAATAATGTTTAAGACTAACATTTGTGTATCAGGCCACATCAATCTCATTCAAGCAGGTCTTTTACTCCTTTATGATACCATTCTGCTGAAGATCTAACAAACACTCCATAGGAGGTCACATCAGGTGAGCAAACTTTGACCACCAAATCCAAATAAAGGATGCTTAGGTTTTTCACCCTATCAGATGTCATTTCTTTTAAAAGATTCAACTTTCTCATTTTCGTCACTTCCGAAATTTTAATCTTAACAAAAGAAAACCCACGATGATACATCTGTTGTTGTAGAAGCTACACAGTGTATAAAATATCCACAATATCAGTGATAAACCTGGGATTTTTATAAGATGGGCCCTAGGGCCCATAGACCTTGAAAGTTGTGGGACTTTTCATGAATATTATGTGGCATGTAGTAAATGTTATGGCTCTTAAACAATTAAAAACACATGAAGCATGGAAGACTACATAAAAATGCAGAAAAATTTATTGTTCAAACAGCATCTTTAGAAATAAAGGCTACTTCTCTGTATCAGTCAGTATAAGACAGTGCAGAGAAAAAAATCAAAGTTAATCAGAACTTTCATAAAATTGTTTATAGCTTCCGCACACCAGGCTACCCGCCGGGCCTGGGGACAATACTGCCATAAACCTCACCCCCATTCTCCAGACACAAGGACAACTGTCACAAGCGTGCAATATATGACCTTTCTCCATGTTGAAGCATATAGAAAAAACACCAAAACCTTTTGTTGAAAAAAACAAGACAACATTGTAAACAAAAGACATTAATAGGGCCAACAACATATACCGTATTGTGTTCCCACTGGCTTTTGAAACTTGTCAGTCACGCTGGACTGGCAGCGCTAAATATTACCAGTCCCCCCCAACTCTGGTTTTATTTTTCTTTCATCACGTTCAATGCAGACAAAGTAGACAGTGGGAAACCCTGATGACAACAGACAAGCTGACTTTGTTTGAAAAATATAATATATTGTATATCACGGATGTTTTGTGGAACAACAAGGATTTTTTCAGGTACTTTTTTTTGCCAGTCCACTAGATCAATCAGAAAAAAAGATTACAAACCAAAAGTATTTGCAATCGGGAGGTTAACTTAAGAGACGAATAAGTTTTAAATGGAAAGTTATTGTGTAAAACAACTTAGACATCACTGGTACGTATTGCGCCTTTGGGCACACAATATCCAGTATTGATGCGTTAATTATTACAAACATACAGCAATGCCGCAGAAACCAATCCTTGATCTAATCCTGCATAATGATATGCAGCCTTTATAATTTCCATTTTGAACAGCCTGTTTATGTTCATTTTTAGCATACTGGAATCAGATAAGCTGCTCTGACTGATTACTCCTACTGCAGGTGACGTCCCTAAATCACAAATACTTCCGCAGTCATTTGGAAGATGCCCTCTCCTTGGGGCGACCTCTGTTGTTGGAGGATGTGGAGGAAGACTTGGACCCTGCTCTTGACAATGTTCTTGAGAAGAACTTTATCAAATCTGGATCTACTTTCAAGGTAAGTTCACCCTAATTACAGAAAGTTCAACAGAGATTGTTTGTGACATTTGAACTAAATGATACTATTGTTAATGTTTAATAAGATTAACTAATTATTATTTTAAAATGCAGAATCATTTTCTATTAGGGGCCAGTCACAAAATGTGAACTTGTTCAATATATAGTTATTTTCAGAACATGATAAAGCAGGCTTTGCCCTCTTGCACTTGTTCATATATGTGCCAAATACATTTTTTTTTCCATTTATGGAATTACAAGCATACTGTTGACAGTTGCAGGAGTAGATGTGCCACTGGTTATATATCCAACTGGTCTGCAACTTGTTTCGGACTAGTGATTTATGTAACATTACTAGATGTTGGGTAAAAACAACTAGCCCCTCTAGCTTCTCACTTGGACTAGTCCCCATCATTAACGATGCAGTTGTCCTAGCTCCTACAGACTGATGATGCTGAGAATATGGTTATGGTTTCAGGTGAAGGTTGGTGACAAGGAAGTAGATGTGATGAAAGGCTTCTACCTCTACGTCACCACAAAGCTCCCCAATCCATCCTACACTCCAGAAGTAAGCAATTGTTACAATGTAGTTAAACTTGTGATTTCTTTGTTACTTGTATTGAAATATAGGTGGAATAAGACCCTATTCTTTAGTTGAATTTAGAAGTTGTATATGTCACTAATGTCAAGATAGAGATTAATTGGGTCAAATTTTGAGTTTTGTCTCAGGAACTCTGTAATACGTTTTGGGTCATATTCATGAACATGAGGGTTCCAGGATGGTGACATGCTTCAAATGATTTCCAAGAATTTATGGATGGTACATCATTGCCCATTATAGATGGTGATTTTAATGTTTGACTGAAGAAAATCCACCAATGATGCACTGAACTCTGAGTGTCTTACCAGAATAAATTTGTCAGATGTGTAACTTGCAATCTACAATTTTGATTGGTTTTAAGAGCTTTACCGATTTGGAGTCCCCTAATCCTTGCAATGTTAATTACTCATGTCCATTCTCAATTTGTATGGATGTAGGATGCAGTATTTTGCATTTCGGTAAAACCATGAGATGGCAAGGATGATCAACCTCTTTATTACCGGTACAATAGCAGTGATGATTCCAACACCATTATCTAGTTAGTGATCATGTCACTTCAAATGTAATGCAGAAGATGACCATCTGTAGAGGCAACTACATGAATTGGGTGGTTAAGCTTGGTAACTTGGGTGAGTGAATGATCAGTACACGATGGAGTGGATCATTGCTCATAGCATCAATCACTGCAGGGTTCCTACATGCTTGAAGAGGCCTTGAATTTAAAGGTCCCACTTGAAAAGACTTGATATTTAATGTCAGCCGTGAAAAGCGTTGAAAACCACCAATAATAACTTGAAAAGACTTGAATTTGTATAACAGTACAAAAAAACTTGTTAATAAAAGTGTTAAAAAACACTTACATATGTATCAAGGATGTTTAAGTATGATTAATCACTGTGATAGATTTGTGTGCCAAAGAGGTTATGACACTTAATTTATTTTTGTTAATTGTGAAAATTTGTGATATTCATACTGCACTTGAGGTCTGCACTATGTTCCAGTGCACTGTGACGTCAAATCAGCGTAACGGTATAACTGTACTCTTGAAAATCACATTTGTGAAACCATTTGAGTATATTATACAGCTCATCTTTGGACTTTTGTATTTTATCATTTAAAAAAGCCTTGAAAATGACTTTCATATCTGTATGAACCTGTACTGGATTAACTGGTCCAGACACGATTGTGCCACAGTGCAGCATTGATTTCAGTGGTATATGTTATTTACATTAAATTGTATTGTAGGATTTAGTGACATGTTTGTCTGATGTTGCAGGTGAGTGCCAAAACCTCCATCATTGACTTCACTGTCACCATGAAGGGTCTGGAGGACCAGCTGCTGGGTAGAGTTATCCTCACTGAGAAAAGTGTAAGAGAAGGATAGAAAAGTAGTATTTTATCAAGTCTGCCACAGGACGCTTATATAGATGTTTAGGTGTGCCCTTTACAATTGAAGTGTACCAACTAGAAGGATAACTTTAATCTTTCATCAAATTTGGCAAATATCATTTCACCTTGGCTGGATGATCAGCACTTGTAACTTTTAAAGTTTGTCCCCTTCCTATTTATCACTGACATCAAAAATCATGTTAGTACCCCTTTCTCTTCTGAATCCCCAAATTCATTTTGTGAATCAAAATGAATTAAACATATTCATATGTTCATTTTTTTCTCAGTGTTGTCATGTTTATTTGTGGTTTCATGTTATAAACATTATATGGTTGCCCTACAGGCAAATGAAACATAGTTTAACTTTCTTAAACATTTTTTTGGCACTAAAATTCAACGACCTTAGTCTGTGAAAATTTAGTTAAATTGCAAAGAAATATGTATACAGATAATTTTAAGAACATGTACATATTAATTCTTATAATGACAACATGCAATCTGGCTACAGATAGCGTAGTCATGGAACTTATGATGCCTGCATATAGCCCAGTCATGGATGCCTACAGATAGCCTAGTCATGGATGCCTACAGATAGCCTAGTCAAGGATGCCTACAGATAGTCTTGTCATGAAGCTAATAATGCCTACAGATAGCTTAGTCATGGCTGCCTACAGATAGCCAAGTCATGGAGCTTATCATACCTACAGAAAGCCTAGTCATGGATGCCTACAGATAGCCTAGTCATAGATGTCTACAGATAGCGCAAACATAAAGCTTAACATGCCTACACATAGCCTAGTCATGGAGCTAATGATGCATACAGATAGCTTAGTCATGGATGCCAACAGATAGGCTAGTCATGAATGCCTACAGATAGACTAGTCATCGAGCTTAAGATGTCTGCAGATAGCATAGTCATGGACTCATGGTATCTTCCCTTGACCAATATCTTAGCAGCCTTTCAAGATAATGTGTGTTCTATGGACAATACCTTGTAAGATATTCAAATTAGCTAGAGATAATCTCATGATAGATTGTAAATCCTTTGTCGTCTAATATTCAGGGAATATGTTGATCCTATTGTTGATCATTTATTTTATCTGTACCACTGTGATGTTGTTTTTGCTACAGGAGCTGGAAGCTGAGCGTGCGCAACTGTTGGTTGATGTGACAGCCAACAAACGTAAGATGCAGGAATTGGAGGATAACCTGCTGTACAAGCTGACCAGCACAAAGGTAGCTGACAACATCCTTTACTTAGTGTTCTATTAACTCACCTCCCATAATGCTTGTACAAGCTGGCCAGCCCAAAGGTAGCTGACAACATCCTTTACTTAGTGTTCTATTAACTCACCTCCCATAATGCTTGTACAAGCTGACCAGTCATAGGTAGCTGACAACACCCTTTACTTAGTGTTCTATTAACTCACCTCCCATAATGCTTGTACAAGCTGACCAGTCATAGGTAGCTGACAACACCCTTTACTTAGTGTTCTTTAAACTCACCTCCTATCCACATGTACAAGCTGACCAGTCATAGGTAGCTGACAACACCCTTTACTTAGTGTTCTATTAACTCACCTCCCATAATGCTTGTACAAGCTGACCAGTCATAGGTAGCTGACAACACCCTTTACTTAGTGTTCTTTAAACTCACCTCCTATCCACATGTACAAGCTGACCAGTCATAGGTAGCTGACAACACCCTTTACTTAGTGTTCTATTAACTAACCTCCCATAATGCTTGTACAAGCTGACCAGCACAAAGGTAGCTGACAACATCCTTTACTTAGTGTTCTATAAACTCACCTCCCATAATGCTTGTACAAGCTGACCAGCACAAGGGTAGCTGACAACGTATTTTACTTAGTGTTCTTTGGACTCACCTCCTATCCACATGTACAAGTTGACCAGTCATAGGTAGCTGACAACACCCTTTACTTAGTGTTCTATTAACTAACCTCCCATAATGCTTGTACAAGCTGACCAGCACAAAGGTAGCTGACAACGTATTTTACTTAGTGTTCTTTAAACTCACCTCCTATCCACATGTACAAGTTGACCAGTCATAGGTAGCTGACAACACCCTTTACTTAGTGTTCTATTAACTAACCTCCCATAATGCTTGTCCAAGCTGACCAGCACAAGGGTAGCTGACAACGTATTTTACTTAGTGTTCTATTAACTCACCTCCTATCCACATGTGAAAGCTGACCAGCACAAAGGTAGCTGACAACATCCTTTACTTAGTGTTCTATAAACTCACCTCCAATAATGCTTGTACAAGCTGACCAGCACAAGGGTAGCTGACAACGTATTTTACTTAGTGTTCTATTAACTCACCTCCTATCCACATGTGAAAGCTGACCAGCACAAAGGTAGCTGACAACATCCTTTACTTAGTGTTCTATAAACTCACCTCCAATAATGCTTGTACAAGCTGACCAGCACAAGGGTAGCTGACAACGTATTTTACTTAGTGTTCTTTAAACTCACCTCCTATCCACATGTACAAGCTGACCAGTCATAGGTAGCTGACAACACCCTTTACTTAGTGTTCTATTAACTAACCTCTCATAATGCTTGTACAAGCTGACGAGCACAAAGGTAGCTGACAACATCCTTTACTTAGTGTTCTATAAACTCACCTCCCATAATGCTTGTACAAGCTGACCAGTCATAGGTAGCTGCAGCTGACAACACCCTTTACTTAGTGTTCTAGTGTTCTATAAACTCACCTCCAATAATGCTTGTACAAGCTGACCAGCACAAGGGTAGCTGACAACATCCTTTACTTAGTGTTCTATTAACTCACCTCCCATAATTCTTGTACAAGCTGGCCAGCACAAAGGTAGCTGACAACATCCATTACTTAGTGTTCTATTAACTCACCTACCATTATGCTTGTACAAGCTGGCCAGCACAAAGGAAGCTGACAACATCCTTTACTTAGTGTTCTATTAACTCACCTCCCATAATGCTTGTACAAGCTGACCAGCACAAAGGTAGCTGACAACATCCTTTACTTAGTGTTCTATTAACTCACCTCCCAGGCTTAAAACGTCATAAAAAAACACCTAACATTAATAATTCAACAAACCCCGCTGAAAAGGCAAATAATCTCGCCAACCACTTTTCGGCCGTAAGCAGTAACAACAACTTTAGCCAAAAATTTCAAGATAAACTTAAAACAGAAAACAAATCAACCAAAGAACCAAATAATGACAACCTAGAAATAACCCACCCTTACACAATGGAGGAGCTACTCTACGTCATCCAAAACAGGAAAAAGGGCACAGCCCCAGGATTGGACCTAACTTCCTACCAAATAATTAAAAAACTCCCCCCTAAACTACTCCAAGCACTACTTAAATTATACAATCTCATCTATCAAAACGGACAAGTACCTACTCCCTGGAAACAGGCCTTAGTCATACCAATCCCTAAACCTAATAAACCTGCTAATCAGGCTAACTCCTATAGACCAATTTCCTTAACTTCAAACTTATGTAAAGTAATGGAACCTATGGCTAAAAACAGACTACAACATTACCTAACTCAAAATAACATCATAAACCCAGATCAAAGTGGTTTCACTCCTGGCCGCTCAACCTTAGATAACCTCGCCCGTTTAGAGCAGGACATTAAAACAGGACAACTCAGCAAACAATGTACTACAGGCATCTTCTTAGACTTCTCCAAAGCTTTCGACATGGTATGGCACCACGGGCTAATACAAAAACTACAAAAAATAGGACTCAAAGGTCAAATAATAAACTACATCCAAGACTTCCTAAACAATCGTAAAATAACCTTGGGTATAGACCAAACGCTATCGGACCAATGTCCCCTAGAAAATGGCACTCACCAGGGCAGTATCCTCAGCCCCACACTCTTCAATATAATGATAAATGATCTATTCCAGGGCCTATCCCCTAAAATAAACACATCTAAATTCGCGGATGTTGGAGCCCTCTGGATCCGCACAAAAAGCATTAAAATGGCCCAAAACCTACTTCAAAAATCTCTAAACAAAATACAGCAATGGGCTGACAAATGGGGCTTCTCCCTTAACTCGGAAAAAACTACAGGAATAGTATTTAAACACAAAAACATGAAACCCGCCTCCCAAAAACTCCAGCTAAACAACAAACCAATCCAATTCCTAAAACAAACCAAATTCTTAGGACTAATTTTCGATGAACATCTCTCCTGGGACGCTCACATAAATAATCTAATAACTAAATGTAGCAAAGATCTAAATACGCTAAGATGCCTCACTGGCTCAAACTGGGGGGCCTCCAAAGACACCCTCCTCTCACTCTATATATCACTAATTAGATCTAAAATAGACTACGGATGCGTCATATACGACACCCTAAACCAATCCCTAAGCAAAAAACTAGACTCAATCCAATATCAGGCTCTAAAACTAATAACACGCACTCAACATGGCACCTCCTACACTTCACTCCAGGCCTTAACAGGAGAAATGCCACTAAGTCTACGTAGGGAACAATTAACCCTAAATTTCTGGGCCGTGTCTCAATCCAACCCCCTAATTCAAAGCCTAATAAACAAAAATATAAGCCCAGAAAACCAAGCCCTAGCTCGAAAACACCCTCTACTTACTCCAATATCCCAAAGAATAACCAATTACTTAAATGAACACCAAATAAACAATCTTAAACAAAACTGTAAAAAATCAAATATCTTCACCCCCAAACTTAAAACACCCAAAATAGACATAACACTAGCTAGCACAATAAATAAACAAACCGACCCAAACATAGCCAAAACCACTACACTAGCATACATACATGAAAATTGGCCAAATTGGTGTCACATTTACACAGACGGATCCTCAGATCCGATTTCCAAACACACAGGTTTCGGAGTTCACATCACACAACCAACTTAAGCCACACAATCCTACCGACTCCCAAACAATCAATCAATATTCACGGCAGAACTAATGGGCATGGCCTCAGCCCTTCATAATCAACAATCTAAAAAAAAAAAAAAAAATCCTAATACTTACCGACTCGCTCAGTGGACTACAAGCCCTCCAAAATAAAAACACCAAAAACCGCCCTGAACTAATAAATCAGATACTAAAAACCTCAAACGATTTAACTGAGGCAGGCAAACAAATAGTATTCATTTGGATCCCCGCCCACGTAGGAATATACGGCAATGAAAACGCCGATAAAGCAGCTAAACTATCCCTTAAAATCCCAGAAATAAGCTTAAACCTACCCATCTCCAAATCAGAAATTAAAAGTGTTAACAAACAAAAAATCACCAAAAAATGGCATAACCTATATCAAAACTCAAATAGCCAAATCAAAAAGGTTCTAAAAAAAAACCTAACCAAACCAAAAATTCTACATCCGTCCAAAAAAATCGACAGAGTAATTGCTAAACTCCAAACAGGACATACCAACCTAAATAACCACCTCAAAATAATAAGAAAACACGCAACAGGAACCTGCCCACATTGCAAACAACAAGAAACCCCAGAACACGCACTCATACACTGCACCCACTACCTAACACACCGAACTACACTACAAACCACCCTAAATCTAAATAAGGCTCTTACTCTAGAAGCAATCCTAAACCCACAAAATAAAATAGAAAAATTCAAAGCCTTAGGCGTATACTTAATCAAAACAGGACTAATAAATCGCATTTAAAACCCCAATAAACTACCAAAACCAGACCACATAATCAAACTAACAAACTTCCATACTCAGGTCCCTTAGTTCGTCCCCCAAACCCTCTTGGCATTTTTTCAAAATTTCAAAATTTCCCAAATTCTATATAAGCAACCACTAAAACACCCCTACTGGATTGCCAAACAACTTTTTCCCCTTTTCGGAAACACATTAAATGGCCTGGCCCGTGTGCAAAATACGCTGCAGTCCGAAAGCGCACGTAAAATCTCCAATATAAGTAAGTAAGTACCTCCCATAATGCTTGTACAAGCTGGCCAGCACAAAGGTAGCTGACAACATCTTTTACTTAGTGTTCTCCCAGCCTTAAACATAGCTGCACAACGTTTAACAGTGGAACAGCTAGAGAACTTATCCCCATACATTTGTGACATGTGGCCATGAATTTCTTGGGGGTACTTTTCTCATAAGTCAAAAACTTCATGACTGCTCATTACTTGTTCTTTTCCATTTCTGTGTCTATTTGGACCCCTATCATGTTCAACTGGCTGTCACTAATATACAAACCGCCTCAACAGACTAAATACACTTGCAATGAACTCTTCAAACAATGTACTATATTGACTAGTTCACTTTCTTATGGCCCATAGTTTAAAGTTCAGGCTTAGAACTTTTTGACCAGCCCTTGTAATAGCTACATGTTCTGCCGCCTTGTAATAAAAATAAGCATTCACAGCAGTAATCGTCCAAAAGGTGGGGCTTCCAGATTAACAAGATCATGACTAATCAGATTTCACTTTGTCAGTGAGGACTGTAAAATGTATTGGTACCTGTTGGACATTGACTATTTTTATCAGGAACGTTTTGAGGTGCCCATGAATGAATTGTGTCCTACAGGGCTCTCTGGTAGATGACGAGTCTCTCATAGAGGTGCTGTCAGTCACCAAGATCACAGCTGCTGAAGTCAGTGAAAAACTGACAGTGGCTGCAGAGACGGAAATCAAAATCAATGAAGCTAGAGAAGAATTCAGGCCAGGTTTGTTGCCAGTTTCATTTCTTTATTTAACAAAAAGGCAGTGTGAACCAACAGTGGAAATTTAATAATTAATATATTTGTGCTGGGATGCAACTAACCTAAGACAATTACCAGCCTAAATAGTGACAATGTATAAGGACACCACTAAAAAGCCTGAAATTCTTCTAGCCCTAAGGATATCTTTAACATCAGACAAACTGATTCTGACTCATGGGCTAGTGCAAAGGTGCTTCCTTGCATTAGGTATTCTAGGGCAAGAAGGGGCACAGACAGACCAGTCATCCTGGTAGCCGTAGTTCTGTACGGTGTGTTGCATCCCTCAGGCGTACCAGGAGCCTATGACCTTGGCTTTCCCAAATTGTGTTCCTGTTTGTGATTGATTAGTGTCAACATACCGGTAGATACTTTTTTTTCCACAATATGATTTTGACTCAAATGCATGTTACTTTCTCAATAAAACAGTTGGTGACAGTGTGAGCAATGGTCAAATTTTTCAGCACCATGAAACACAAACTATCATCCCACACATTGTATCAATAGAATAATTATTTGTGATCGAACTGATCCCTTCAGTGCTGCATCAGCAGTCTTTCAGCTACTCTGACCTACAATCCAACTTACGGATTCCTGGGATGGGTTGGTTTGTTACAATGACCAAACAGCTGACTAAAATAGTCTTGGTGACCAGAATGGCTTTACATAGTTAGTGTAACTTTTTCTCTGCTGATCTGCTGAACTCATGATGGTCCGAGTTCGAATTTGTCTTCAGCTGCCCATGTTTGTTGTAAGACACAACTAACGAAATCAGGTGGTCAGTCTTGATTGCCTAGATTGTTGCTCATAGTATCAATTCCAAGTCAGTGGTTGAAATTTAGCATGCAAGTCAAGGGGTACTTGTCACAACCGAGAGGTTGAAAGTATTAAGATTTGGAGGTCCCTAGATTGAAATACCATAGAAGACCTCAAGGACCCCCCAAGTTTCAATCACTGCTCAGAGACCAATATATAAAAAACAACTCTCAATTTTAAAGAAAATAATAAATGTTTTTCCAAATTTGCCTGCCAAGGGCACTTAATTTGCAATCCTGTATAAGTCCTTGTGGCTGGTTTGTCTGATCCAGACTTGATTATTATCCCCCGCCGCGCGAAAGCGCGAAGCGGGGGATATAGTATTCACGACCGTCCGTCCGTACGTCCCACCTGTTTGTTGCCGCGATATCTCAAGAACTAAACACTGGATTGTCTTCATATTTGGAACTATGGTGTATATACAGACTTCGCAGACACCAGTCGGTTTTGGTGACCTTGATCCCATTTTCAAGGTCACAGCAGACAAATCTGCTTTTGGAGTTGGAAAACGGTGTTGCCGCGATATCTCAAGAACTAAACACTGGATTGTCTTCATATTTGGAACTATGGTGTATATACAGACACCGCAGACACCAGTCGGTTTTGGTGACCTTGATCCCATTTTCAAGGTCACAGCAGACAAATCTGCTTTTAGAGTTGGAAAACGGTGTTGCCGCGATATCTCAAGAACTAAACACTGGATTGTCTTCATATTTGGAACTATGGTGTATATACAGACACCGCAGACACCAGTCGGTTTTGGTGACCTTGATCCCATTTTCAAGGTCACAGCAGACAAATCTGCTTTTAGAGTTGGAAAATGGTGTTGCCGCGATATCTCAAGAACTAAACACTGGATTGTCTTCATATTTGGAACTATGGTGTATATACAGACTCCGCAGACACCAGTCGGTTTTGATGACCTTGATCCCATTTTCAAGGTCACAGCAGGCAAATCTGCTTTTGGAGTTGGAAAACGGTGTTGCCGCGATATCTCAAGAACTAAACACTGGATTGTCTTCATATTTGGAACTATGGTGTATATACAGACACCGCAGACACCAGTCGGTTTTGGTGACCTTGACCCCATTGTCAAGGTCACAGCAGGCAAATCTGCTTTTGGAGTTAGAAAACGGTGTTGCCGCGATATCTCAAGAACTAAACACTGGATTGTCTTCATATTTGGAACTATAGTGTATATACAGACACCGCATACACCTGTCAGATTTGGTGACCTTGACCCCATTTTCAAGGTCACAGCAGGCAAATCTGTTTTTGGAGTTGGAAAACGGTGTTGCCACAATATCTCAAGAACTAATCGCTGGATTGTCTTCATATTTGGTACTATGGTGTACAGGCGGGGGATATTTCGTCACTCTGTGACAAATACTTGTTTGGAAGCTGACATAACAGCTAGAATATAACCGAGTGCAGTGTTCAACAATAAACAAAGGGTAATGAGAGGAATCAGTATTAATCTGTTGACTTGTTGCATCGATCAGCATTTTCTTCGCACAAAGTGAGACATAAATGTTCTCTTTCCAGTCAGAGGCAGACTGAATTATGACATTTTAGACTTGATCATGTAACATTGGGTTTGGACATGTATAATTAGGGATGTTTGTGAACTTTTCAGTGGCCAACAGAGGAAGTAACCTGTACTTTCTGATCTGTGACATGAGTATCATCAACTGCATGTACCAGATCTCTCTCAACCAGTTCCTGGGCATCTTTGACATTTCAATGGCCAGGTCAGTTACAGTAGAGCACTCAATAGGCATGACAAACAATAGCCTTTCCTATGGGATACCTGTCTACACTGGTGATGAATTAACAGAGACATACAATTCACTTTGTCATTGTTCAACTTCAGACTATGTCAGTGATATTTGCTAGAGACAATTGGCATTTGGACATATTCATGATTCTATGATCTTTTTATAGGACATTCCGTCTTCCAAATTTGAGAAAAATCTTTGGGATGACAATCAGTGTCCTAGAAGATTAATATACAACCTTGCAGTGTTATGTTTTATCAAACATACTGATAAAATAGGGAGTTATCTATTTTTAGACATGGTGCCAATTGGTGTGATTGATAATTGATTATGACGTCATCGTGTGAGGGGGAAGGGATCGATGTTTGTTTTTCCCTTGAGGTGGGGTCACAGATTTCAACTTCCATCACGGTAAATATTTAATGTAAATTAGAAGTTATCGTAATTATGATCGCTGCATTTTCTCAATGACTATTTTCAAGGCTAAACAATGCCACGTATTACTTTAAATCTGCTAAACATTGAAGATTAACTGATTTGATTTGCAATTGTTTAATTGTATCCCATGCCACAGGAGCGAACATCAAGGACCTGATGACTCCCCTTAAGTTCAAACACTGAATTCATGTGAAATGAACATATTGTATTCATAAGATACGGGGCTCCAGGTAAAGCCTATATTAGCGTTTGTACAGATGAAAATATGCTGGGGGTGAGAATAATTATGAAAACATATCAGATACACATCATGGTATACATGTACAGTCTAACATTCATTTAAAGGTGTTTTCCCCCCAAATTGTCTTCTGATTTCAATCAGCGTGTCTTCTTGAGTACAGTGTGCACTGTCCAAAAACACAGCTGTGTAAAGGGGTGCACATTATACATGCCATAATGAGTTTTGATGTTTTTTCCCGAACGCAGAGACATTACCATTTGTACATAACACTGGAAATACCATGTCAACAAATCCGTAATGAAGTACGCAAATTAAAAATATAATTACACTGTCTGGTTACAAAAGGTGTTCATTGTATATCTGGACTTATGTTTGAAACCTATTTTCATAATTTTATTTAAGATTTCATTCAATTGTTTAATCGTGTGTAAATTGATCGGTAGATCGCACAACTCATCATGATTTACAGCAACCATGGTCAGATGACATTATTGACGCCTTGAAATGAACTTTAGCTGACAGAATGGATACATATATCATAAATGATTCGTTAAAGTCATATTTGTTGTAGTTTGACTGTTACACAATAACATTGAGTTTTCTAGAGCAAATGCGGGAGCCTGGACAGTGATATTGTTCCATGCATAAAAAATATCCAGCAATAGCAATAAGCTGTATCAAAGTTAGGGAAACGCTTCTGGTTAATATTAGTTTAGACATATAGTAATAAAGCTGCTACTAAAATGACACAATATTGGAATATATTATTCCTGATAAAATAATAGTTTCAAGTACAGTTCTTCCGATTACTGCATCAAAATTCTTTAAAGTTATTATATCTTGGGAAATTTTTAACTGAATCATTGGTAGATTGTGAGAAAACGTGTGTACAGCAGATTGCTGATTCCGGCTCAGTTTACAAGAAATACACACAGTAATCTTAATCTCTTTTAAAACTGGAAGTACAATTTAAACAGTAACTCATCATGTCTACTGATGTTTTATTTCAAATTTCAAATTTGTATAAACCAAATATATCACCTGTTTGTTTACCTGAATTTGTTGAAGGGATACGATGTAAATGACTTTTCATATCTTTGAATAAAGATATAACTTGAGCCAACTTCAGTGTATGCATGACCAGATTGTTTAATACATGTATCTAAATACGTTTAGACAGTGCTATGGTAAAAAATGCCCAATCGGACATTTTGTACCTATCTCTTGAGACCTGCACTGGGTACCCAGGTAGGGTCAGGTAATAGGGGGATGGGTACCAGGGTAGTAAATTCGGACTCGTCCCAGCCTTAATAGAGGGGTTGCGCATTATACAATTGACATACATGTACAACGAAAAAAGTATTGTTTATTGTTTTTTTACCTGTTTTAACGAAATTAGCAGTGCTGTGGTAAATATCTAAAATGAAAAACAAGATTAATCCATTAAATTCCATTCAGTACTCTAAGTGTACTCTTCAGTTTTGCCAGTACTCCTATACTGAAGTAATAAGGAGTACGGACTCCTGATGCTGAAACATTATCTGGAGCCCTGAGATATGATAGAAAACCAGTACAGAGACTTCCTCAGCCTTTTTGAAGTATTTCGTATATCCAAAATGTTTAAAAATTACAGCTGTCTTGTTTCATCTTTTCAGATCTGAGAAAAGTCCAGTTCCATCTAAGAGAATTCACATAATCATTAATTACTTGACGTTTGAAGCCTTCCGTTACACATGCCGAGGGTTGTATGAGGAACACAAGTTCCTGTTCACGTTGTTGATGACACTAAAGATAGATGTTCAGTATGGCAAAGTGAGAAATGAGGAGTTCCAGACTTTCATCAAAGGTAAACCATTACTGCCATGGATGTCAAACCACTTTTCACAGGGCATTCTTGGGCCATCCATTCAAACTAAACTCATCTTTCATGATTGCAACTAACCAGTCACCAGGACTGAACTTGCCTTCTTGTGTGGCGTCTAGGATACAATCAGAAATTGTTGTAGCTGGAGGACTTCCTTGAAACATCAAAGCTACAGATAAGCTGCGTATCTGCTTACATTACAATACCCCCAAATATATTCAAAACCCCAATTACTTTCAAGTAACTTGCATACAGAAATGCATGCATAAAATGAAAAAACTCAAATCAATAAAAACAGCATATGTAAAATATCCAATGAAGCTTTTTCAGCATACGTACAATGAAGCTAATTTCCGAAACAAAATTATGAGCTAATTTGCTTTCCGAGTCAAGCCTATATTTAGAACCGTAATAATTCATCTAAAACATTATTATTTTTCTGAAATCTCAAAATGTGAGCTCATTTTGGGAAAAACCCAATAGAGTGATGAATAGATGAGTGAAAAAATATTGGTTACCCAATGAAAAATGTAATAACCCAATTAAAATAGAAACCTTCAAGTAAAAACTCAATTGCTCAAAAAGTTTTCTGCAGCTTTGAAACATTCTTGGAGAGTGTTAGCATTTTGTCTACAAGCACCTATATCCATAGTCAAGAAATGAGCAATTTCATAGTTTTTCTGCTCTGTCCTACTTTCACTTTTGACATCAAACTGATTTCATAACAGTGTTTGCAGTGTTAGAAACTGCAACTTGTCCTGTAGTCCTTGTCAAAAGCCCAATAGTTAAGGTATCATAAGGACTAGTTGAAATTTGCCATTTTTTAAAGATTTTTCTGTTTATTATCATTATAAGGACTAGTACACTAAATTTGTTAGTTTCTATCGCTGGTTTGTGTGTATCTGTATTGCAGAATCAATAAATGAGAGAAATTAGATAAGTTCGCCACTTGACAGAATTACTGTATTCACTGTATTAAGTGCGTCCATAACCACTTTCTAGACCCTTCTGCCTGTAATCTTAATAACTGCCCTCTACTAGAGCTAATATACACTCTCAAATAACTATTGTATCTGTGGTACAATAATGGATGCAGATTAAGTTCCTTTTGTTAATCATCAATGTAATGATGATGGTCATCGTTTACTTTAAAGACTGGTAGTGTACATGAACGGAAAAAATATATGTCTATGTGATTGCTACAACAGTATTGATTTCGTCATCTATTTAATGCTTATCGTAACAGGACATACAAGTAAAGTTGTACCTTTCATCACCAAAGTTTGATGTTTAAACTCTTTGAAAGTTGGTCCTCTAAAATCAAATTTAAGTCCTTTGGTTTTTTTTTTAGCACCCACCCTGTCAATCTCCAAAGTTCTCTGTGTGTTTTTTAAGGTGAATATGGTACTTAAAGTTGAAATTGCCTGTTGAAAGGTGGGGCTGCTCTGGATCTTAATGCTGTTCAACCAAAGCCCTGCAGGTGGATATCTGACATGACATGGCTAAATCTGGTGCAGCTGAGCTTTCTTCAGCAGTTCTCTGAGATTCTTAATCAGGTGAGTCTTGCAGTCCACTGCAAATCAGCCACCACTAAATGCTAAATCTGCAACAACTTCTTGGCGGGGGAATATAGGAATGGGTGCTATCCTTCTGTCCATCCATCCTTCTCTGTGTCCGTCACATTTTGTTTCCAGAGCTGGTGTTAGTTTGGGATTTAAAAAAAAACTATTTTTCGAGTTTCCCTGGCAACGACCTTGACTTAGACTGAAAATGGCAGTAGTCCTCGTTTCCAGAGCAGATCTTGAAAACCGTACAATATTTCTTCACCAAACTTGACACAATAATTGTAGTAAACAAAAAAGCATTGGATGAGAAGACTAGATTGCAGAATGAAAGACACACTGTGTAGAGAACATTCACGGTAATGTAATCAAGGTGGCTCACTTGAATGTTCAATCTCCCAATGCTCATTTCCAAGATGTGAAGAAGGATAAGTTTGTTGGAGTCGTTCATGTTTTGTGTTCCACAGAAACACACATCAATGATTACAGTAAAAGAGACCTGCAAGGATATCAAGTATATGCAGGCGTCACTACACATGGTATTGCTGTGTATGTTTCAACAAGTTTCAAGAACAGTGTCCAGCTATGTGATGTAATGTCATCTCACAGTATTGAATACATTTCCTTTTGTTGGCAAGTTCTGCATTGCTTGTGTGTATCTTCCTCCAAAAGTGTCACTTAAGGCCCCATTACACAGGGCTGCCACTTTTGTGCGATCAAAAACTGGCCAGGACGCTCAATGGTCGCCTAAACCCAGAAAATCATGTTTCTATGTAACTGCTCCAGCAGTTGTTCAGCAGTAACTGCTCGAGTTGTTCAGCGTCTGCAACCACAATGAAACACTGTAGCCCTCTATTTAAAGGCAGGCTGAGGAGGCACTACAGGTAGCTCAAAGGAGGCAGGAAAGAGGCAGAAGCATTGCCATGGTGTCTCAAAGGGTTGCCGTAGTAGCCAAATAGAGGCACGACGGTCGCTATACTCAACGTTCAATGCACGCTGTTGGTCGCCCAAAGAAGGCACAAGGGAGGCTGAAGCATCGCTTAGATTTACGGGACAATATTTCAACAGAACGCATCTATTACCTGACGACCATTGGGCAACCACTGGGCCTTCATTCTGCAACAACGGCAATGCTTGTGCCTCCCTTCTGCCTCCTTTGAGCCACCTTTGAGCAACCAACCTCCTCGGGGACCTTTGTGCGACTGTTTTGAACATGTTCAAAAATTCATGGCGTCCATGGCAATGTCTGAACCTCCTGTGTACCACCTTGGAACGACCTAGGCAACCATTCTGCCTCCTCTGAGCCTCCAACAACGACCTGATAAATTCTATGGTCGCACACGGGAGGCACAAAGGTCGCCATCCTGTGTAAAGGCCTCATTACTGATTTCATGCAGAAACTTCAGGATCTCTTCAAGCAGCATGAATGTGAACATGTCCTAGTTACTGGGGATTTCAACTGTGATCTGGGTGAAAAACTGAAACTTGAAGATTTCTTTAATGTGCGGAAAATGACTCAACTCATTCACTCCCCAACTCACTGTCTTGGAGCTACACTGGACTTGTTGTTTACTGATCCTGCCAGTGCTGTAGCAGTCCAGACTCCAGTCTACTACTCAGATCATCAGATGATTGGTGCTGTACTTCTCAGTACATCTCATGGTGACCCCTGCTCTTAATGATCTCTAAGTAAAGTAAGAACTCCCTTACTTCTCTGATTATTGTTTAAGTAATAACACAACTCATTACAAATACAGTTACATATTCTATCATAAAGTGCAGATGGTAATACACAACAGTAATAACTTTCTTAGTGCTGCAATGAGGTCATTTTCAAAAAGGTTCTGTGAACATAGTTCACAGCAGCTGATGCATTGCACACAACTGGACATGTCATATTGGTAGGGGATATGAGTATTTCATGCTTGTTAGAACATGCATTTGTTCACTGCTCATGCTCTTGCTGAAGAAATGGCACCAAACAGAGTAGTAACTAAGCATTTTGTAAATACTTGTACTTGTGTTCGTGCTGAAGATGCACAAAGATGTATTATTGTGAAGAGAGCATCATGCACATATAAATAAATAAATAAATAAATAAATAGACAAATAAACAAATAAATAAATACAGCATGCAAGTCACATGTAGGTCAGGAAGATGTTATTCTGTGTATTCATATGTCTTCACTGCACAAATAACAGAAGTGGTGCATGTTCAATCAATCTTTCTTCATTATCATACTGATAGAGCTGATATGCTGTTCAATGTGGTGTTAAACTCCACTGTCACTCACTCCAGTCAATAGGGGCAGGAGCCCCGTTACAATAAACACACGTTTGATACTGGGTACACAAGTAAAGAAAGTCCTGTTTTTGACATATTTACAATCACTATGAAAATGTTTGGGCATCAACAACCAGTGACTGAAATGCATCCCTTTGTTCCATACATAGGATTGCTACAAATGTATAACAATGATATCATTTACTCAAATCAGTTTGAGAGACACAGGTACAAGAGTTTTTATATATTTGTTTAATTATCTTTCCCCTGTCTAGATTCTGGGTTAGAATTGGTCCCCAGCAACCAATGCTGTGTGAATGAGGCAACTTAATGGATCAGTGATCAAGCTCAGTGACTTGGTTGATGGCATACCCCAACGGGGTGGGATCGTTGCTCATAATATCAATCACTAGTTTGTTTTGGTCAAGGTTTATTTACAGGCTGCCTTCATATAGCTGGAATAGTTGGAATGTGACATTAAACAACAAACAAATCCTTTGTTCTCCAGGTTCCAAGGAATGAGAAAGGGTGGAAATCTTGGTTTGACTCTGACAATCCCGAGGAAGAACAAATGCCTGATGGCTACAGCTCCTCACTAGATGCATTCCGCAAACTGATGCTCATCAGGTGGGTTCCAGAGATAGTGACATCTTGTAACCTGCAGGCCAGCAATGGTATACAAATTAGTCTCTTCCTGCTATACTTGGACCACATTGAAAAAATATTGAAATCACATCATGCGTTTCTGCAACAGTTTGGAAGGAGGTGGGTCAAGTAGCATGGTACTCTATGCTGTTGCAGTGGTGAATGTATAATCAATTGTATTGCAGCATGTTTACTGACCTATTACAACTGTCATACAATACTGTTTCTTGGTATTTGTTCCACATTGTTGACAACATTTGTTATACAATGGTGCTAGTTTGTTTGAGCTACATTGTCAAAGAGATAGATCATCCACCAATTTTGACAAAAGAGGGTCAACTCTTTGTTATTGTGGTATTGCTACAAATGCACATGTGAACTTGTGGAATATGTGCTTACATCACCTCCTAATATCACCACCTTCATACAATATGAATCATCATTATGCAGATGAACAGATGAACTGTGTTGAAATAGCAAATCAATTGTCACATAAATATATTCACACAACCAAATTAGATTTCAGATATTTTTGCAATGTTATTTCAAGGTTGGTTGCATCTTGACATGACTCTCATTACGGTGTGATGGTAGGTCGTGGTGTCCAGATCGTACCATTGCCCAAGCCAGGAAGTATGTGAGTGATTCAATGGGAGCAAGGTATGCTGAGTCTGTGATACTGAACCTGGAGGCTACATGGGGGGAGAGTGAACCTTCCGTCCCCCTCATCTGCCTCCTTTCTATGGGTTCAGATCCAACCAACCAGATCGAGCACCTGGCAAAGAAGCTGCAAGTTGGTGAGTGAAATATCTATCTGTCCTGAGTGTGTAGTTGTTCCTTGTAGTGTTATTATACCAAAAAATTATACACCAGAACAAGTTTGATTGTCAAAAACCATTTCACCAATGAATCTGAAACTTCACATACCGTATTCGACGTAATAAGCGCCCATGGCGATATTTGCTGATATATTGGCTAGTGAACAATCCCAATTAGCACCCCTTCCAACTGATCAATGTACACAAGACTTATTTATTCGTGTATAATATGCACTCGTGTGTTATGTGCACCCTTAATTATGGGCAATTAAATTTTCGAAAATATATCTGTCGTGTGTTCTACACACAGACTTTTCTTTTGTATCATTACAGGCTGTCAGCATAAACCACAAAATTTACGATCTTTCAACTCTGTTTTTTTTTCACCAAAATTTATTCTTATGAGGGCCCCCAATTTCTAATTTTGAGAGCGCCCTGGGCACTTATTCCTTCGAAATACGGTACTTGTTCCCACTAATGGTGACACCGGAAGTGTTCAAGAGGTTTAAATGTCATTATAGATATTGCCACCATGGGAGCCATATTGGAAAAGCTATTTATGGCCATTACGAAGTCACTTTTGCTCAAAATTTAATAAAGTTTTGTACATCTGTAGTTAGTAGTATGTCTTTACATATGTTTTCGATTCCTTGCGATATTTTAAGTTTTGACCTGGTTTGTTTTGCAAAATTTTAAGTTTTTACCTTTATTTCACCTTTGCAGCATGCTCCTAAACTCTCTGAAACTACATTTCCTCTCACTGTAAACATCCTTACCTCAGAAACTACGGTAACAATGAAGCTGAAACTTCATATGCCACCAATGATGACACCTGAATATGTTCGAAAGGTTCAAATCTGAAAAAGCTATTTATGGCCATTACTCTGCCATTTGGTACATGTGTAGTTTGTGGTGGGACTCTACATTATGTTATATGTTCTGGTGTGTATTCAGTATCTAATATTTTGACCTTGTTTCTCAATGCTTTTTTTGCATCTTTGCCTCTTTAACCTTCTCTGAAATTGAGAGACTGGGGGAACTGAATTTTGGCATGCAAGTTTCTTCCTTTTGATCACATAATTGTTTGTGTAGTTAATTACATGTTAATGTTAAGTAAGTTTTAGTACTTGAATATCAATGTCATTGAAGTTCTTGGTAAAAACAAGAGTGTCCTATGGGACCAGACAGTGGTCAAATTGAGACTATTATTGATGAGAGTCTGTAACCCTCTGACTCACGAAAAAATAGACCGAGGTAAATCACTTGGTGTAGAATACTTTCATATTATTCTTTATTTAGAAGCTTATCTCAAGGTTGTCTAGTGATTGCTTTGAGGTAAAATTGGTTTTGACCATATTTTGTTTGATTTCAGATTTCCGTGCCATTTCTATGGGACAGGGTCAAGAGGTTCATGCCAGGAAGCTTGTCAATCAGTTCATGCAGAGTGTGAGTGGGTTCTGCAGTCTCTCGCTGAGTTATCTTTGCACAAAGGATGTCCAAAGTCTATGCAAAGAAAATGATTTGCAACAGTCACAACTAAGAAGATTTTGTGGAATGTTGGTCATAGCTGTTTGCATTGATATCAAGTGTTCACCTTCACTTCAACATATGATACTGACCAAAAAGTATTAATTATGTTTAGTTCTGAATATTGAATTAATTAGTTATGATTTCAAGGTTAAATAGTTTCTCTTGGTCTAAATTTGTTATTATTTTCCAAACTGCACTTGTCATTCTGCAAGTGGTAAAAGCAAAGAAAATATTTGCAATTTATCGTGTACACAACAAAGGTATTTGAGTGCAATCTGACTAAAAAGATAACTTGACTTACTACAGGGATCTATATATTCTCAGAGGCCCGTATTTGTTTCTAAGTTTGCAACAAATGTCATTAAGAATTCCCAAATTGGAATTAAAAATTTCTCAATTTCTGGCTGTGAACAGGTAACCTGTATTTTACTGATAACAGAACCAAATGATAGGAAGAGGTTTTACTGCTTAGTTTTATAGTATTGCAATTTTTTAAATCAGCAATTTAAGAACATCCAATTTTGAACAAAATTATTTTTTTACCAATTTGCCTGCCAAGGTCACTTAGTTTAGAATACTGGATATTCCCTGTCCAAACATGTACAGAATAGTTTTTACTCAACAAATAACTTTCTATATACTGGTTGTGTTCAGGGTGGCTGGGCACTGCTACAGAACTGTCACTTGGGACTGGGGTTTATGGAGGAACTGATCGACATCCTGGCTGAGGCAACTCAGATGCATGATCAGTTCCGTGTGTGGATTACAACCGAGGTCCACCCTCACTTCCCCATCAGCTTGTTACAGGTAATGTCACATGATACAGAGAAATAAACTGACATTGAAAATCTGCCCAGTATTGGTAACATGGAGCATCCCTAAAGCGTATCAGCATGCTGGAAGTAATATCACATGATATTGATAATATTAATTGTACTTGCCCTGAAGACACCTTTAACACTGGGCAAACATATTCACCCTCAGGGCATCTTAACGCTGGGCAAACACATTTTCCTTCTTAGGACGCCTTAAATACTGGGCAAACATGTTCCTTCTTAGGATACCTTTAACACTGGGCAAACCAGTTACCTGAAAAAAAAAGAATTGGTTCTCAGGCAACAGCTTTTGAAAATATCGTGCGGGCGGGCGGCTTTTTTGTTTTTGTTTTTTTGGGTTGTGTACAAACTAGTAAGAATCCAAATCTGTATATCGCTGTTTAATTACACTGTCTGGTTGTAAAAAGAGCTATAATATTTCTGGACTTATGTTGGTAATCTATTTTATTAATCTTATTCAACATTTCATTCAATAGTGTTTCAATTCAATTTGGTGAAATCGTATGTGAAGTGATCAGAAGAACGCACAACTCACCGTTATTTACAGCAACCACGGTCATATTGACGCCTTGAAACAAACTTTAGTGGATAGAGAATCGATATATATATCATAAATGCCATACATTGAATCGCTGAAAGTCATATTTGTTGACGTTTGACTATTATATGTCAACATAAAGTTTTGCAATCGCGGCCGCGGGAGCATCGACGGTGATTGGTCAAATAGATTCCGAGAAACATTTGTACAGCTGATTGCTACTTTCGGCTTAGTTTGCGAGACAAGACACACGGTAATCTTAAGCTCTGCATATAAAACAATGCCAATCAGAACAGGAAATACAATTTAATCAGTAAATCATCATGTCTAGTGATGTTTTATCTCAAATTTCAAATTTGTATTGATTTCACTGAAAGGATAGGATTTAATTTTTTTCTGAGGCAGACAAACACGTTTTTATTGCAAATGTAGGGATTGTGTATGCGCAGGTGACGTGCTTCATTCAGATTCACTCTGAAGACGGTGTATATATATCAGCATCATTTTCCCGCTTATTTTATGAGACAAATAAATATGTAAATCTTAACCTCTGCGCATGAAACATTGTCCCGCATACAGTACACAGATACCATAGAAATTTGTAAATCATCATGTCTAGTGATGTTTTATTGCAAATTTCATGTTTTCATTGATCAAATTTGCAAACGGCAAAACAAGCACACTCCTATTACCCTCATAACCATAACACACGCAATGCGCAGTAAAGCAGTGCGCATGAGAAGGGAAGTAACTGCACGCTATATTGGATCGCATTGTTTTTAAGGTTTGTAGCATTTCACTGTTGGGGTCATGTGTTCGTGACGTGGAATATTTAAGGATTTTTTTTTTTTTTAAATGGAAATAAAAACGAAACATGCGGCGGACTTTGTGATGATGCGGCGGTGCACCTTTAACACAGGACAAACATGTTCCTTCTTAGGACACCTTTAACACCGGGAAAACTATACCTGGTTTTTAGGACACATTTAACACTGGGCAAACATGTTCCTTCTTAGGACTTTCTTGTTACACTGGGAAAACTTGTTTCGGCTTAGGACATCTTTAACACTGGGCAAACAAGTTCCTTCTTAAGGACACCATTTACACAGGGATAACAAGTTCCTGCTCAGGGCACCTTTACCACTGTGCAGACTGGCTTAGACATAACACATTTTTAACATTTGACAAATTTGTTCTAGTGAGTGCAAATATCTCTGGCTGATAATGTCAGCCTACACGAATGATTACAACAGACATTGTTTTGTCTGTTTGCAATGTTCTAAGAGTCAGTTGAAATAAATTTATTCCATTCACTTTGCGTTTACAGATCTCGATCAAGTTCACCAATGAGCCTCCTCAGGGAATTAAAGCTGGCTTGAAGAGAACCTATGCTGGTATCACTCAAGACTTCCTTGATGTGTCTAGTCTCCCACAATGGAGACCCATTCTCTATGGCGTGTCCTTCCTTCACACTGTTGTACAGGTAATGTAATTAATTGTTACCGGTACTCATTAAAGAATCTAGCTATTTAATTGGGCAGTCTTTGTTTCATGAAAACCGATACAAATTGGCTGGTCGGCATTTAATTTTATTATGACACCATAATGTTTGATTATGATGTGACTTGCTTGTCACATCACAACCCTGCTGCACATTGAGTTTCCATGCTGAGAGTTTGATGGTGGTCACAAGACACATCCCTAAGTAACTTGTCTTTCAAAATTTGTAATTTATCCTACCCCTATATGTCTCTATATTTAAGTGGAATTTTAGAAGACATAGTAACAATGCGATCAACAACTGAGCAGGAAATGGTTATGCATTCATAGCTTTGTTATTTATACAGAGATAAACAAAAACAACAAACAAACAGGAATGAGAAAGTGAAGGTAGGGATTAAGCCTGACAGATTTATGATAGAGATGATTATGGGATGAGACTTGTAACAACAGTGTGTAATTCTAGTTGATGCGATGATGGTAGGCTGTGGGATGAAGACTGTGAGTGAGTGATTTGTATTTAACGCCGCTTTTAACAGTATTCTAGTTAAATCACAGCGTGTCAGCTTAATGTGGGAGGAAAGCCCGACGTGATGCAGGTCTCAGACGTTTACCACTTCGGTGAAACCCACGAGCACGGAATGAAGAAACGTTGGTCTCTTTTGATGGTTGGCTTGAATCTTTTGATGTAGATAGCTTCTGCATGTTTTCTGATACTGTTGTTTTTTACTTTGGAGGCAAGGACAATGAGGCTGGTCCACTGAATGTGGGGATTGGGGTTTTACTGAATGTGATCTGAGATGGCGGATTTGGAGTCTTATCTGCCTGTATTACTTAATCATCAAAACTTCAGGTTATTGAACTAGTGACAATTTAAAATGTTTGTACTTCTTTAGGAAAGAAGGAAGTTTGGTCCACTGGGCTGGAACATACCATACGAGTTCAACACGGCTGACTGGACAGCTAGCGTGCAGTTTGTACAGAATCATCTGGATGATATTGATATCAAAAAGGTAGGAAAGAAGAGAGCAGAAATATTCTGTAAAGTATGGATGTAAGAAATCCCTGCGGATCTTTAGAATTGTCTTCATCTTTAGACTTAACACTATTACCATTATTCTCTGTGGTTAATGTTGAAATATGGGACTTTATGTGTCATGTGAAGTTCGGTGTTTGTAAAATAGATTGTATATAGAGAATCTCACCCGAGTGTCTTTTGAGTTGATAAAAATGGGATGACTCCGAGGCTTGCCGAGGATTTTTTCCACTTTTATCAACGAGTGTTGATATATTTGATATCAAAAGTCACAAGGGTGAGATTTTATTTATCATCCAACATCATTCTGCAAACCTTTTCAGTTTGTAGACAGTAATAAGCAGTGTCTTAAGTGTGAAAAGTAGCAGAGCCATTAGTGATGTCATTTGATTGTGACGTCATGGTAACCACTGACATCACAATGGTCTGCAAAGCATTGTGATGCAATTTCATTGCAGCGATATCTACAGTGTAGATATCGCTTGATCTCACCCAAGCGATACCTCCTGTGGGAGCCAGTTTTGGATGATAAATTCTATTACCCATAGGGTCAGAAATAACCGAGTTTATAAAGATTGTCATTTGAATCTTGTTGTGATGTAAGGGCGGAATGACATCACCCTAGAAACAAAGATATAGAAGATTGTGGTTTTCTGAGACAGTGGCCATGATCAGTGCATATTTCTTAAGGGGAGCCCAAAAGGATTAATAAGAAATGGTTAATAATGTTATTATAACACTCATATGTATGTCATTCTGATTTTACGAAAGTTGTATAAGAATTCATGTATTATCATGAAATTAATAAATTCTGACACTTGTTTCATAAAATCACAATGCCACACATGCTCGCATAATAGTCTCCATATATATTGCTTTTTTGAAAGAAAATACCATAAGGATTCTATGATAAAATAAGTCCTAAATTGTCCAATAGATGAGTATAAGGTTATGACATGTAGATACAGAAGTTCTTTCAAATGAGAGCCTGTGGAGATACTGCTTTGCAAGTTTGAGTGAATTAAAATTTCAACTTCGCATCAGCATTGAAATGAAAAGGAATTATATCAATACATTAATGTTTCATATAAATGCAATTTTTCAAACATATTTTAGTTGCAAGCTCATGGCTAGATATTGCAGTTGAGTATATGATCGACTAATACCCTGATTTTTCATTCGCTCAAATCGCATTTTGGTTCCCTTCATAGACCACACGATTCAAAACAGTTCCTAGATTTTGAGAACATAGTAGCAGTATCAGGGAGAGAAACTAAGAGTTTTAGTCCACTAGTCCTTATAATGATAGCATATAGCAAAACCCTTTAAACCACTAGCCCTTATGATACCTATTGGGTTGGTTGGTTTGTTGTTTTACAACGCACTCAGCAATATTCCAGCTATATGAGGGCGGTCTGTAAATAATCGATTCTGTACCAGACAATCAAGTGATTAATGTCATGAGCATCGATCCACGCCATTGGGATCGATGACATGCATCAACCAAGTCAGCGAGCCTGACCACCCAATCCCGTTAGTCGCTTTTACGATAAGCATAGTCACCTTTCACGGTAAGCATGGGTTGCTGAAGACCTATTCTACCCCGGAATCTTCACGGGTCTTTAACTATTGGGCAGTTTGGCTAGAAGTTGGCACTTGCCCTATAGTCCTTGCTTAACTATTGGGCAGTTTGGCAAGGACTATAGGGCAAGTGCCAGTTTCTAATGCTGAGTATTGGTCAAATCAGAAACATGGTATTCTTGTATACCAGTACAAATTTAAGTTGCTTTTCATTATAGTCAGCAATAGTCTATCCATGTCACTGTCCCTGTAAATAAGATAAGACAAATTTATTGTACATATACACCCACCTGGGGCTGGGTACAGAAACAAATTAAACACATTTTACATTATGACAGTCAGAGATATTATACAGTAACCATGGTAATGTTAATAATAAAACACATTGTCAGAGTAGATAGTAATAGCACCGTGGTGGAACATGCACAGTTGCTGCATCTTGCTGCATTTGAAACATGCTGTGAATTGAACGGGCTTTAAGGGCTGAACAATCAGGAGGCGGATTTTAGAAGGAATCTTAAAGCAGTGATATTATTGGTATTGGAGATACGGGCTGGAAATGATGATATTATAGAAGTGTAGAGAAAGCAATTGAGGAAGTGGTGTTCATCTTCAACCTCTCCTGAGTGGCACAGACTACATAATCAAAGCTCCCTTGGTTGGTTTATGTAGCGCCCTCTCTCAATTTCCACTGGATGGGCACTTAGATGCAATTTGGTCAGAGCTTGCCGATGTTGTTTTTGTTTTTTCTGACAGAACTAACATAACATTTTATTTCAAGTTTTGTCACTAATTTTCCCCAGCAGTCTCAGCTTGTGTGTTTTGTCTTTTGCTGTAGATTGAGATGTTTCATTACTGTAGATGTGTATAAATTTGTTGTGCAATACAACCCACCATCAGCATGGTCACACATTGAACCACCAAATCCTCATTTAGTTGGAGTCATTATGTAGACTTAATATTAAAATAGAGATAGGAGTAGGTTAGCTATTACTGACATGTACATGGCTGTATGTCTTGTACTACAGGGTGTCTCATGGACCACTCTACGCTATATGCTAGGAGAGGTGCAGTATGGAGGCCGAGTCACAGATGACTACGACAAGAGACTACTCAACACCTTCGCCAGAGTAAGTAGAACTGTTTCTGAAACAATCCGTTACGAGGAATCTTTCATGACTTTGTTAAGTACATTAAAAAAAAATAGTATATGTGTATATGCTGCATAAAGATTACTGGATCTAAAACCATACTGAGTCAGGATTAAGGGACTATGGGAAGACAAATCTAAATTATGTTATGCTCTTTGTTGGGTAACATGACTTTAAGAAGTACCGGTAACTGTCTTCTCTAAGTTCAATGACTGATAAAGGTTTGTCAATCATCTCTTTTCAGGTTTGGTTTGGCGACTGCATGTTCCAAGCTGTGTTCCAGTTCTATCATGGCTACAAGATCCCCTCCTTGCGAACTATTGATGATATCATGGGCTTTATAGAGAATCTTCCCTTGGTAGACTCCCCTGAAGCTTTTGGTCTGCATGGTAACGCTGACATCACGTAAGATTAAAACCTGGCTGACTTGTGATAGAAGCTTCACAGTGAGATACCAACCTTTGCTGGTGAGTGAGTGAGTTGGGTGTAACGCTGCTTTCAACAGTATTCCAGTTATATCGCGGCGTGTCAGCTTAATGTGGGAGGAAAGCCAGAAGTGATGCAGGTCTCAGACATTTACCGCTTCAATGAAACCCACGAGCATGGGTATGGTGCTGACAAACCTTGAAATAATTGGGATGAACCGGGATTCGAACCTACAATCATAGGTTTCTGGCGTGCCCAAGGGACGCAAGTCTCCACAGCGAACAGTGGCACCTTAGACAAGTGGGCCACCCATGCCTCCTACCTTTGCTGGTGAAATAGCAGTAGATATTTTCACATTACAAGTGAAAAACATGAATAAAAGTAACATCTTCAAGAAGAAATGGATGCGACAAGAAATAGAATATGACATGGTATCACTTGAAAACTACAGTTTATTTGAGTTCTAAATACATCAATGAATTGCATACATCTAAGAAAAGAGGAATGTCTGGTGAAAACTACTACTGCAGATGTAATGAATTCCATGCATATTTGTGTATAATGAACACACTTTCCTCCAAAATAGAGTTGTATTGAGGGGGGGCCGCTGTGTAGACTCAGACAATGAGTTTTCATTTTGTTTATCCCAAAGCAAAGACATTATAGCCACACATAGCAGGGCAAAGAGCCTGTCAATAGATCAATACTTGAACACAATTTAGTCTGGTTATAAAAGTGTTGAGTGTATTTCTGGCTTTTTGTTTTTAATCTATTTCATAAATTTTATTCAAAATTTCATTCTCTGGTTTTGCATCAATTTTGGCAAAATCACACCAACTCATGGCATGTACAGCAGTCACGATCAAATAGACTGCTATTCCTTAAAACAAACCTTTTTGTCTGTTGTTTAACGCTGCACAGTATTCCAGCTATAGGACGGCAGACAGTAAATAATCAAGTCTGGACAAGGCAGTCAAGTTATTAACATCATGAGCATCAATCTACACAATGATAAGATGACATGCATCAACCAAGTCAGTGAGCCTGACCTCCTGGCGTGTTGTTGTCAGAAAATGAATACATATATCATAAATGCCATACTTTGACTTGTGAAAAGTGTTTCTGGTTTTTATTTGACTGTTGTATGTCAAACTATTTTTCTCTGAGGACAACAGGATGCCATCATACACAGCTTGGTTAATCTCAAATAGTTGCTTATCAAACTGTTCAATACTTAAAAAATAACTGGTATTACACCAAAGTGCTGCACTTATGACTATTCAATATTTTTAGTATGTGGAGTAGAAACAGCAACTAAGAAAAAAAGAAGTTAGAATATATTCTTATTGGAGGATTATAGTTTCAGATTTAACTTCTTCCCATCATTGCATTAAAATTCTTTTGAGTTAATATTTTGAGTATTTTTTAACTGAATCATCAGTATATCCCCAGAGCAAAATGTGTGTACAGCTGATTGCTATTACCTGCTTATTTTACAAGACAATTATGTGTGATATTCTTAATCTCTACAGATAAGTGTCCTAGGTAAACATGGAATACAATTGAAATTGTAAATCATCATGCCTAGTGATGTTTTTTTGGTGCAAAATTGACATTTTGATTGACCAACTTTTTTTCCTGAGGTATGTGCGTTATACTAAAGTGCACATAATGCACAAGAGAATTTGGTGGTCATGCAGGCCAGATTTGTATTGTCACTTTCACATTTGCACTATTTGATTTTTAGTTTGTGATCCTTACCTGCATTCCATCATGTTGTGGATAGGTGACTTGAAATATGCTTTTATAGGACTCCTGATGCACAACAATTGGAGATGAACAGTGAACACAAAATCATACCACCACTTCAAAAACATATAGGAGTTCCAACTGCACAATAAACTTTGGCAGCTCGGGAAAAGAGTTGTGTAATATCAGTTGTACTGGCTTGTGTTGTGCAGATATCAGTCCAACCTGGCCAACTCTGTCCTGGAGACAGTGATGAGTATCCAGCTAAAAGTCACAGGAGGAGGTGGAGGAGAGACCAGGGAGAGTGTTGTGTATTAATCAGTTGTACTGGCTTGTGTTGTGCAGATACCAAACCAACCTGGCCAACTCTGTCCTGGAGACAGTGATGAGTATCCAGCTAAAAGTCACAGGAGGAGGAGGAGGAGAGACCAGGGAGAGTGTTGTGTATTAATCAGTTGTACTGGCTTGTGTTGTGCAGATACCAAACCAACCTGGCCAACTCTGTCCTGGAGACAGTGATGAGTATCCAGCTAAAAGTCACAGGAGGAGAGACCAGGGAGAGTGTTGTGTATTAATCAGTTGTACTGGCTTGTGTTGTGCAGATACCAAACCAACTTGGGCAACTCTGTCCTGGAGACAGTGATGAGTATCCAGCCAAAGGTCACAGGAGGAGGAGAGACCAGGGAGAGTGCTGTGTATTAATCAGTTGTACTGGCTTGTGTTGTGCAGATACCAAACCAACCTGGCCAACTCTGTCCTAGAGACAGTGATGAGTATCCAGCTAAAAGTCACAGGAGGAGGAGGAGGCGGAGAGACCAGGGAGAGTGTTGTGTATTAATCAGTTGTACTGGCTTGTGTTGTGCAGATACCAAACCAACCTGGCCAACTCTGTCCTGGAGACAGTGATGAGTATCCAGCTAAAAGTCACAGGAGGAGGAGAGACCAGGGAGAGTGTTGTGTATTAATCAGTTGTACTGGCTTGTGTTGTGCAGATACCAAACCAACCTGGCCAACTCTGTCCTGGAGACAGTGATGAGTATCCAGCCAAAGGTCACAGGAGGAGGAGGAGAGACCAGGGAGAGTGTTGTGTATTAATCAGTTGTACTGGCTTGTGTTGTGCAGATACCAAACCAACCTGGCCAACTCTGTCCTGGAGACAGTGATGAGTATCCAGCCAAAGGTCACAGGAGGAGGAAGAGAGACCAGGGAGAGTGTTGTGTATTAATCAGTTGTACTGGCTTGTGTTGTGCAGATACCAAACCAACCTGGCCAACTCTGTCCTGGAGACAGTGATGAGTATCCAGCCAAAGGACACAGGAGGAGGAGGAGGAGAGACCAGGGAGAGTGTTGTGTACAAGCAGGCAGACGACATGTTGGAAAAACTGCCTCGGGATTATATTCCTCATGAGGTTTGTATTGACACGATGTCATCATGAGTTGTGCAATGATGTTGTCCCAATAGAATTGGCCTTTGGCTCTGCCATGGACAGTATGGAGCGCAGTTAGTCCAGACATTGTGATTTCCCCCCATACTAATATGGACCCATCCCCAAATAATTATGCTGTACTACGTTCATGTCCATAAAACTCATTAGGACGTCTTCAAATTTTATTCTTTCGGTCATGGAAGTTGAGAATGAACCTCAATTCATCAGAAAACATGACATTAGCACAATGTCAATTGTCACAGTGACGTTCTCTACACCTCTCTCACCTCTGATTCAAATTATGTGCAGCAACTTGAAGACACATGGACATTGTGCAAGCAAATGCCATCTGTGTTGATGATTTCACAACATGTAGGCATATATACTCTTACACCTGTTGCAACCTGTCCCTTTTCTGAGTGGCTGGTTACAACTGATTTCTTAATCAAGTTAATGCTATCATTCTGACTCATCTATCTTGGGCTGGAGTTGTTGCCCTTGGGCGTCCAGAGCGGTGTTGATCATCGACATTATGTGTTTGTTGGTATCGGGCCAACAATCTGCCGATGACAGATTGAGAAACATGCAGCATTTGGGCAACAAAAGTCTGATATGTGCCCTCCTGCAACATACCTATGGCACGTAAAGGTTCAGCATGTTGCAAACATCACATCATCAATGCTGTTGCTTCCTTCTTGATTAAACGTGTTTAACTATATAGTGTCTTTGAGCAATTGGTTCCAAGAAAACAATATGCATCTGCTCACAACCGAGTCTGAGTGACAATGGTAAATCTGGCGTATCACCCCTTGCACATGCTGTCTGAGGTGACATGCTTCATGGCTATCAAAATGTTGTATTTGGGAGCTAGATTTCTTGGGAATGTCCTTGCCATAAAAATCGCTTACTTTCATTGCCAGACATTAGTGTATTTTCCTGTAGTTTCACCTCAAAACAAAATATCCCCGTCCGTCTGTCTGTCTGTAATCATTGTTTGTCTGGAGCATATTTCCTAAACCGTACAACCTAGCTTCACGAAACTTGTTACACTGAATAATCGGGCTCAGTAGAAGTGCCTTTTGCTATTTAGAGATTTTTAGAATTTTTATTTTTGTCGTTTCCATGGAAATATTATGAACTTAGGAAATTGTCCAGAGCATTTTTTCTAAACCGTACAACCAAGCTTCGCAAAACCTGGTACACTTAACAATCAGGCTCAGTAGAAGTGCTTTTTGCTATTTAGAGATTTTTAGAATTTTATATTTTTGTCATTTCCATGGAAATATTATGAACTTAGGAAATTTGAGGGTAGTGCTCTTGTCCGGAGCATATTTCCTAAACCGTTCAACCTAGCTTCCCAAAACTTGGTACACTTAACAATCAGGCTCAGTAGTAGTGCCCTTTGCTATTAAGAGATTTTTAGAATTTTTTATTTTTGTCGTTTCCATAGAAATATGATGAACTTAGGAAATTTGAGGGTAGTGCTCTTGTCCGGAGCATATTTCCTAAACCGTACAACCTAGCTTCCCAAAACTTGGTACACTTAACAATCAGGCTAAGTAGAAGTGCCTTTTGCTATTTAGAGATTTTTAGAATTTTATATTTTTGTTGTTTCCATGGAAATATGATGAACTTAGGAAATTTGAGGGTAGTGCTCTTGTCCGGAGCATATTTCCTAAACCGTACAACCTAGCTTCCCAAAACTTGGTACACTTAACAATCAGGCTAAGTAGAAGTGCCTTTTGCTATTTAGAGATTTTTAGAATTTTATATTTTTGCTGTTTCCATGGAAATATGATGAACTTAGGAAATTTGAGGGTAGTGCTCTTGTCCGGACTGTATCTCCCGAACCATACAACTTAGCTTCTCAAAAGTTTTTACACCTATCAAGCAGGTTATGTAGTGGTGCCTTTGCTATAAACAGATTTTTTCTCTTTTTTTTTCAATTGAAAATTGATGAACTTAGGGTAATGTCCTCATCTGAAGCATATCTTCTAAACCATGCGACAGAGATTCACCAAACTTTATGCAAATATCAATCATGTTCACTAGTAGTGCAGTTTGTTATTTATAGATTTTAATCTTTTTAATTTGTAGCCCCTGACATATAATGAAACAAGATGTTTAGGTTTGTTTTTTTGTCAATCCCTAGTACATTCTCTTTATGCCTTTGTGTCATGAGGCTACTAGAGAGCTATTCATATGCGAATCTGCGGAGTTATTGTTATTTCAATTTCATGAGATCACATCTTCGGATGACTCTTGTTTGGCATAGTGTTTGTACTAATAACCATATGGTACTCATTTGTTAGTGCTGTACCATGCTGTGCTGTGCTGGAAGATAGCACTGAGAATGGTATCATTGTATATGATGCTTACTCAGATCTATTCTCACCTGATAAACTCAGGGAGTGTGTATCCGAAATGTAACCTCATGGCTGGTTATCAGCAAATGTCTGAAATGTTTAGAAATACTTGAGCATGCTTCCAAGTCTAGATCTGATTGTATTGGCTAAGTTTTGTGTTATGGCTAAGTGTATTGAAGTGACAGCCCTTGAACAATTGGAATACATTATCTATTGTTCAATTGTCTAATAAACTGAATTCTCTTCTGTATGGTCTGTAATGTCTCTGAAGTATAGTAGATTATTTCTGTGAATCTGAAATTTTAACTCTCTTCTTTTTCTTTTTTTGCCTCTGACAATTAGATTCGAACATTGATATATTGATGCATTTTTGTTTCCAAGAGAATAAAAATCATGTTTTGATATAATAATGATATGCTGCGTACTCAGGTAAAGATCCTATGTGTGATCCAGCCGTCTAAGATGCTTAAATTTGCTGTACAGGGTTGCTTCCCTTAGTTGTTCTAGGGTCTGCTGATCATGATTTCAAATCCCCAGATCTCCCAGATTATTAGCCTGGAATAGTCAGCACCATGTCATCCTTGTGTGTTTCAGCAAAGAAGTGAAATACTTAGACCAGTACTGCTTTGGGCTTTCCTCCAACATCAAGCTGACATTGAAATATTGTTCCATTGAAGCATTGAACTCAACACACTCACTGTTTCAGGTAAAAGAGCGTCTGAAGAAGATGGGCTTCCTGACTCCATTAATCATCTTTCTGAGACAGGAAATTGACCGTATGCAGCGAGTCATCAGAGAAGTGAGAACCACACTGACTGATCTCAGGCTGGCTATTGACGGAACCATCATCATGAGTGAAGTATGTTCACCTCCACTGTTCATTGCACACTTCCAGGACAATTCACTCTCTGGATTTAAGTCAGAAAACCTAACATGAATTGACTTGAAAATTCCATTAATAGGGATCCAGATAAATTTCCTAGCCATTGACACCCTTGTGTCCTGTCTCATCAAAAACCCCTCTAATATACTATTTATATGGAAAGTTACGTTAAAAAGGCATACAATTTCATGGATTCAATCAGGTTTTCAAATTCATGTGTTTAGATCTGGAAATACATTTAGGTAAGCAATAATTGTGCATGTTAATGCTTCTATCAAGAGAGTTCATAAAATCTTTTAATCAGTAAATATGGTCTGAATGGTCTAGGTAATATTCTGGGGATGGTTGAGAGGGCCTGGGCTATATTATGGGGTCACTGCTTCAATTAATTTCTCTTTATAGGGGACTCGAACAGCAAACAGTTACTTTCATTTTTGTCAAACCTGAGGCGAGATATTTCAAAATACCCTTCCACCCACTGTCCCAAAATGTCAAGTGATGGATCCCTTATGTCAAACATGTGAATCGGGTCAAAATTATTTGAGATAATAGCAACTAAAACATGGTTCCTATCATCTGGCTAGAACCTGCGTGATGCCCTGGACAACATGTTCGATGCGCGAGTTCCCAACTTGTGGAGGAAGATCTCATGGCAGTCCTCCACCCTGGGCTTCTGGTTCACAGAGATGCTGGAGAGGAATGACCAGTTCCATCGGTGGGTGTTTGAGGGCAGGCCTGATGTCTTCTGGATGACTGGATTCTTCAATCCTCAAGGTAAGACACCCAGCCCCACACACTGTACTCCCACTTTGCAGGGATTTACCTTATCTATATGTTTGCAAGTCCTATCAATTGTTGTCTGTCTTTAGATAGGGTTATGGTTAGAACCTGCACTTTGGCTCTTGCCAGTCTGTCAATGTTGGGCCCCGGGTTAGAATAGGTCCTCTGCATTCCTGCTGGCCCTAAGACATGAAATGGGATTTAACTATTGCACTTTTGGAGAGAAATAGTGTGTATGTGCACAGTGTGTGCATGTGTGCCCCACTGAGAAAACATGAATACCCTATTCAGACACAGTATACTGACTCCGAGCCGGCCAGTCCTTGTTTTATTGCCTTAATGCCGAGCATCAGGCAGGTTAACAACAAGTACCATCTTTTAAGTCTTGTCGAGAAGTGACTAAATTTGAAGTTGTCATGCTTTGTAACTTCGTTGAATGTCATCCTACCCTGATGGTATGGAATATAACCACCGGTTTGTCTGGTCCAGATTGGGATTATGTTATAAGAAAAACTAATGTGTGTATTTCCTCTAATACCGTGTGCACAGGTTTCCTGACTGCAATGCGACAGGAGGTGACCCGTGCTCACAAAGGATGGGCTCTGGACTCTGTCACTCTGCATAATGATGTGATGAAGACCTCCAAGGAAGACATAACATCACCCCCTGCTGTGAGTGTGTTTATTCATAATGTGGCAAATCAGCACCCTTAAAGGGCAAGTTCACACGGAAATTAACCTATTTTTCTTGTACTTTTTCCACATTAAAAGTGTTAACCTAGAAGTGTCATAGACAAAAATATAAAAATATCACAATTAATTAACATATTTTTCGCATTAAAACGATTTATAATTTTCACATTTACCAAGTGTTCTATTTCCACAACAAAAACACCATGGCTTATGCCCCTTGCAATATGACGTCATTGGTGCCAATTGATAAACATTATGACGTCATCATGCTTTGTTAGAGCCGCTTCACGTGGTGTAGGTCTAGTTGTGTGATTCTAGCGTCTCAGATGCCAGCCAGCATAGTGTTATGCTGAGTCACCACTGCGCCGGAGTGTGTCGTAGGCCATGTTGTTTTACCGCAAACTGGTACTTGATATCTTTTGCGTTGAGAATAGACAGGGACCCAGTTGAATTGGCACCAATTACGTCATAATCTAAGGGGGATAACTCAGGCATGTTTAGCTCGAAAAACGAAGGCCTCATAACGGTATATCATTTTCACACTATTGTGAGCTTCCTACTTTCACTGTGAAAAAAATGAGTGTATATTTTCAAACACAGATACTAATTAATTCTAAAATTGCGTTTTAATTAGAAAAAGAAAGAAAGTGATTTTTGCGTGTACACTTCCCCTTTAAGCTTGCTCAAAGCACCACATTACTACCCCCGTCATTTCACTCAATTTCATTCTCAGCTCTCTCTGCAGCATACAACCCATGGTGCCTTATGAGGTTAATGGTTAACAGTCCCATTACTATCTCATTCTACCAGGTACCCATTCACTGCTGACTAAACAAAGGCTATTTTCAAACAAATTCCCTTTTGCCTTGGAGATAAGATAAGACATTTTGGATTTTTCGTCTATTCAGGACAGCAAGTACGTGGCAGTGCCGACTTGTCACCTACTTTTGCATTTATTGTACACCAACTTTTACCATCCATCTACATAAAAGGGCGTGTTGGTGGTACTGATGACTTCTCACTCTTTTGTATATTATCCCCCGCCGCAACGAAGTTGGCGGGGGATATTGAAATGGGTTCCATCCGTCCATCCGTGCGTGTGTGTGATTGATTTGATATTAAGGAGTTTTAGAAATGTTTATTTTAAAATTTCCATTGCAGCTATTTTGACATGGGCTAAGAGAAATGTTGGGTCACTTACCTGGTTTTGGACCATAACTTGTTAAAATTGGCGGGGATATCGCTGACATTGTCGACTATACAGTTGTTTATTGTAAACCTAGTTTTACCATCCATCTATACAGGACGGTTTGTAAGTGGCAGTGCTGACTTCTCACTCACTTCGCATTTATTGTAAACCCAGTTTTACCATCAATCTATCAAGGAGTGTGTGTATACATGTGGCAGTGCTGCCTTCTTCTTCACTTGTGCATTCCTTGTAAACCCAGTTTAACCATCTCATCTATTTAGGAGGATGTGTATGTGGTCTCTGATGATTTCTCACTCACTTACTTACTGTTAACCCAGTTTTACCATTCATCTATTTAGGAGGGCGTGTATGTGTTCGGCCTGTATCTGGATGGTGCTGGTTGGGACAGGAAGAACTGCCGTCTATGTGAGTCAACTGCCAAGGTGCTGTTCACTTCACTGCCTGTGGTACACATGTTTGCCATCAACTCTACAGCTCCCAAGGACCCACGACTCTATCAGTGTCCAGTCTACAAGAAGCCCCACAGAACAGATCTCACATACATAACCTTCATAGTCCTCAAGACCACCCCGAGTCCAGATCACTGGATTCTTCGGGGTGTAGCTGCACTCTGTGACATCAAGTAGAAGTGTCTATTAAAATCAGATCCACGGTTTATTATTTTGGTAACCCTGTGTTCAAGATATAAAATTGTATGGATCTTATTCTTTGTATGGTATTCGTTATCCATACAGAGGAAGTCTTAACTGGTTGTACAAAACTTACAATAACAGTAATCTCTAAGATTTAATATAACAGTTTATAAAATGCCTACATGAACTGTAATTTATATATATATACTGTGGTATTGCTTGTTTTCAAAAGTGTACACCTTTAATCGTTGGATATTATTCTATTACAAAAATGTACTGTTATATATTATTCTGTTAAGGATTTATTTATTTAATGGTGCGTTATTGTTCTCATTGTTGATGTTTTGTTGTCTGTTTTACATGAGAATAAATTTGCTGCATTCAAATTGATTCATTGAGTCTTTGTGAAGTTGTTATTCTCCAAAGAAACAGCCCTGTTGGAAGAGGTTTACATGTTTATGTCATCATGGCTGTATTGGGGAGCGATTCAAACGTTCAATGTTGGATAAATGTTCAATGTTTTTACATCAGAGAAATAAAAATGATATATTTTAAGCCAGCCGGAAACACATATAAAGCGATGAAATCAAGAGTCACAGACAAGGTAATATTTGGTGTAAAATACCAAAGAAAATGAACTGAACTGCATGCAGCAAAAGTGAATGAGAGTAGCACTGCAGCATTCTTTACACTATTATGTCACAGCATTTTGACTTGTTGCGAGACATCATAGCACTGTATAACATCAATGAATGCAGCTGCATGCTAGAAATTGAGGGAACTACGAAAACGCAAATTTAAAAAAAAATATCTTAACAGGAGAATTTAAGTTTTCTTATATACTCAACAACAAAAGTTCCTGTGACAACAATATTTTAGTGTATATTTCAAACAAGTAAAGTTTGGTTTTCAATATTGTAGTACATGTATGGAAGCAAGTCACAAAAACAACTGCTTCAGAAAAGCATGCATTCCAAGCAAAAGTTGACTTTGATGCAAGCCCCATGCATTTCACTACCCAAGAATGGGTATAAAAACATGTGAGCTAACGGGATTCCATATGCATTGTTTAGCATTGTGCTGACAACTACCACTCAGAAAAACATCAAAATTACGCAATTATTCAACACTACGAAATGCCACGCCTGTCCAAAAGTGAGTGTCTGCAAGCCATTGGTATGCTTGAAGCAGGATCGAGTCAACGTGATGTTGCAAGACAATTTAACGTCCACGGAAACACCATTTGGTGTTTATGGCAACAGACGAATGCAGTCAGAGACCATCCTCGGAGTGGCAGGCTACGCGTAACCAAAAATTCCACAAGACAACTGGATTCAAACAACACACCTACGGAATCGATTCAAGCCAGCAACAGTGACTGCAAGAAGCATCCCTGGCCTTCGACGAATATCTTCACAAACCGTACGTTGTCGCCTGAGATGTGCAGAGATTGTCGCCAGAAGACCCGTCAGACGTCCCATTTTGACAGGAAACCACCGTCAAGCACGTCTACAGTGGTGCAGTGGTGGTCTACGCTGGACGGCCATACAGTTGGGACAAGTTCTATTCACTGACGAGTCTCGTTTTCACCTCAGCCACATCGATGGACGTATTCGAGTGTGCCGACGTCGAGGGGAACGTTAAGTCAATCATTTTTTCATGGAAGAAGATCGGTTCGGGGGCGGCAGTGTTATGGTATGGGGTAGGATTACAACAAGACAGAGGACGTTTGATAGTGGTAGAGGGAAATCTCAATGGACAGCGCTACCGCGACGAGATCATCGGCCCTGTTGTTCTACCGTTTTTGCGTTGTCATGGCCCAGGCATTACCTTTCAGCATGACAACGCCCGGCCTCATATTGCGCAACTTGTTCAGGATTCTCTTCAACGAAACAATGTGATTGTCATCCCCTTGCCGGCACACTCCCCTGATCTCTCACCAATCGAGCATATGTGGTATGAGATGGATTGGCGCCTTCGACGACAACCACAACCACGTGTTCCACAGACACTCCAGGAACTTCGAAACATGCTCCAGCAGATATGGACAGATATCCCACAGGACTTTGTGCGACGCCTGGTCCATTCCATGATTCCATGAGGCGAAGATGTGTTGCTTTCATTGCAACCAGAGGTGGACACACGCTATTGATTTGTAAATTGACATTTTGGCATGTTCATGTGTTTTTTTTATGAAATCACGCTTTTTCTGAAGTCAATATGGCAAATTAAACCACTTGAACACTTACAGGAGTCTTTTATCTGTTGCAAACCGAAATTGTTTCAGATCTGGTAAAAAACCTAACTTTGCATTGAATCTTATTCAATGTCACAGGAACTTTTGTTGTTCAGTATATATACTCACACGCAAAAGAAACGCAAGTGGTTTTAAGCAAATAGGTAACAAACACGTAACCATAAATTGATAAGTGTTTTAGGATGTAGTGAAGCCTGATGGTGTTATTAATATTTTTGGTTGCATTTTGGAAGCCCCGTATAAAAACGCAACATAAAACACGAATCGCCAAAACGCACCATTTCAATGAATATGTAGGTATGCACCCATTTCTCGCGAAATCGAAAATGCACGAACTGTAGTGGGTATAAAACTGGCCGATTCTTGGACCTACCACTCCTTGGTCTAACTCAAATTCAGAGAAACCAGGCTATCGGACGTTTGGAAGCTGGAGAGTCTGTCCAAGATGTTGCCCGTCATTTCAACGTTAACATAACCACAATTTACCGTCTCCTGCATCGATACAATGTTACACAAACCACAGAATGACCTTCCTCGGAGCGGTCGTCCTAGGGTCACCACACCTCGACAAGATCGGCAGATTACCCGTCAACACCAGCGACATCCGTTCCTAACTGCAAGTGAAAGTGCTCGACAGACCATTGGAACACATAATCGACACATTAGCCGGGACACTGTGATCCGACGTCTCCGTTCCAACAACCTCAGATGTCGCCGACCAGCACGTCGTCCTGTTCTCCAACCACGGCATCGACAAGCATTACTTCAGTGGGCGCAGGGGCATCACAATTGGCGTCATCGTGAGTGGAGGCGTGTCATCTTCTCAGATGAAAGTCGCTTTTGTGTCTCCCATGCAGACGGAAGAGTCAGAATTTGGCGGCGTCGAGGTGATCGTTTCGCTGACAGAAACGTTGTGGAAAGGGATCCATGGGGTGGACCTAGCGTCATGATATTGGCAGGGATTTGAATTAATGCGAGACTTGGACCCATGTGCTTTCTGAATGTTGGTCAAAGTCGGGGACCCGGCGTCACTGCTCAGCGGTATATCGACCAAGTGATCACACCCCACGTTGTTCCATTTTTTGCACAACATCAACAACACATTTTCCAGCAGGACAACGCTCGTCCCCATGTTGCCAGAGCTACCATGGCCTTTCGGCAACAACACAACATCCGTGTTCTACCGTGGCCAGGCCTCATCCCTGATCTGAACCACATCAAACACGTGTCTGCACAATGTGCGCCCAGTCCCTACAACTGCCGATAAACTACGCACAGCTGCTTTGGATGTGTGCAGGAGGATCCCTAGGGCCTTCACAAATCGTCTGATCCACTCAATGTACAGGAGATGTGTGGCAGTGATCAATGCTAATGGTGGTCACACCAGGTATTGACTGACATTTTGGGTATTGACCCGAAACTGTGTAAGCCCTTAACATTTGAAACAAACAATTATGTCATCTGCCTTTTAATCTATTAAACTGTCTTCAGTCAAAAAAAATTCAATCTTGCCCTATTGGTATTTCTTGTCTTTACTGTTGAAAATAAATAACATGTATACTGCATACTCGACTTGCGTTTCTTTGCGTGTGAGTATATTAACATTTTATCAATATATTGTTAAATACTTAAAAACTATTAATTTTATGTATGCAAAACTGTTAAGATAGTGAGTGATTCCCCTGTATGCCTTCATATATAGTAAAGTGTGAATTTGGCGTGGTAGTGAATAAAATGAGTACCAACTCTTTTCTTATACTTATTCAAAGTTGTTTTTTTCTATCATGGTGTAACATTTCTACAAATTTTCATATGATTATTAGGAGTAACTTTTACACAAATTTTCATATAATTATAGTTTTAAAAAGGTGATATATAAGGATTCAGGGAGAATGCAAATATAATATATATTGCCAGTTTCAATGTATTGAACCTGTTTTCAAAAGAAAGAAACTATTACACCCACGTTTGATAGTGGCTAAAAATGAAACAAACAACTTTTGTTGTGTTGTTCTACCAGGATGATGCACTTGTGCACTGTGGCTTTGAACACATTTAAACATTCGCCGTATTCACCAGATTTACTAGCGACAGATGATGATGACGTCGTTTCAGCCGTGTAGAACGTGTCACACCACCATAGATAGAATGTGTCGGGGGGGGGGGGGGGGGGGGGTCCATTCCTTGATATGTCGTTATCAACACACATGACTCACATGAAGTCAAAGAGCAATCATTACACACATACAAGGATGACACGTGAATAATAAGTGTCAGTGTCAATAAGTATCTAAAGGCAATACAAAGTGCGTATGTTAACACCTCACAAACAGTGCTGGCTAGTCCAAACCTCTATTAGAGCATCGATGACTATCACAGAAATATCAAACATAATCGGTATTACAAAAATTCGCATTGGTTCACAATTAAAACAAATACTTGGCATACATGTATATCCCCGTTCAAGATAAAAGTTCCCTGTGTGTGATCCCTTCCTTTAAGACAGTAGCATGTGACCTCGACACGCATCAGTTGTGTTGTAGAGTAAAGTAAACGGGCTTCAAGCGAGCCAACAGCCTCAACTCACAGTAACAAGTCCAGCTAACAGCCGGGTCGTGTAACAGGTCACTGCAACCGCCTGCTTTCACAAGAGTAGTATAAATGATGGGGGTTCTGGACCACTTCCACTGGAGCCTGATTCATATACCTATACCACCACTACAGAGGGAATTTTTTATATCAAAATGAAGATGCGATTTACTAGAGCGCATTTTTGGTTAGGGGTACCACATTTTCGGCTACTTTTTTTCTCCAACGAGTCCAAAAAACCATATCCCCAGTATCTATAAAATAGGCAGCAATGTATAGCAAAAAAACAGACTACAACCCCAATGCTACAAAGAAAAAGCTAGAACAAGTAGCGAATAACTTCCATATAGTCATTTGGTAGCCCAAAGTATATAGAGCAACAAATTTCGAACACACACCATGGAGCAGAAAACAATGGTGACAACATACCAAAGTATGGGCCTACAAGCTGCAAAATCTGTAGCACCCCACCTATTGATAGAAAATGCGTACCAGAGCAATCTACTTCCAGATATAGCCAATGTCGACTATTTGGTAGGAAATC